AAGGGAGGGCACTTAGCCACCCCTACCCCCATCCCTGTAGCCTGACTGAAAATCCCCATCGGATTCGAGCGTTATCAACCATTTCCGGTTTCTTTTGTTTCTTATATTTTTGAGGGCAAGGTAGGCGACCCGGTCTACCCGATCAACACGCCTATGTCGTATGGTGCCAGCAAAACAGGATAAAAATATGGCGATTAAAAGGATAAATACCCGGAATCCACTACCCGTAAAACGACACGCCAAAGTGGGTGGAATATAAATATGCTAATTAAAAAGTATTTCGTTTGATTAGACCTAATTCCACTCAACAATGGAGTAATGAAGGCAAATTCCTATTCCAATTATAATTGGTCAATAGTCCGATTAGCAACCAATACCTAACTGCGTAACAATATCATATGGGTTTAAACAGAGCTCCAAATACGTGTACATAACCTTACGCCATGACTCACGAAATTTATTACGCCCAATTAACCAGTACATAGCAGAATATTGCAGAAAAACTAATTGCGTGACAAAGGAGGCTAACAAAACGGCTACAATGTAAACAATACTGTCCGGAACAATACTTTCACCTTTTTTAATACCTTAAATCACTGTCCAAAGTTTCAGGGAAGACACCAGATTAAACGAGGGGCTGTCATGTTGTTCTAATAAGACAGATTTGATTGAACGGGAAGAATAGACACACTCCCCCAAAAACACAAGTATAAGAAGTCAATCCAGCAATGACCAGAGAGGGATTTCTCGAGCCATTGCCTCAGGAATATGCTACCTCGTAGAACACTTTCGTACACACTAGAAAAGGGTGAGAGAACTACCGATATTTATTTTGGTTTTGCTGTAGTAACAACTGCTTGTTATTGACGTTACTCCTTTCTCTTTCATATTAATCAACAATGAACTAAAATTCATATTCATCTATTTTATATCGCTGTTAACAAGGCGCAGTCTATTTCAACTTATTTTCTTCATGTTATATTCTGTTGCTATTATATGTATTAGGACCATATATCACGTATTCCCGTGGGCTGGCTTATTTAATGTATGATCATAAGATTTTTAACATTTTACTTGAACAAAGAAACATGTAGTCCGAATTTAATTCTTTTGTTATTCAAGGAAGTCGATGTTCAAAATCTATTTTAAAAGGTGTTTTATTAAGGATGACATTAAGAGTAATGGTTAAACTAAAGCTATAAATATATCTGAGACGCAGATCCACCGAAAACAAGTACCACCAAACTATAGTCCTATGGTCCGGAAACTGACAATGACGTCATCTCAACCATCGTAACCATATCAAAAATCGAAGTCCGTCAATCGATCCACAGTTGTACAAGGAACAAGCATGTCAAGTTCCATGTCATGACTTTGCGGTGGGGGGTGGGGGGCTTTTGGAATTTTTCTGAAGAGCGTCGCCTTCAACAACAAGGACAACAACAACAACAACAACAAGATCAACAACAAGAAAAATAACACCATTATGAGTATCGCTTCCGGACTAAGAACATGTCCATAAATGAGTTTTATATATTCCCGAGACTACTTTACGAGATTACTTAATCTTACGATATAGAAAACACTATGGCGTAGTTATAACACATAGGCTAGATCTATTTGACAAGATCAATTGCATATTTCACTGTCCAGGCAAAGTTCCCCAGCTAACATTACACATGTTATCATAGAAATCAAACGTATCATAAGTGTTGAAGCCCATTACATTCTGACTATATGTTACATTATACACACAGAGAACTATCTTTGTTAAGAATAGGTCTATGTCCTGAATGGCCGCCTTTTTTTGGCCGCCATGTTAAAAAATTAGTACTAGTATACTCTTTTGTAATGCGGTTCTAAGCCGTTTTACACCCTTTTTACGCATAAAGACTTAAGTGTTTTCGACTAAAAATCGTCAATATAGGAAATTAAAGATATAATAAGTAAGATTTAGATAAAAGCCGGTCGTTTTTGTTACAATAGTTTAAAAATAGATAGAAAAATGAATATAATGAAAATTTTATTCAAATTACTTTATCCTCAGTGAAGTTATAAGTTTGGAAGATGTAGCGTGGATTGTTTATTATCGTAGCAAAAGTACTGGACACACGAGACTAAGTCTCGATTATCCATTTTATCGTCAAGTATTTAAATCTCTGCCATTCGATAGCCTAGGGAGTTGATTATAGGCCTGTCAGTTAATAAATGTCTAAATAATAGTTAATATAACATTTGAGGCCAAACTAATAATCTCTAATGAACAGATTTAGCTTTTACATAATGCTCCTTTAATTTAAAACTGGCTTCGTGTCAGTTCTCAAGCGGCGCTAATTGTAGATCAGACAGCGTATTTTTCGAAAGGCCCAGTTACATGCATAATTCAAAGATATGACAGTATGATAAGGAAATTAGGCCAGCTTCGAACAATTTTGTATTGTCACATTTATGTTTATTGTGTATGTACCCCAAGGTTAAGGATTGTCCACGCTTTGTCCAGCAATATCACTTAATATACTACTACCTGTCAACAAAGATCAAACACAGACTAAACCTTCTACAAACATAGACTATTAGGTCAAAGTTCAAAAGTTATTAAATTTAATCTATAGGTAAACGTTGTTCGAGTAGAGTCTTAACAAGAAGCTTCTTGAGTCTTTATAATAAAACCATAAAAGATGACATCCCGGTGGATTTGTGAGAAATGCCCAGTATAGACTGGACAAGTTTGACAACCTGAACGACGAGAACGCGCCATTGCAGTAATCCAAGAGGGCATAAAAACCATTGGAAACAGCTTTGCAACGAAAATGGAGTAGGACCTCGATCACCATGTCTAGGGCTAAGTGAAGATGACGCAATGACGGTTTTGAGTTTTTGCGCCCCCTATCAAATCATAATCATACGTGCAACCAGTGTCAAACGTATACTGTGGCTCTAAGATGTTACAAAATGACAATCGCATATATGTTTTATACAGGTTAATTTTTCTCGGAGCTGAGGAGAGAGAACCCCTCCAAATGATATAAATATTGGGTTTTTGTACACGTAGTCTTGTTTCTCATACGAAATCCGTATTCATCTAGCACCTGCACTATGACGTGTGTTGCTGACTTGATTTTTACCACTTGTACGTTTCACTGTAAAATAAAGTTGTTATGGTTCCTGTGGGTTGTTGATATAGACTTCCAATTTAAAATCATGTCAAAAATCACATTTCAGTTGCTTTATGTCTCGCTCGCTATTCCCATGCTAAGGGAGTGTGTGTGTGGGGGGGGGATAAATATCTATTTATTTATTTTTTTACGTCGACATGTTCGGTATTCGTGCCACATAGATGAATTGGTGTGTAATTATCGTTCAATGCGCGTAAACATAATTCAGTTATACCCCCGCCAGACCGGGGTGGCGTCCTTACTGTGCTGTTACGGCGACGAAAAATGGTCCCAGAGCGCGTCAAGATCGCGTATCGCCATAAGCGTAGCGGAAACGCTAGATATTGTGCTGTGGTCTCCATGGTCGCCGAGTCACGGCGCTTGTTTTGAGCATGTTCTTGCGGTCCTGGCTATTCCATTCAAACCTATGGTTCATAAACTGTCAATTTGGTCAAATTAATTATTTGTCATTGTGGTTATTTCCAGTTTATCAAACTGAATACAAAACTCGATATTATGCAAAGCTTCAAATGAACTGAGTATAAGTGAAAATATAGAATAGTATAATATTTGCATTTTTATCCCATTCTCCGGGCATTGCGGCGGGGTTTAGCGTGGGGGGGGGGGGGGGTATCACTATCGCAGTCGTTCTGTCCCGGGCAGAACACAAAATCTAGTCGTTATTTTTTGCTTCCATCAATCGCATACTGGAGTGGTGCCATTTCCTTTGTAGAATGTTGTGACAATATCTGTTTTTCTTTCTGCATAAAATTAGACTAAACTGAGCGTGGGCGTTGTTTCCGGAGCAGATAATCAAGATATTAGTCCTGTTTACGTCATTGGTTTTTCCTGAATAACACTCTAGTGTAGCGTTATTGATAGTACGATACAAAAATGATAGTGTTGTACTGATATAGTGACCACGTTCTGATAGATAGTCATGATGTATTTGGTCTTGACATGCTGCTATTTAAAAGAGCCAAATCGCTAATATTTGGGACCTAGAAATTGACACAAATGGGTTGCAACGCCTATAATGTAATATGAATGTATATAAACTGGTTTTACATTTAATAGTTTCTGTTTTAACTGTAATTTCTAATCAGTTATGTTCAGCGAAATACGCCAGAAGTCTCAATCGAATGACAATCCCTAGCGTCTGGTTATTCCAGTGTACACTGATAGTATTTATTGCGCATGCTCTCCAGATAAGAATATGCGGTCACCGTTTGACATGACTTGTGGAATATGTTCTGCCTCGTTCTTCGAGTCCCTTGTTACAAATGGCTACGGTGGCCTTTTAGTGCCATACCTTGATTTATACCTTTTCTTGACATGAGAAATCCCAGTGAAAACTATGATAATTAATAAAAAAAAAACATGAAAAACGTTTTCTCCGCCTTGTAAACCTATTCTCCGCGGTGTAAACCTTTTCTCTCTTCTCCGCTGAAATGCATTATGGTACACGATTCGTGTACCAATGGTAAAATGATTATTTTATCTTAAATATTGGATACCAAAAGCCCATTTTATCCCGGTAAGATCACAACATCAGTGTTGATTTAAATTGACCAATAATTTGGATGATATTGAGTTAGAGACTTGGCTACTTTATATATATTTTGGTTAATTTAAGCAATGCTTCTAGTTTCAAAGTTATAATTCACCCTTTTCTTCCTTCTTTCTTTCTATATACCCACGTTCATACAATCGAGGATACGTGTATCATAAAACAAATTCACCTGGTTCGCGAGAATGGATGCTGCAAAACAGAAAAGTTGTTTCCCGTTTACCGTCGTTGAATCATAATGTGTCTATATACAATACTCGGCAGGTAGCTCGCTTTATTTCTTGTGTAAAACACGACACAGCATGTAATGAGCACATTAACTAACTTCCTCTATAAGTCGGTATACCTTCTTTACATCACCCTCGTCGCCATAATCTTCAACACAGCGCTGTCAACAAGTTGCGTCACCTTCGTCGCCATAAGTCTCGACTAAAAGTATAATTAATTAAAATGGCTGTTAACATTCCTGGTTTGATCTCTGTGATTGTGTTTTATATGTTAATTCTTGGAATCGGAATCCTGGCGGCTAAAAAAGCCGTGCAATCAACAACTGCTGATGTTTTGGTGGCTGGAAGGAATATGGGACTTATCGTTTCCTTCTTTACAATGACAGGTAATTGTTTTTGTTTTTATTTAACTCAGCATTTGAATTCCGGATTGTTACAGTTATTTTTAATAGTTTCGTATTTCGTATCTGTATGACTTATTGAGGGGTTGGGTTGCCGAATGATCTAAGTTTTAGGGGTTGGGTTGCCGAATGATCTAAGTTTTAGGTGGCCGAATGATCTAAGTTTTAGGGGTTGGGTTGCCTAATGATCAAAGTTTTAGATGGCCGAATGGTCTAAGTTTTAGGGGTTGGGTTGCCGAATGATCAAAGTTTTAGGCGGCCGAATGGTCTAAGTTTGGTGATTTCAATCATGGGGTCTGTCATTGAATCAAGTGGCGTGGTTTCGAATCCCCGCTTGTACGTGACAAGGAGTATACAGGGGTCCACCCTCATCTGTGAACTTCGAAGAAAATTATTACCTTAGATCAAAATTCAGAAACACAAAGTGACAAATTTTAGTAGACTAGTACTTTAACTTTTTACTGAAACGTGTCGAAGTGATTGACATGTTCATTGGTAAAGTGGAAGCTACGGATGCTAAATGAGTAAGACGCTGGCTCACTAGCCAGGAGGTTGCGGGTTCGATCCCGGTGTTGGCCGAGAAAGTTCATCGGGTATCCCCTTGTCAGTGGTGCAGGACGGAGGGCCTGACAAAGACAGCTGTCTAGTCTTTCGAATGGGACGAAAACCCGAGGTCCCATGTACACATTGGCGTGCACGTAAAAGATCCCTGGCAGTTGGATCTAAACTCTTGGCTTGGACGTTATCAAAACAAATAAATAAAAAGCATCTAATTGACGTTATATAGCACACTTCGTTTTGAAAGTAAGTTTTAATGTAAGTTTATTTCGTTATGAACCACTAAATCTGTTCACGTCTGCGCATGTTATGAATAATAGATAATAACGTCTGCAAGACAATTACTGTTATATTCATTAGTCACATAATTTGCACTCGTGAATTTGGTAATTTATTAAAATCTGTTATCATTAAGCATGCGTTAGGGTTAGTGCTAAATGATAAGGCCAGCTCAATTTTTCGTCATCGGTCACGAGATGAAAACAGGGCTAACGCTAATCCCAACCCTAACTCTAACACTGGACCTAGCCCCAATGCTTACCCTAACCTACAATCTCGCCAACAATCACGTGCTCTAACCTTATTTACATCTCAGAGACCTTGATAAAAATTGAGCTGGCCTTAACAAATAGATTTAGCCATACGCTTCGAAAGGAATTAAATGGGCTTTACACGAACATTTGGCAGGTTTTTTTTACTTTCTACATTAGAGTGCAGTGCTGTGATTATTTGACAGGGGTAGTGGGGTTTTAATCTACTCTATTACTAATTCAAAAGTCTCAGTGTCAAGAGGAGCCACGGCGGCTAAGTGAGTAAGACGCTGGCTTAGTAGCCTGGACGTCGCGGGTTCTTTGTCGGTGTTGACCGAGAAAGTTTATCGGGATTTTCCGGCGTAGTTTCCCCTTGTCGAGAGTGCAGGACGGAGGGCCTGACAAGGGCAGGTGTCTAGTCGTTCGGATGGGACGAAAAACCTAGGTCCCGTGTACACATTGGAGGGCATGTAAAAGATCTCTTGGCAGCTGGAATTCGATATAAGAGTAGGCCATAGTTCCGCTATCTGCGCAACCCCCCCCCCCCCCAGTACTCTGTATGACATATGCCCCTTTACATTAGCCCAGTCGGAGCAGAACAGTGGGACGTTAAACCCCATTTCGTTTCATTTTTTCTCAGTGTATGTATACCGTTACATTTAAAGACTTTAAACCAACTTTCAGTCCCCAATATACTATCCAAAAATAGCTTTAATAAAGTTCAGTCGTTTCTTTTATACAAGTCGTGTGCGGTGACTTAGTGATCATGTGACATACAAACATACTACGTCTGCAGCAAGGTGTCAAAAAAACCCAAGAAAGTGAAATAGTTTAAAGGAGAGACATTTATATTTTGTATGTCTTAAAGTATAATATCCAAAATGTTCGTGTAGAATTTCTGGAGAATGCAGCAATATTTTTCAGCTCCGACATATATTCCTGATATTAAATATTATATCGTGATGAAATATAAGTCGGAGGGCCTGACAAGGACAGCTGTCTAGTCGTTCGGATGGGACGAAAAACCGAGGTCCCGTGTACACATTGGGGTGCACGTAAAAGACCCCTTGGCAGTTGGAATTCGATATAAGAGTAGGCCGTAGTGCCGCTGTCCGGGCAAAATTTCCCTCATAGCACACTATATGGCGTATGTCCGTCTTCATTAGCCCAGGTTAGGAGCAGAACAGTAGGACGTTAAACCCCATTTCATTTCATTTCATGAAATATAATAAACACTATGCTGAGCCTTATGGAGTATGATTTGTTTTGATTCTCTTATTGAAACAGTTCTGGATTAATTAATACAATTATGGTTCAAATTTCATTTCGCGAATTGCCATACGTATCATTCCCATGGTATTGCATCATATAGGGGTGTGATAAAGACAGAAATGGAGTTTAACGTCCTAATCCGACCGGACATACTCCATACAGTGTGCTATGAGGGAAATTTTGCCCGGACAGTCGCATTACGGCCTACTTTTATATCGAATTTCAATTGCCAATGTGTACGCAGGACCTCGGGTTTTCGTCCTACTCGAATGACAATACGCTGTCCTTTGCCAGGCCCTCTGTCTTGTACCACTGACAACAGGGGAACCACACCGTCATCTGTGTCGAACACGGGAGATCTATTCGAGATAGTTATTGTGTTTATCAAATTTTATATATATAAATACCTTTACTATAAATTTTCTATAATTCAGCAACCATTGTCGGCGGAGCCTATATTAATGGAACGGCCGAAATAATGGCGTCAAGTGGAATAGTTTGGACTCAAGGCCCAATAGGATATTGTATTGCTTTTTTTATTGGTGAGTTTTGTTTATCTTTCGTGTTTAACTGTCGACAACTGAAATCTGTATCGTCTGTCTGTGGGGCCAATCTCAGATATATTTCAGTTAATAAAACTGGTTAATTCCGTTAGAGTAACGGAATCTGCCGAGGTTTGCCGAGTGTCCTGGGACTATGCAGCTGTGGACACTTGTCCCAACTGGCTTCTTTGGGCTCCATCGCTGTGAGAATACATGAATATATTTTAAAACAACAGGGATTACTATTCTACACAACCGACCCTGGATTGTATTTGAAAATAAAAGAAGAGATACACGATAATGATGATGATGATGATGATGATACGAGCGAATATGCACGTCAAACAGCTGTGGAATCTGTATATGAATAAACGTGATTCAATGTGAAATATAGACTGTAGACGAATGTACGATACTTTCTATCGAAAATAATTGCGAGGACAAACGTCAACACGCCTTATAACGAAGTTACATTACTAAATTCAATTTGATAAATATCTGATTTTTTTTTTTTTTTTTTTTTTTTGCAGGTGGCAATGTATATGCTCCACGTATGAGACGAGCTGGATATGTGACCCTCTTTGACCCTTTCCAATTAAAACTGGGAGACAGAATCGGGGCATTAATGTGTATACCCCAGTTCTTGGGAGATTTGTTCTGGACAGCAGCCGTGTTAGCCGCCTTGGGTTCGTAAAGTGTAAATATACGTTGTATTATTCTAATACTCTATAGATAAGGCCATATAGATATGTTTATCAAGGTCTCATACAGGTCAGTCTAAATATAATTCCCATCGCATTTTGAATAGTAAGTACTCTATTAAACTACAGCTTTATCCACAGAATTAAACCGGGTTTTACTTATTAAGATAGATCAGGTTTCAGAAGATGTTAAAGATAACGCTTATTACCATATCATAAAGTTTATTGGCAGGTGGGAGTCGCGGTGGCTAAGTGGGTAAGACGCTGGTTCGCTAGCCAGGAGGCACCCCCCCTTGACCCCCGCTGGCTAAGGGCCTGGTATGCATTGAAGAGCACGAAAAAGACCCCTTGGCAGTTGGAATTCGATATAAGAGTAGGCCCGAGCAAAATGTATATTCATTAGCCCATTCAGATTAGAACAGTAGACCCCATTTCATTTTTATTGGCAGGTTATTGCCCTTGACTCCACTAAAGAATAACGTCACAAATAAATCGCTATCCTGTACACTTGTGGCTTTATATATCGTGAAAGATTTCAACATTTACCCTAGAAATAAAAAAAAACTTGACGTAAAATTATTTATTGATCGGTCATTATGTATTCGAATATAAAATGAAATAAATGAAATGAAATGGAGTTTAACGTCCTACTGTTCTGGGCGAATGAAAAGGGATATACGCCATACAGTGTGCTATGGGGAAAATTTTGCCCGGATAGCGACACTACGTCCTACTCTTATATCGAATTCCAACTGTCAAGGTTTTTTTACTTGCACTGTACCAAGCCTTCCCTCCTTCACAACTAACAATGGGGAACCACACAGGAAAATCCCGATGACCTTTCTCGATCAACACTGGGATCGAACATGGGACCTCCAGGTGATGGAGCTAACGTCTTAGCCAACGTGGTTACCTGTTCCAATATAAAGTCAATAAAAACTTTTGAAACGTGTAATGAGAAGCGGCATCAGGAATGGTAAAAAGTTATTGAGTAACTGCTGTCATTTCAGAACATCATTTCTCGATTGGGTTTTAAATAGGGAAACGAGTGGGGACACAAATTTAGTAAAAGTAACAACATAAGACATTTAGTTCCGAAGTTAATACGCTCTTTTTTTAAAAGTATTATAGCTAATCCATTGATCTGAGATTGTTAATATATGTACTCCTCTCCCGTGTTACAAGAATTATATATAATAAGATGCTGTTTGTTTTCCAGGTTCAACAGTATCTATTATATTAGATATAGATGAAACTATATCTATTATAAGTTCAGCATGTATAGCTATATTCTATACATTACTGGGTGGATTATGGTCTGTAGCATATACTGATGTTGTACAACTTCTATGTATCGCCGTCGGACTTGTACGTAAATTATAATACATACTCTGTATCGCCGTAAGACTTGTACGTAAATTCTAATGCATCCTTTGTGTATCATCGTCGAACTTGTACGTAACTTATATCACAAATACGCTGACAACATGAATACTGTCTCTACGTGTGTTATAAAATGTAAATATCATATGTTGATATTCTTTCGTATTCGTAGTCATTTTAATTAATGACATCTGGTAAGGATGATATCTAATCCCAATGTTATTTGAATGTATATAGGACCACAACATCTCAAATACTTTGACAATCTGTGTAACCGTTGGACTTGTACGTAAATATCATATACTCTAACAATCTATATAGCCATTGGTCGTGTACGTAAATTATATCGCAAATACATTTACTCTATATCCATTTTGATTAAAACACAGATTCTATTTAGTTTTGTTTTTTATAGTTCAAAATTTCGTTTTACTTGTCTTTACTACACTAGGATCTGGAAGAGTTGTAATATAACCCGCGTTTTAGATGATGTGTGGGATTAGCTAATGAAACGGTCTGTTACGGCAAGTTTTTGGCGTGAGGTGCACGGAACTGTGGGTATCCTACTAGAAACATCAACGCTGATTGGTTAATCAAATATCTGATGTCATAGGGCCAAAAGCCGCTCGTATGACCCCTGACGCGACCTCCCACTACAACTGGTCAGATCTTTAAGTAGTAGAGGCCATCGAAATTATAAATAAACGAAACGAAATATAGATCTGTATGCAGCCACTGGACTCAGACAGCCTACTGTTACAGTTTAATTGGGAATATTGTTATTGGGAGGTTGGTGGGGGGGGGGGGGGGCACGAGCTAGCTCATCATTCGCCCCCTCCCCCAGTTTCTTTTATCATTATGTTGCTGTATTTTATATCTGTAATACACATTTTGTCTTCCATTTAAAGCTTGTATCTGTTCCGTTTGCCATGACACATCCATCTGTAGATTTTAGTAGAATTGAATCAACTTGGCAAGGTACGGTGGAAACCACGGGTATCGGATCATTTATTGATATTTATGGTATTCTTCTCTTAGGTGGAATCCCATGGCAGGTAAGTTTTTAATCCTTGATACTACCCTATTACTTGGACCAGATGTACTTACTTGTCGAACCCGGTTAAACCCAGGAGAATTACCCCATTACAGCGCATGTACGTGTCTTCCTGGGTAAGCAGATTCGTTACCCGTACGTTACCCTGGCGTGGTGACGACATGGTGACGCAGCGTAACACCTACACGATATGTACGTAAGATGACACAGCCATAATTGCGACGCTGCAAGTGGTTTGGGCCGTCAGTTGCAACGCAAACATGTCACAAGTACTGCGAGAGCGCATGTACCACATCTCACAACACTGCGTTACTCTTAGAAATATTTCTATGGCGTTCGCTATCCTGGAGGTCGCGTGTTCGATCCCTGCTTTGGCCGAGAAAGTTCATCGGGATTTTCCGACATGGTTTCCCCTTGTCAATGGTGCAGGGCGGAGGACCTGACAAAGACAGCTGTCTAGTCGTTCGGATGGGACGAAAAACCGAGGTCCCGTGTATACATTGGCCTGCACGTAAAAGATCCCTTGCCAGTTGGAATTCGATATAAGAGTGTGCCATAATGCTGCTGCTCGGGCAAAATTGCCCTCATTGCCAGTCTTCATTAGCCCAGTATAGGAGCAGAACAGTAGAACGTTAAACCTCATTTCATTTCATTTCATTTCATTTCATTTTGGTTGTTTTCGTTATCCCCGTGACCCCGGTGCGTTTCTGTTTAAATCAACTATACTATGCTATTTATTATTTATTGGTCAGCATAGTACTTTAGATTGATATTATTGTTTTTAGATAATATATTGGCTATTTTTATGTGAAACAGATAAGATAACAAGCTGTCCATTTCTCGGACACAGTTTTAATTCTGGGCTAATTAGGTTTTAACAACAAACAACAATACTTTATTTCGTATCTTGTTGGTGTGAGAGAGAAAGAAATGGAGTTTAACCTCCACTCGACTCACAGTAGGTCGTTTCGGGACTACCATATATATAGTTCAATTATATTGTGATGATTCGTATGCGCATAGAAGTTTTTAATAGACGGAGGGAACATGAGGACCACGAGATTAGACAGACCACCCTATACTTCTGCGGGGAATCGAAACCACACCACTTGATTCAATGACAGACCTTATGCTCTAAAGCGCACGCGGTAAACGATTTGGCCAACAATTTGGCCACCCACCCACACTCCCTTCACTGGAGGGGGTTGGATGGCCGAATGGTTAGCGCATGAGGTCTATCATTGAGTCAACTGGCGTGGTTTCGATCCCCGGTTGTACGTGACAAGGAGTAGGGTCGCCTGCCCAACCTCGTGGGTTTTTTACGGGTCCTCCGGTTTCCTCCCACTGCTAAAGAACCCTACGCGCAAGCGAATTATTGAAATAAAATTGGACTATGTGTTGGTCCCTTCACTGGATATTTCAAAATGTTTCGAATTGACGAAATATCAGGCCAAGATAATCCAAACTAACTGTTGAAGACAATTAATTAACTTAGTTCGTATCATTATTTTGTAATTCGTCAATTAACAAGATATTAATTCGGTTATTTCAGGTATATTTTCAGAGAGTTCTAGCTTGTAAAACACCAGAAAGAGCCCGCCTAGCATCGACTGTAGCAAGTGCAGCTTGTTTTCTATTTGCTATCCCCGCTGTTTTGATGGGAGCAACAGGGGCTGCAGCAGGTACTATATCTGAGACATAAAATATTGTTATTGTATACATGTAAAATTTTCCGTATTGCTACAACCGGTCTCTCTTTGCATACGCCCACGTGGTGAAATGTTATTGGGTTTAACGGCCTACTTTTCTGCTCCAACCCGGCGAATGAAGATATCCATACGCCAGTTAGGGGGGTATTTTGGGGAATACTTACTCTAACCCCAACCACTGACAAGGAGAGGCAGTGCCGGAAATTTCCGAGGTATTTTATCGACCAAGACCGATCCCGGGATTTCCAGGTTAGCGAGCAGCCAGCGCTTTACTCAATGCGAAAATTGTTTGATGAAACTAGGGGAGATATTACAAACTTCGGATAATACACTCCTTCAGATACCTTTTGTGTAACTTGTCCTCACGTGGTTACCTCCCTTCTTTTATTACCACGTATATAGCACATTAATTTTATTTTTGACTCCAAATCAAAGAGTTCTATCCATATGAAGCCATGTTGTATTTCCAGACTGGAGTCAGACCGCTTATAATGGAACTATACCAATACCTGCAGATAAGATGAGTTATATCTTACCGTTAGTTTTACAATATCTCTGTCCTCTACCTGTCGCCATTATAGGGATGGGCGCTATAGCAGCAGCTGTCATGTCGTCTGCGGACTCCATCATTTTGTCAACTGCATCTGTGTTTTCCAAAAATATCTACCTTCAGATGTTCAGACCTACGGTAAGTAATCGCATAAAGTAGAATAACAAATTGATGCTTAAATTGTTTGAGCGGCATTTAGTTGATAAAGACGAGAGAGCCCTCGTCGAAATGTCGCCAGAAATAAATCTTCCAATTAACTTGTATTGTGTCATGTGTTAAATTGACGCTTGTTATTGTACTCTGAAACCAATTCTGTGCCGGGATAGCTAGCTCAGCGAGTAATCCATGCGGTTCGTGGTTCAATCCCGGTGTTGGTTGAGAAAGTTCCCCGCTATCAGGGCACAATTTCCCTCATAGCACACTGTGTGACGTGCGCCCGTCTTTATTAGCACAGTTGGTTCATAAAACAATAGGGCGTTAAACCCAATTTTATTTCATTATTTTGTCATTTGGCAACATTAAATATATAATCCCTTTTCCCCATGCCCTTGTTGGCGTTCCTTACGGTAAAGCACAGCCCCGCTTATCTTGCCAATGAAGTGCAGGGAGATTTTGGTGGCATTTTACATCAACACTGTGGACCTTGCCATGAACCACCTAGACTCCACATGCTTTTATAACTCAATGTCCATCTTAACAAACTTCAGGGTTATTCCGCTTTGTTACTAAATCTTGTCAGTACCTTAGAAATGGAATGAAATGGGTTTAACATCCTACTGTTCTGCTCCTACTGGGCTAAGGAAGACGGGTATATGCCATGCAGTGTGCTGTGAGGAAAATTTTGCCCGGACAGCGGCGTTATGACCTACCCTTATATCGAATTCCAACTGCCAAGGGATCTTTTACATGCATACCAATGTGTACACGGTACCTAGTTTGTCCTTCCCATCCGAACGACTATACGTTGTTCCGTGACAGGCCCTCGCCACTGACAAGGAGGAACCACGCCTGAAAATCCCGTTGAACTTTCTCGACCACGGAAATGTTAATCATTGAGGTGTTCGTCCGTCTTCATTATCCCAGTTGGTGCAGAAAAGTAGGGCGTTAAGGGCGTTAAACCCCATTTCATATGTTGGACATCACTGTTTTTATGCACATTCATATTTGTGTCATTTTTTGCAGGCATCTGATAAAGAAACTATCTGGGTTGTCCGTATAGCTGTTATCTGTGCTGGAGCCCTTGCCTGTCTTATAGCCATTGGAGCTGAAACAGTTTATGGCTTGTACGTCATGTGTTCAGATCTTATGTACGTCATTCTCTTCCCACAATTCACCTGTGTGTTATTTATAGAAGTTACCAATGGATACGGATGTCTGGTCGGATATTTCATAAGTGTAACATTAAGGATACTAGGTGGAGAACCCCTCATCGGTCTTCCTGTTTTTTTAAAGTTTCCTTTCTATTCTGAAAAACATGGACAGAATTTTCCATTTCGTACTTTAACAGTGATACTAAGTTTTATAGCCATTATTTGTGTATCAAAACTTACTGATTTTGTATTTACGGAGAAGTATATATCCCAGAAATGGGATAAATTAGGCTGTTCTGATCCAGAATATAGGAAAAGACTCCAAAAACGAGAGGCAGAGACACAGCAGCAAGAGCTGATGGCAGCAAGAGACAAACGAGAAACAGCAAAACAGCAGCAAGAGCTGATGGAAGCAAGATTCAAACAAGAAACAGCAAGACAGCAGCAAGAGCTAATGGAAGCAAGGGCCTTAAAAGAAAATCACGCAGCAGATCCGTTGCCGCTTGACGATTCTAATGAAATGCTATCATCGCATCTATAATGTCCTTACTAGTATTGCAGTTGAGGAATTTGACGTTTTGAAATTTGAGCGCTCAATTTAGTTCATATTAAATAATAAGCAGAAGTGTTTTGAAATACTCAAAGTGCTCACATCATTTGAAAGTTAAAGGGGAAGCATTGTCCAAATGGCTGAAGAATCTCTCAGAATCTCTCTTTCATTTTATTTTAGTTTTTATACGTTTGTTTTAGTGTAACATATATATTGTAATGTGTGTGGTTTAATGTAAATGAAATTATGATGTAAACCCCTTCTGGGGGTGGGTGAGGGGGGCCGAGGGGAGGGGGGATCACTGAACATATTTTGTATTTGTCGCACAATGTTGTCAAAACAGGATATATTAAAATAATCTGTTAAATATTGTAACTTCCTGCTGAAATCGCCCCTTAAAGGTCGTACATACCCAGGAGTATTTGTAAGCTGCCACACGATTCCTTAAACCTAGTTCACAACCCGTCGCACGAGTCGTAAGGTTTGGTAACTCACAGAGCGGCTGCAAAAAAACAGCTGAAAGTTTTGTAAATGGCACGGACACAGTACTTATCGCACACAGGCTGTACGTCTGACTTATTCAAAGCGTGCGTTGTATCATAAGGTCTGTCATTGAGTGAACTGGCGCGGTTGTACGTGACAAGGAGTAAGGTCGCCTGTCCAACCTCGTAGGTTTTCTCTAGATCCTCTGGTTTCCCCCCACTGCTAAAGACCCTTACGCGCAAGCGAATTATTGAAATAAAATTGAACACTATGTTAGTCCCGAAATGACCTAGTTTGTGTCGAATGGACGTTAACCCCCACCCCCTCTCTCCTCTCTCTCTCTCTCTCTCTCTCTCTCTCTCTTCAAAAACTTTCTTCATAATTCCGTGCTCAATGCGTCAGTTGTGCTTGTGTGGAATACGCATGACTTACAATTACTTAATTTCGGTCACCAGAAGTACGACTGGCACTTGATTAGCACGTGACAATTACTCCTGACCAACGTGAAACGCAAGCCAGTAGTGCCTATTTATATACTGTGTCTCTGGCATATCAACCAAATAAATTGCATTTTTTGAAAAGAAGGGTTCAAGGAGCAATTGCAATGCTTCTTCAGGGAGGAACAGCCAGGGGGCAATGGTTCTGGAGGAGGAAGACCAAACTCATCATTTTCCAATGCAGAACAAAAGCTTGATCTGTTAAAGAATGTACAGTCCGACGCCGACCAATTGGCACAAACATTCGTCTACAAGAACTTGTTTTGGGCATCTACAGGGTCCAAGAGTATTATCGAAAAGAATCCTAGGTGACTGCCGTACTCTTCTATGGCTTCTTAATACGGGTGTGTTTAGCGTCAATGGCTCCTACACCATAGTGATAGCTCCAGCGTGTGGAAAACTTTGCTGTCACCTCGAGACATATGTCTAAGGAATGTTAAATAGTTCATCTCTGTATAATTCCCCGTATATAACACAATGAATGAAAATTCCCTGTAGCCAGAAATCGGGTGGTAATAGCCAGTTTCACCCCGGGCTCAAGTAGGCGGTGGTTCCTCGGACCCTTGGTAATGCGGGGTGTCACACGCAGCAGGGGCTCCGCAAACATGTCATAAGACATCCACATGTACGCCACCAGTTCAACAACCTTAGGCGTGTCGGTATGATATACATGTATTTGTGTTTTCTGCAGTCATACATGCTAGACAATCTTCCAATTATATCGTGCAGGTTTTGTGCAGTGATTGCACGCCACAAACACACAGAGGTAGTAAGTGGGATGCACTTCTGACCTGCGGATGGCAATGATAGTAAGTCAGGAGTACTTGTGTAGCAGGTCTAATGCACGTCACCTGTACAACGACCGTACGTCTGGCATTATTCCTGGCTTGAAGTAGGCGTATAACAGGAGTACGAACCACTTACGTACGTGATTTTTCGCAAGATCCGTAGAATTTGCATATGCAGGACCAATTAAAGTCTCTACAGTCAATCTGCGATCTTCTACGGTGCCAAACACACGCAAGTGACGCGTAAATCTCACGCACGGTTGACGTAATGTAATACTATTTTAACTATTTTAACTTTGGATCTCAAATAAAGTTTTAAGCCAAGAAGGGAGATAATTACAGCTTTATTTTCATTTAACTGTGGATAAAATTCATATTATATGTTAAAGCATTGTTTGTTGTACGTGTATTTACGTATTGTTCAGACACATTTTGAGTATATGTTTGTGTCTATCTCAGGGACTCATAAAGTTCTTTTTTTATCTCTGTTTACTACAACGTCTAGCGTACTCGGCAAACCTCGGCTGATTCTGGTACTCTACATCTAGCCTCGACTGTATGATGGTAAGTGATATGTATACACCCATACAATTGCGATGCGGCATCAGTTTACTTATTGGGAAAACTTGCCGCTTTTAAAAAGTGCGTCGTTCGAAGCGCGTGTAGAATTTTCAGTGCAAAGTTGTCCTTGTTTAAAGAAAATCGGATAATCTTGAAAGAAAAACAGGTTAAAGGCTTTGTATGCGAAAAAAATCTTCAAGGGCGTCGTCATGGGCGATGCCGTTGGTAATCCGGGAACTTGAAAGTAGTTCCAATGGCGGACTTCGTCATACAGCCGAGGCTAGATGTAGGGTACTGGAATCTGCTGGGGTTTGCCGAGTGTGTCTAACGTTGGAGGAGGGGTGCCTGAACACACTCATTTTGTTACCTTAGGGGTGGGGGTGAGGATGAATGCGGGTACCAACTGAAATCCCATACATTCGGAATACAACAGCCCAGAGCACGTGTCATCGTATACTTTTAGTATAAGATCATGCAGTAGCATAATGAGGACATCGAAGGTCAGAATCAAGGGACTTTATGTAAGATAGACACGTGTTATCATATAATACGTCAACAGAAACGGTGCACTGCATAAAGAATATTTTACTAAACTGGTGATATTCTCAACAAATATATAAGATGGCGGTTAATATAGCCGGTCTTGTATCAGTGATTGTGTTTTATCTGCTAATTCTGGGAATTGGTATTTATGCTGCCAGAAGATCAGCTAAGTCAACAACTGCTGATGTTTTAGTAGCCGGTAGAAACATGGGAAATATAGTCTCCATTTTTACTATGACAGGTGGGTAATAAATATCCTATTGTGATATTAAAATATTAATACGTTTGACAGGCAACGAATATACCCCGACCGGTGCGGTTTTCTAAAGGGGGAAGGGAAGATGAAATGGAGTTTAACGTCCTTATTTTCTGCACTATCCAAGATAATAAAGGCAGACTTAAGCCACTCATTCGAACGGTCAATGGTTCGTTTACATGAATGCCATGTGTACACGCGACCTCAATGTTTCGTCCCATTCGAACGACCATATCTTGTTCCTTGTCGGTTACATCTATTTGATAAGGCCAACTTCAAGTTTGGTCAAAGGTCACGAGATGTAATCAGGGCTAGCGTTAATCCTAACTCTGGAACTAGCCCTAATGCTTACCCTTACCCGAACCTACAGTCTCCCCTAACCTTATTTACATCTCAGCGAAAATTGAGTTGGCCTTAACAAATAGATCTAGACATTCCTTGCCATCATGCACAACTTACAATGTGAAACCACACAGGAAAATCTCGAAGGACTTTTTCAGTCAAAGCTGTTTTTCTGAAGGGTGATCATAGCAGTATCATGATGTAAGGAGTCATCCCATCGTTTAAAATGGGTTGAATGACACACAACTCTTAATGTGACTTTTTAAGGTTTATTCACTATCACAAACATAACATTCGAACATGTGTTTAAGAATATCTAAATACATAATTAAATTAAAGTAGCTAAGTCTCTAACTCATTATCATCCAAAATCTTCAACATTGAAAACACAAATTATTTGTCAATTTAAATCAACATTGATGCTGTGATCTTACCGGAAAAAGATGGGCTTCTGGTATCCAATATTTAAGACAAAATAAACATTTTACCATTGGTACACGAATCGTGTACCATAATGCGTTTCAGCCCCAGTTCTAGCAAGAGACTCGAGGAACGAGGCTAAACATATTGCACCAAACCAAACGGCGTATGTAGACTGGAATAACCAGGCGCTAGAAATTTGCATTCGATTGAGACTGCTGGGCTCAGACTAGTAATTATTTGCCCATTGACTTCAATGTTAAATGGCTGTAACATCACAGGCTGTAGCTTTTTGCTCAACATTCCGTTGGTTCCAATCTTTATAGGCACAATGGGGACCACATTTGGCAATCTCCTCATCATAAACTTGTAGGGGGTTGACCGTTTAGATTTTTTGCTACGGGGATTTGAAGTTGACTGGGGTGAAAATCTCACTTCCGATACAATGAATGCTCCGCAGAAAGACATTTTACACCCCCTATCCCTCCGCTGTAATATCATCAGTATTACCCAAAACTGCTATAAAATTGCAAATTTGATCCCTTTTCTCCTATTCTAGACCAAAAAGTCAACCCAAAAATGCAGGAAGAGGGGAGAAAAAAATTAAGGGAAAAATTGTCTATTTATAACTCGCACTCGCATTATAGTCTTAGTCCTGCTGGCTTATTTCGCGGAACATAACTGATTTGAAATTAGAGTAAAAACGGAAACCATTGAATGTATATCAGTTTATATACATTCATATTACAGTATTATATGAGTTGCGACGCACTTGTGTCAATTTCTAGGTCCTAAATGTTAGCGATTTAGCTCCTTTAAATAGGACTTGTAAAGTAGTAACTACATTTTGTTGACAAGGTCAAAAAATCGGGATAAAATTTCGCCCGGATTCCCTCTTATGACAATGCCAACAGCTGCAGCACGTCTGTAAGGTTTTGAAGGGCGGAGTAATGATTTTATCTTAAATTGATGCATGAAACAGTTCTTAAAGACGTGTGCCTTGATTATTTATTATAGTAATCACGGTGCTGGTTATTCGAATCTTAGCCTCCCTCTTCCGTTTTTAAATGAAATCATTAAATGGCCGAACCATGCTAATCTATTTGCAATCGGAGCCATTCGATGGCATCGAGAGTTTATTATGGTCTTGCAATAATGTTAATAAATGTCTAATTAATAATTCATATAACATTTAGGGCCCGAAGAAAGAACTGCAATAGTCTGACTTAGCTCTTGTATAATTCCTATTTAATATAATTAAATTGTATTTACAAATGTATCAGCAACTGTTGTGGGCGGTGCGTATATTAATGGCACAGCAGAAATTATGGCCTCTAGTGGTATAACATGGACTCAAGCTCCTATCGGCTATTGTATAGCATTATTTGTAGGTAAGTTTATATCATCATACTTATAAAATGAAATCGCTTTAACGTTCTACTGTTCTGCTGTATCCGGGCTAATAAGGTGGGCATACACCATACAGTATGTTATGGAGGAAATTTTGCCCGGGCAGACAGTCTACGGTCGAATTCCAACCGTAGAGGCAAACATTAATCTGGTCTTATTGCGTACCAGATTAATGTCCCATTCAGTTATTAACCTTAAAAATGGAAAACACGGTAATAATACGAAACGGAGGCGGTGAAATATTAAAAACCCTTCTTTTTGACAAGAGAAAGGGTGCACATCCTGTGCTGGCCAGAAAGCGACAACGTTTCGGTTATTGGTACCTATGCAAGGGTACAACTATCCATAAAAGTGTTAGAACGCGTAAACATAACAAAGCTTATGCACGATACACGTTACTATTAATAGCTACACGGAACCACATTTTGGACCTGGATGTCAGACACTGAGCTGCTGTGTTTATGATATCCTAGGGGTCAAAGATACTCAACACAATCAGCAGTGTTCTATCAGCAGAGTAAGCAAAGGTGTAACAGCAGAGTCATCACCGCGCTTCGACCTCTGGCTTGCGGCTGTGGTTTCGAGCCCTGGTGTGAGCGTATGTGGCATGGAGATAGGGGCGCCTTCTCAATCTCTGGGTTTCCTCCGGGCACTCCGGTTTCCTCCCACTGCTAAAGACCCCTACGCGCAAGCGAATTATTGAAATAAAATTAAACCATGTTAGTCCCGAAATGACCTAGTTGTGTCGAGTGGACGTTAAACCCCATTTCTCTCTCTCTCTGAAATTATCATATTTATATATAGATCTATTAATTCGTATTCTGTCTATTCAGGTGGTAATATATATGCACCAAAAATGAGAAGATCCGGATATATGACAATATTTGATCCCTTCCAGATTAAACTTGGTAAAAAAATCGGAACATTGATGTGTTTACCACAGTTTATGGGTGACTTATTTTGGACAGCGGCCATATTAGCTGCTTTGGGTAGGTACCGCAAGGCTCAAGAGCGGAATAAATGATAATATACGACCCTCCCAGATCAAACTTGGTAAAAAAAAATAGGAACATTGATGTGTATGGGCGACTTATTTTGGACAGCGGTCCCATTAGCTCCTTCGGGTAGATACTGCAAAACCATCCCCATAGCATAATCTGTTTAGGTTAGGGATGAAGGGCGAGCTAGTACATGTACATGTACATCATCCTAAAAGTGCATGACATGGTTTATTTTGGATAGCGGTCATATTAGCTGCCTTAGGTAGGGAATCCCAAGGCCACCACAATAACGTAACGTAACGTTTAAGCACACAATTTTTTAAAGCGCATGACATGATTTATTAAAATTATGCATTGACGTGGTTTTTGGTATGCTCTTGGGTTTTATATGATTAAGTCATATGCATGCATGAGGTTAAAGACCTCCATATTGCGTATAAAGTTTCTACTATTACATGTGATTACAAAGACACTCACGTTGATTATCTACAAAATCACAGACACGCTGTCCGGCGTTTGTGTTGTCGATATGACATAGCCTAGGAATAATTTTCGGGTTAAATTATATCTAAAACAATCTAAACGAATGGAAGGTTACGATGAGATGAAGGTTTTTTACTTGATCTGCTAACTTTTTTATACGCCCTCATTTTCATGTGGACGTATATTGTCGTCGCCCCTGTCCGTTCGTCCACAATTTTTTTGTGGACACTCTACAGGTCACAATTTTTATCCGATTTTGAGGAAACATGAAATATAGGTTTATCTCCAAAAGATCTCGGTTCCTTTCGATATTGATGTATCGTATAGTATCTCCATGGATTTTTGCCCCTGGCTGTACGAGAATCACGTTTTTAGTTTGTGGTCAGAATTTTTATCCGATTTTGATGAAACTTGAAATGCTTATATGTCTATAACCCAACGATCTCGGTTCCTTTCGATATTCGCACATACCGTACCTCCCTGGAATAAAGCTCCTTATTGAACGAAAAATTGCGTTTTTAACGTGTGATCCATCTAGAGGTCAGAATTTTTATCCGATTTAAAAAGAAAACGTTTAAATGGATCACCGTTACGCCATTATGATGATTGAGTTTGAATTTCGTGAAAATCAGACCGAAACTGCCGGACAAAATAGTGTTAAAGTATGTAATATCAAGGTTGTGGACCATCTAGAGGTCACAATTTTTTATCCAATTTTGATTAAACTTAAAAAATGTGTTTATATCCCAAAGATCTCGGATCCTTTCGATATTCCCGTATAACGGACCGATTTTTTTTATCATTTAAATATATCGTCATTACACCCTGATGATGATTGAGTAGTTCGAATTACGTAAAAATCTAAACGAACCTGCCCGACAAAATGGCCGCTCTTTGTACGCAAATTGTGTACAAGTATGTAATATGAAGGTTGTCGACCCTAGATCTAGAGGTCATAATGTTTGATGAAACTTAACATATTATGTTTATATCCAAAAGATCTCGGTCCCTTTCCATATTCGCGCATTTCAGATCATAACTTCTGATTGTACAAACAATCGCGTTTTGTTTTTAGCTTGTTCTCTATTCATCTCTTGCAAAATGTGGGTGTATCTTTCCTGACAATCGCTGCTTTGAAAACAGATTAGATATCAACGTTTAATTATTTCAGAAGCGAAATCATTATACATGTATAAGCATATATCGGGGCTGAATTAAATGTGAGCTGACTGGGTAGCCCTGGACCCATGGACCAATTGGTTTCCTTTGATCCCTATCGCTTTCAACAATAGGTAACATATCGAAAAATGAAACTAGCTTCAACTTCAGAGGTCACCACAGGTGGTCCGGTCTGTGGCAGCATTGCCGCCATTTTGACCTCACACCACTCAAATCCTAAATGAGAAGAAATATTGTCTTAGAGCTTCTGATCTGTAAAAGTCTCTGGTATCACTCAGAACTTACGCCAAACTTGACATCGTTTCCACCTTGGACCACCTGTTGCTCAAATTCTCAAGCACTCCCCTACACCTCCTGGTTGTACTATAGTTTATACACTGTCAAGGTAAATCTTACCCCGCTCCTAAACAAATCGTTATTTACCTTGCTTTAAACTGAAACTTGTTAATGTTTTACTACTAAATCTCATCTATAATACATGAATTGTATTGAAACGGCATGGTTCAGAAATAGGGCTTTAGATAAAATATATTTTGAATATTATATCATCTATTTTAGGTTCGACGGTATCTATTATATTAGATATGGATGAAACTATATCTATTATAAGTTCAGCATGTATAGCTATATTCTATACATTACTGGGTGGATTATGGTCTGTAGCATATACTGATGTTGTACAACTTATATGTATCGCAATTGGTCTTGTACGTAAAGTATAATAATTAGTCTCTGTGTCAACATTGGTACTTTACGTAAATTATTATACATACCCCAACAATCTGAGTCACCCTTGTTCCTGTACGTAAATTATAAATATATACCATTGGTCCCGTACATAAATGATAATACCTTAACAAGTTGTATCACCATTGACCAGTCTGTAAATTATAATTCCATACCCTACCAATCTGTATCACCATTGGTCCTTTACGTAAATTATAATTACATACCTACCAATCTGTATCACCATTGGTTCTGTACGTGAATTATAAGTACATACCCTACCAGTCCGTATCACCATTGGTTCTGTACGTAAATTATAATTACATACCCGAACAATCTGTATCACCATTGGTTCTGTACGTGAATTATAAGTACAAACCCGAACAATCCGTATCACCATTGGTCCTGTACGTAAATTATAATTCCATACCTACCAAATTGTCTCACCATTGGTTCTGTACGTGAATTATAAGTTCATACCCGAACAAACCGAATTACTGACATCTGATAATGATGATATCTAATTCCCATGTGTACAGAACCTTATAATGGAAAAGTTGTGGTTAATAGAAATAGCCAGGAGCAACGTATGTTAAGGGAATGTGTCTTCTGTTCTAGCCTATTAGGTACTTGTATGACCATGTATAATTTTTTGTATTATTCTATATTGAAATCAGCTTGTGTTGGCATACTTTTTATCTTTTCATCGTTTGCCGTGAAATAAAGCAGTACACCTATCATACCGGATTTTATCCTGTTTGCCTAAGATCAGAAGTTCCGGTGTCACTATGTAACAACGCGTTTACAAGTGTTTTAATCATAGTTATCTTTAAAATTTAAAGGTACTGTCTAATTTGTTCCATCCTTGTACCAAACAGGTGGCTGCTGTGCCATTTGCTATGACGCATGAATCTGTAAATTTTGAGAGAATACAGGATTCTTGGAGGGGAGAGGTAAAAACTTCACAGATAGGTTTGTTTATTGATGTTTATGGGTTACTCTTGTTGGGTGGCATACCTTGGCAGGTAAGTGGTAAATAATTATCTTTAAAAGGATTAAATCTATATAGATAAGTTTAAATATGTTCACATATGTTGCGTCTTCCGCGGAGTTTGATAAAACATCTGATGTCACCTCTTATTCACTTGCAGGACGGAGGGCCTGACAAGGACAGCTGTCTAGTTCTTCGGATGAGACGAAAAACCGAGGTCCCGTGTATACATTGGAATGCACGTAAAAGATCCATTGGCAGTTGGAATTCGATATAAGAGTAGGCGATAGTGCCGCTGCCCGGGCAAAATTTCCCTCATAGCACGCTGTATGGCGTATGCCCGTCTTCATTAGACCAGGTTAGGAGCAGAACAGTAGGACGTTAAACCCCATTTCATTTCATTTCATTTCTTATTCACTTTTTTTTATAAGTTTTTATTTATGTCACTGACCTGGCTCGGATTTGTCCAAGGTGATATTTTATATTCAGTAGCTTCGGCCACGGAAATAGGTGTCGCCCAATTTATGTGTGAGCTATGGCTATTATTATGTGTGCCGCAACTTTTGCAAGATCTCCTTGGTAATTATATATGTTCTATATATTTGGCATTAATTCAACTTGAATCTTACAGTGGCAGTGGTGCTGTAAGGGAAACGGGGTACACTGTGTATACATACTGACTTGCTCTTAAAATAATCACCGAAAGTTGCAATTCGAATTGAGTACGTGGAAGTAACACTGTCAGAATAACACCCGCCTCCCCGTTTTAGGACACGTAACCTCTCAAAATAACGGTGATTTTGTATTGAGAAAATGAAATGAGAGTTTAAAGGCTCAATACCACTCTTGTTGTAACTGAATAATATGTCTCAATCTTTATTCTGGTCAACAAATTGCACTATTTTACAATATTCCAATTAATTGATGATACAAATTTCATCTTAACACACCTAATTTAAAAAAATTGGAAAAATTCAACTAAATGATTTGAAAAGCCTGACGTAAAGCTGGATAATTTACACAACAGGTAGGACACTAACACATCTAGTACTTAGAATAAGGCTATTTTTTTTATTTTCTGGAGCTGTCAAGCCAGCAAGAGTGTTATTGTCCCTTTAACGTCCCACGCTTCTGCACCATCTGGGTTAATAAAGACAGGATATTGTGTTGAAACTATGGTACACGTTTATTAATAAGACAACATATAAAAACGTGGCTTGCTCATTTTTACAGGTGTATTTTCAAAGAATACTAGCTTGTAAATCACCAGAAAGAGCTAGATTAGCCTCATCAGTCGCCAGTATAGCCATTTTTTTCTTTGCTGTTCCAGCTGTAATGATGGGTGCCACAGGCGCTGCTACAGGTTTTTCTTTATTTTCATTTATATTACAATTGGTGATCAGCCCATTGGACTGTTTAAAGAAAGTGTTCGAGACAATGTTTAGTGCAATAAAAAATATTTAAATTCGATGGTTCGATTTAAAGGACAAATTCTGCCACATGGGATGCTGTTTACCCCTAGAGTTAGTTCCCTTGGACCCTTAAAACATACGTTCCATCGGTTCCGAACAAGAGGTGTTATATATTACTTTATCAGGGGCGGATCCAGGAATTTTTGCATTAGGGGGTTTGCCAGGTTCCTGAGACAATGTATCCCCCCCACACCCTCCCGCATTGTCTCTATCGTCATTTTGGCATATATACATACACATTGAGCTTTTTAAACAGAGAAACTCAAAACGCCGTTTAACGTCAATTTTTATTATGAATTAATACAGTGCCATTGTGATTCAATTTCATGGATGCAAAGTATTAATTGTGATATCACATGTCTATATCATTATCTCATTCTATCTCACATCTGACGATAAAGGATAAAGCACACGGCCGAGAAACTTTTCTCATAAAAAGTGTTGATTTACAAAAAAAATTATGTAGCTGAGCAGGGGGGGGGGGGCGACCCCCAAGCCCTCCTCTGGATCCGCCCCTGTTTATACTAAGAGACTCTATAATTGTAAATGATCACTTTTCACGTAATCGTGGAAACACGAAATACGAAAGACACCCGTTGATCATTTTTTTAAAATAATTATTAAATTTCGAACAATTACTTACAATTGTAAAATAAATTCCTTTATTTTTGGATACCGTTTTATCCATATTATCTGGTTGCTTTTTGTTTTCATAGTGTACATATAGGTCTTTCATTTGAATTTAAATGGTAGACCGTTGAACACCAAATCGGCCTTATTTCAACACTGGTTTTATGTACCTGTATTTTCAGACTGGAATCAGACCGCTTATAATGGGACAACACCAATACCACCAGAAAAGATGAGTTATATCTTACCATTAGTTTTACAATATCTCTGTCCTCTACCTGTTTCTATTATTGGTATGGGCGCCATTGCTGCCGCGGTCATGTCGTCTGCCGACTCAAGTATTTTATCTACGTCATCTGTGTTTGCTAAAAATATTTATATGGAAGTTATAAGACCAAACGTAAGTAATATATAATGCACTCCGTGCAGCCCCTGGTTGTGTAGTAAGGGTGTATAGTTTGGTTTGGTGAAATATTCATAATGAACGATTTCAGTATATTTTTTAACCCCAAAACCATACAGTTAGTCACCAAAATGATCATTGATCATAACTATGGGAGTTATTGGGGATTATTTGAAATGGCGGCCGTCTTGGACGCCATCCTGAATTTCTCAAAACGCTCAAGCATGACCGAGGTTCAGTCATAGTTCTGCCACACTAGCCTTTGTTGGTTGCATTACCATATCTACGAATAGTTTAAAGGACAATATTGGTTCCAGTCATTGTCACATATGTGATAGAGCTGGTTAAACACATTCCAGATATAATTTTAACACAGAGATCATTGCTACGATAGTTGAGTAATACAGGTTTCCTGAATCGGAAGTGACGAACGCCAAAGGAAAACACGAGTCATCTCTCTATATAACTGACTGATGTGACGAGTGATAACAGATACACGGCCGAATTTCTACTCACTAATAATTCCTTCGAAGACCAAAAGTTGTTATATGGGACTGTAAGAGGATACATGAAAATTCAATAAAGTAACTGAATGTCATTAGATAAGAGAACACGAGAAAAATAGAAATAGTCCGTACAGTCCCTTGTTTATATTCATTCTATACCTTATAAAAACATTGTAATGCACGGGATTTTTCTGTTTTTCTTTCGTGTTCTCTTATCTAGTGGCAGTCAATTCTTTTTATGAATTGTCAGGTATCCTCTCACAGTCTCACACAACAACTTTTGGTCCTGGAAGAAATTATTAGTGAGCAGAAATTCGCCCAAGTATCTGTTATCACTCGTCAATTCATTCAGTTAATAGAGGGATGGCTCCAATCTGTTTTACAGACCTAATGCGACATCCGTCTTTTATCTCTGTCCAAGATGACTGACCTTAAAAAGGTCAGACCGCTGTAGTTCTAAGGGTGACGTCACATCACAATGTTTACCAACAAAGCAAGATGGCATCGATAACGCCAAAAAAGATTACTTCTGTGGCTTGTTTTTGTTGTTTTAAGACAAACACGAGCAGGTCAATCAGATTAGACGGTAAAAAATGTACTTCAGAAAGAATTCAGAGTAAACAAACAGAAAAAAACGTCAAATTGATAGTCACACGTGCGTTGTTTACATCGAACGTAGTAATATGAACTGGTACGGGCAGAATTATATCGTTTTACCCATTTTACGCCTCCGCGTACTATTTTCTGTACCTATTTACGCTAAATATGGAATATTTTTTATCACGATATACTTCAAAAAACATTATTTATTTATTTTTCTAATACTAAAAAAAAATGTTTCAGAATTTAATTTGTCGAAAGAAAAAAGTTAATATTTTGTAGTCATTAAGTCGCATCGATGTCATCCTTATCAGTGATTGTAGCGGTCAAGCGAATATTCACTACGGACCAGTGTGGGATGGCTCGTGTTTTCCTTTGGCGGTCGTCACTTCCGATTCAGGAAACCTGTATTACTCAGCTATCGTCGCAATGATCTCTGTGATAAAATTATATTTGGAACGTGTTTAATTAGTTCTATCACATATGTGATAATGACTGACACCAATATTGTCCTTTAAGTAACATATCCGACCTGTTTAAGTAACATATGAGATATTTATTTATGGCACAAAATTCTTTTTAGAACTAAATTGTCCCCCCTCCCCCACTGCTTGGTTGTCCCGCCACCCCAATTAAACGACAGTCATCAACCATTATTTCATTAAGAATTTTCCGACTTAAATCGTATTTTTTCTACATCTTTTCTATCTTCAGGCAAGTGAAAAAGAGATCATTTGGGTTGTAAGGATAGCGGTAGTAGTAGCAGGAACTTTGGGTACATTCATTGCTCTGAGTGCTGAAACAGTGTACGGATTGTACATCCTATGTTCTGATCTAATGTACGTTATCCTTTTCCCACAATTCACCTGTGTTCTCTTCATAGAAGTAACCAATGGATATGGCTGCCTTGTTGGTTATTTCTTAAGCGTTGTCCTTAGAATACTGGGTGGAGAACCCCTCATTGGTCTCCCGGTGCTACTAAAATTCCCCTTCTTTTCTGAAGAAACTGGACAAAATTTTCCATTCCGCACGTTGACGATGGCTTGCAGTTTTATAACCATTGTTCTGGTGTCCAAATTAACCGAAATGCTTTTCAAAGGTCGTTATCTTCCTCGAGAATGGGACGTGTTTGGGTGTTCTGAGCCAAGTTACAGAAAGAGGCTTCAGAAATATGATGAGCAACACCAGCACGAACTGTATAACTTGGGATTAGCCAAGAACCGTGGACCATCGAAAGGAATTACAGAAACTCTTTTGCTGAAAGAAAGCGAGCCAACTACAGAATTAACTGATTAGTTTTACATTTACACATTATAAACTTTTAACTTGACAATAAATGAAATTAATTTCATAGAAAATCATATACACAGATCCAAGAACTGACCTACATAGATCGCGTTCACTTGATTTGATAAATCCGTGTGTTATTCATTGCTTGTAATGTCTGTGTAATTTGTGAGTGAAACTGTTCGCAGGTTTTTCTCGTAATGGGTTTTGTTTGCGTCTAGTGCGGTCCTTCTACATTTACTAGATTAAAGCGTTGTTCATGGTTGTCTGCTGCACTTCTGAATACAACTAGAAGCTATGAAGCATAAAACTCAGGCGTGATCTTAAAACGTACAAAATATCGTACTGTATCAAGAATATCGTTTTAAAGGAGTTAGATCACTATCCTTTGATACCTAGAAACGGATACAAATGGGTCGCAACGCATATAATAATGTAATATGAATGTATATAAACTGATTTGTATTCAGTCGTTTCTGTGTTGACTGTAATTTCTAATCAGCTATATGTCTTTGACGTCTGGTTATTCCAGTGTATACACAGGTAGTACTCTCCTACATGGGATATGGTTAGCCTCGGTCTCGTTCATCGAGTCACTTTATACAACTGGAGGTCAAAATTTTCATTTTGTCTTAAATATTGGATATCAGATGCTCAACTTTTCACGGTAAGGTAACAACATCAATGTTGATTTAAATTGATCAATAAGTCGTGCTTGCAATGTCGAATACCGTGGATGGTATTGAGTTAGAGACTTAGCTTATTTAAAACATATACACACAATTTGATTAAAATACAGATCTATATTTCGTTTCGTTTTTTATACTTCCGATGGCCTACACTACATGTAAAGACAAGTAAAACGAAAATTTGAACTATAACAAACGAAACGAAATAGGATCTGTGTTTTAATCAGATTGATATACACACGACCATAAGTTTTATTTATTTATTTTAAACATTTAAAATCATATGCTTATTAAATAAACTAAACGATACTTACCAAGTAAGTTAAAGCTTTATTATGATGTATGATTTATTGGAGATTCCTTGTATAATTTCGAAATAAAATGATTATTTCTTTACAAATCATAATTGTTCTTTTGAATTCCATACTCTTATGGATACGTCAGTGTAACCATGTCTTTATAAACTAGGTAAAGTTGGTATAACGTCCCCTTTTCTGCTTCAATCGGGATACATGCAGAGAGATTAAGTGGAACTTTGCCCGGATAGCAGAGTTTCCATCGAATTCCATTACCAAGGGTTCTTTTGTACGTTCAAATGCAATCTCAAATGCATAAATCAGTGTTAAACGTCCTACTTTTCTGCACCAACCGCCGGGATAATAAAAATACATTCTCCCCCCCCCCCCCCGATTGAATATACATACTTAATAGAGTTCAGTATTATCCAACTTTGATAGTTTTTCAATGTAAGTAAATATAAATGTGCCAGAAAATTATTTATATATTTGAAAAGAGAGATGAAAGTGCTTTTCAGGGATATATAACATAATATCTGGTGTTTCGTATTAAGACCCGTATTTTTACTTTGAATACCCCCTACCTCCAGCATTTAATAGATTTTTGTACCATTCGTCCTTGATCACCTCTCAAGGCAAGTAAATACAAATGTACCAGAAAATTTGAAAAGAGCAGTGAACGTGCTTGTCAGTGATATGTAACATGATATCGGGAATTTCGTATTAAGACCCGTAATTTGGTAGTGGCGGCCAGCTTGATTCGCAGTTAGTGAAGGGTAAGTATTCTTAGTGAAGGGTGAGATAGTGAGGGCTGACTTGATCTCGTGGCCGCTTCAACATTGATAAATAAAGTCGAAATCACGACAACCCGACATCACGACATTTGTACGCGACAATACGACATTTTTACGCGACATTACGACATTCTTAATGTCGTGGTGTCGGGTGAAAATGTCGTAGTGTCGGGGTGAAAATGTCATGATGTCGGGTTGTCGTGGTGTCAGGTTATAATGTCGTGATGTCGGGTTTTCGGGTTGTCGCCTTATGAAGGGCGACACCATGACATCACGACATGATACCAATCAGCCACCATATCAATGTTAGAAAACGTTGAGATATGTTTGTGTTAGAAGTTTTATTTCTATTGCTTAAAGTCCAACAGTATTAAAGGGTGTATAGCTCTATTTTTTCTAAACCTTAAAATACACGAAAAAGGGTGTAAAAGAACATATTAATGTAAAATGGATGTATATAAAGTTATTTGCACCTTTTTTTTAAAAAAACATATGTTATTGTAATTTCTAATCAACTACGTTCGTTGAAATACCTGTCTTCATTAGCCCAGGTTAGGGGCAGAACAGGACGTTAAACCCCATTTCATTTCATTTCATTTCGTTGAAATACGTGAACAGTCGAAATTTAACGACCGTCGTTTGCCCGTGCTTATTCCATTCTATTATTTTGTCGTTTGTGTATTACAAATGTCGTCTTCATTAGCCCAGTTGGAGCAGACCAGTAGGACGTTAAACCCCATTTATTTCGTTCCATTTCATTACAAATGATGCCCGAAACCATTATATTTCCTAGTTTGAGAGAGAGAGAGAGCGTTTAACGTCCACTCGACACAGACCAGGTCATTTCGGGACTAACATATTGTTAAGTTTTATTTCAATAAATCGCTAGCACGTAGGGGTTTTTTTTGCAGTGGGAGGAAACCGGAGGAGAAAACCCATGAGGTTGGAAAGGCGACCACGCCAGTTGACTTAATGCCAGGCCTTATGATACAACGCACACGCGCTAACCATTCGGCTATCCACACCCCTGGATAATATTGAGTTTAGCTCCTTTAAGTATGCTATATTACTTCCTATACAGAGGCTGTTTCGGTTGAGCTAATCCTTTCACAGTAACAATTATATTGACGCACATACTTAAACGTTAAGGTTTGCATGGTATAAACCTATGGGAGACCAAACGCCTCTTTATTCAGTGTTCTTAGTTCTTAGTTCTTAATTCATAGTCATTATTTCTCATTTACTGAAATATGTTTAATCTTATTAAAATACAATTAAACAAAAAGAGCATCGCTAACGCTGTATACTTTGATTGATATGGTACTTTTTAAAACGAAGAGAATGAAATAGCTGCAATGACTGTAATATGACAAGAGGCAAAGAAGGCTAGGCGTTGAGTTTGTTTTGCCAAATTTAGAGACTAAACGTTAACAAAAAAGTGGGTGTGACACTACCCCTGGGGGTTGGATATGAAACAATATAAATAGGTACCACCCTGTTATTGAAATGATTGATATGCTCAATTTGAACAAAATCTGTTAATTATTGCAACTTGTGGACATCTGTTAATTATTGCAACCTGGGGACATGCACCAAAATAAATAGTTGCTATCCTTACATATGCCAAGTTCCAAGATGATCCAAGGCCCCTACGCGCATGCGAATTATTGAAATAAAATTGAACCATGTGTTGGTCTTGAAATTAACTAGTTTGTGTCGAGTGGACGTTAAACCCAATCTCTCTCGGCCAATCGCCAAAACAACAATAGGGTCATCCTTAGGGTATCAGGAATAGGTATGCAAAGTTTCAAAAGTATCTGTTAAGAATTGCGGCATGTAGGCGAAACACAAGACACACACAACAATTGGGCGTGCCCCAAAAATAATAGGGGTCATCCTTAGGGTATAAGCAATAAGTATGCAAAGTTTCAAGATAATAAGTTAAGAAATGGGCGTGGTTCTGCACAGAGGATCGGGCTAGCACCCAAAGCAATAGGGATCATCCTTAGGGTAAAAGGAATAAGTACGAAAATTTTTCAAGACGATCGATTAAGAAATTTGACCTGTAGGCAGCACACAGACACACAAAAAGAAAATGTTCGTGGCTCTGCCCCTGGGGGTTAGGCAAGCACCACAAATAATAGGGATGTTCTTTAGGGTATAAGCAATAAGTATGCAAAGTTTCAAGATAATAAATTAAGAAATGCGGCCTGTAGATGACAAACAAATACAAGAAATGGGGGTAACTCTGTCCCTGGGGTCGGGCATGCACCAAAAACAATAGGGATCATTCTTAGGGTATAAGGAATAAGTGTGCAAACTTTCAAGCAATCTCCACACACACAGGGGTAACGGCAAATAGTTTACAAGTCTGATATGCCAAATGTCTGATTTGTAAAACAATTATTTATTTTAAGATACAAATGTTAATTTTTGTGTACAAATGTCAAAATAAGACTACAAATGAAGAAATAAGAATTAGGAACTATGAATTAAGAACTAAGAATTAAGAACTGTTTGGTCTTCCATATAAGCCGAGGCATTCGTGACTCATCATATTGTAAATATTGGATTCATTGAAATCATAAAAATTTTGTTTTCCTGATGATCAAATTATTTATATTGATAGCTTTTTATAGCGTTCAGATATCAACAGGTCTAGTTCAGTTTAGACGCGATTTAGCGCCCACTCAACACAAACTTGGCCATTTCGGGACTAACAGTGCAGGGTGACCGGACCACACACAAACAATTACACAGATACATTTATGGACAAGACACAATTCGCAGAAATCACAAACAAACGTTAATATCAGATTAAGTGAATGGACCTGGGGACTAGTCGTAAGCGTCCACTGCGCTGTACAGTTCCAGGCCTGTAGCGATACAGCTACAGACTTCACTCTAAAATGAAAACTAACAATAATTAGAAATATTATTTTTGTGTATAGCTTATGCAAAGAGGTCTTTAGCATGAGTGGAAAAAGAACGGGGGATAAAAAGAAAGCCCACAGGCGACCCAACTCCTTGTCACGTACAAGCAAGGAGAATCGAAAACACGCCACTTGACTCAATGACAGACCTTGTGGGATCTGAAGCGCACGCGTTAAACCAATCGGCCACCTATTGTTGGAGACTGTGTCTTTAACGACTGGGTGTGTATTGCCCTAAATCATAGCTAACAACTTCCTTTTTTGGAGACCGTGTCTTTAACAGCTGGGCGCGTAATTGACCTATAAACTCTATATAAAGGTGCTTGTCGCTTGTCCCAGTAGTTTCTTCTTAATATATATATATATATTACAATACAAGTTATCCCCTGCAGTGCGGCTAAATGGATGTAGGCTTCTTCTTACACTCGTGTTCTCGGGACCAGTAACTTGATATGTGTACAACCCTATTCACATATAGATAGCCGTGGATTGTATCCCACTCACTTATTCTAATCTTAAATAGGTTACGTTTATTTGATCAAATACAGCTAGGTGTAAAATGGATGAAGTTAATATAGCAGGTCTTGTTTCTGTGATAATCTTTTACGTGTTAATTCTTGGAATTGGAATCTTTGCTGCAAGAAAAGCAGCTAATGCGACAACCACAGATGTGTTGGTTGCTGGGAGAGACATGGGATGGATAGTTTCCTTCTTTACTCTGACAGGTATATATAGAGAGACAGAGATAAGGTTTAACGCCCACCCGATACCAACTAGGGGTCTTAAATTGTAGCATTGGGAGGAAAACGCAGGACCCGGAGAAAACCCACGCGGTTGGACACGCGACCCTACTACTTGTCACGTACAAGCAACCGGGAATCGAAACCACGCCACTTGACTCAATGACAGACCTTATGATCTAAGTCATTCGTACAATCCACCCTACTTACACCCCAGTAGTAATACATGTATATGCATAGGTCTAGAGGGAGTCGCGATGACTCTGTGAGTAAGGTGTTGTCTCACTAACAAGAAATTCCCCCGGGTTCGATCCCGGTTATGGCCGAGAAATTACCTCGGGATATTCCAGTGTGGTTCCCTCCTTGCCAATGTATAGTAGGGATCCACGTTTTCTCAGTGAATAAGGCACAGACTGGGCTCACTTGATTGTGGTTCCTTGCCAAAAGAGGGTCTGGCAGGGAAGTATCTGTAGCCGTTCGAATGGAACGAAAATCGAGGTCTCATTTACACGTTGGCGTGCACATAAAAGAACCCTTGACAGTTGAAGCCCGTAGCTCCGTCGTCCGGGCAAAATTACCATCTTAGCACACTGCATGACATATATCCATCTTCGTTTACCTGGTTGGTGCTGAAAGGTAGCCGTTGGTGGTCAATAAGAGTAGTATGGAAATGTACTTATCATCCGCATAAATAGAAGTTCAGTTTGAATGTCTGTTTTTATTCTGTTGTATGCAGCCTTATACTTTTAACCGTTTCGGTTTTTGTGGGCTGAACTATTCATGTTGTGTGAAACAGTGTATATCTAATACCCATTCTGACTTGAGAATCCACGTACTAGCTAACACACATTTATTGTACTTTTATATCAGTGTACATCTTACACAATGTATCTCTTACACAGTGTATCTCTCAAGCTAGGTTCCCACTGTCGTGCGATGTATTGTCCCCCTAATTGAGTCCACGATCTGGTACGTGAATTATAGATACGTTCGAATACGTTTCTATACGATCAACGCGATTGTCACGGCTGACCTCAATATATAAGACCTGGTAGGATCACCACGATTACTCGTAGTGCGAATCGCGATAGTGAGAATCTAGCATTACATAATTTGGTATTAGAAAATATATACACTCGCCTAAACTGAGCACCCATACACTCCACCCCACCCCTACCCCAACTGACCTGATCTCAGTGAGGCTAGTCTTATTAGAAACCCAACAATACATTTTTAATATTTTATCTACATATAAGCTTCACAGGTTGGAGGAGCGTATATTAATGGAACGGCAGAAATCATGGCGTCAAGTGGATTGGTCTGGGCACAAGCACCACTGGGTTATTGTATTGCTATGATAATAGGTAAGAAAAAACTTTTATTCTTCTCTCTTCTATCAGAGAACTTGTCTTATTTTCATTTTTGTTATCTTAGCGCACGCGCAAGGGTCTTTCCTGTGGAAGGAAATCGAGTACCCCGAGAAGGTGCCCCCTATCTCCAAGCCACCTACGCTCACACAAGGGTGACCACTGACCAGCAAGCTATAGCTCGAAGCGCGACACTCTAGACCACTGAGCCACCCCAACCCCCTCGAGGTTCCGGTGTTGTCAGTGATGCAGGACAGAGGGCCTTGCAAGGGACAACGTATAGTCGTTCGGATGGGACGTAAAACCGTGGTTCTGTGTACACATTGGCATGCACGTAAAAATACCCTTGACAGTTTGAGTGGGCCGTAGTGCCATTGTCTGGGCAAAATTTCTCTTATAGCACACTGTATGGCGAATGCCCGTCTTCATTAGCCCAGTCGGAGCAGAACAGTAGGACGTTAAACCCCACTGCATTTCATTTCATTTATTTAATAGCGACTTCCCTCGATTTTACACGGAAATTTAATAGCGAGTTCAATATTACAGGGAAAGATTTAAGTCGAAAGGTCTTTATTTATTAGCGAATTCAATATTATAGGGCAAATACATACAAAGATTTCAGTCGCGGGCTTTAATCGCTAAGCTTTTATTTCGAAAAAAAAACCCACACTCTATATAACCTTGCATCTGATATTTTAAAATATTGCATTCGTGAAATAACACACCACTGTAGAGATTATATAAGCTGTTATTAGAAGATATTAATTTCCATTCTTTAAATGTAATAAGCTAATATTAGAAGATGTTAATTTCCATTCTTTAAATGTTTTATTATCACCTGGTAAATAATGCTCTCTCTGAACGTTTGATAACAGCTTTGTCTGTCCGGGCAAGGTTTTTTTTTACCTAGAAAACGTGTAAATACACTATCTATGCACATTTTGATAACATCTTATCTTAGCTATAGTACATGTAGCTCAGATTACCTAGTATATTTATCCACTATGCACACCATATAGATCAGATTACCTAGTACATTAATGCACAATACACCGTGCTTATTAAACCATACCAATCGTTAACGTGTTCGCGTTGCATCATAAGGTCTGTCATTGAGTTAGGTGGCATGGTTTCGATTCCCCGTTTATACCTAACAAGGAGTAGGGTCGCCGGTCCAACCTTGTGGGTTTTCTCCCGGGTCCTCCGGTTTCTTCCCATTTCAAGACACCTACGTGCAAGGCCCGTCTCAGTCAACCCCTGGCCTTCTTTGCTTCATAAATTATTAGAACCATAAGTTAAAAAGCTATTTTCTGGATAATTAGCAACGTTCTGTTCATTCTATTTTCTTTTGAAGCCGGTAATGTGTATGCCCCACGGATGAGAAGAGCTGGTTACGTCACACTATTTGACCCCTTCCAGATAAAGCTTGGTAATAAGGTTGGAACCTTGATGTGTTTCCCACAGTTCTTGGGTGACATTTTCTGGACAGCGGCCATATTGTCTGCACTTGGTGAGTTGAAACAGCCCTGTTCTTAAAGTATTATTTATTTGCTGTGTTGTTCCCGGTGTCACAAATAACAAATGAGGTTAAATTACAATAGATATCACAGTAACCAAAAGGGGGTCAATAACTCCAGACTTCCACCTCTAAACACAAAATTAAAAATCAATTCTTCAAATCCTTTTGTTTATTTTTTTTTATGAAATTACCAATGTTTTAAATAAACAATGTTTGCATTCAGGGTGCTATTTTTTTTATCCATATTTGTATACGTAAGTGTTTCCGCCCATTTGTCTATTTTCTTTAAGCTAAGTGTTCATTGTTTCTAAGTCTGTAGCTTGGCCGTCTAGTCTATAAAGCAGTGCACACATTAGCCGAATTATTCGGCCGAATCAATCGGCGCCGAATTTTATTCGGCCGAATGGGTGGACACACTAGCCGAATGCTTCGCCCGATTCACCAGTCGATTGCATCACCTTTCACGTCTTATGATTAAACATGGCGGCGTCTATGTCTTCAAACTATCACGTGACTTCACTATATGAGTGGTGATTGGCTAATAAATTCTACATTCGGCCGAATGCTTCGGCGAAGCGGACACACCAGGCGAATATAATTCGGCCGAATATATCAAACCTGTCTGCGATATCACCTCGGTGGAAGCGGACGTAAAATACAACTAACTCATCATCAAACCTGTTTGATTCGGGCGAATCATTCGCCCGAATAGGAATTAGACCGAATGACAGTGGACACACTAGGCGAATTTCGACGCCGATTGATTCGGCCGAACGATTCGGCGAATCATTCGGCTAGTGTGTCCACCGCTTTAGATCTAAAGACGCATCTGCAAATTAATTCATTTAACAAGATCATTTATAATAATGTAAAATAAGAAGATGGACCAAAACTCAACCCTTGGGAACCCCAATGGTCAATCTATTAAAATACAGATCTCTACTTCCTCTCGTTTTTTTATATTTTCAATGATCTCTACTACATGATGATCTGACCGGTTGTAGTGGAAGGTCGCATCAGGGGTCATACGAGCGGCGTTGATGTTTCTAATGGGTTACCCACAGTTCCGTGCATCTCGAGCCAAAAACAGACCGTTTCATTGGCTAATTCCTCACATAATCCAGAACGCGGGTTATTTACGACTCTTTCAGATCCTAGTGTAGTAAAGACAAGTAAAACGAAATTTTGAACTATAAAAACGAAACGAAATAGGATCTGTGTTTTAACCAGATTGCCCAAATGGTAAAACGGTACCACGTATTTGCTGACGTCACAGACATTATTCTGATATTTTGAAGCTGATCAATGGCTTGACCCAAAGAGTGGAAACATGTAATGGTTAGCTTATTTAATGATACATTATTCAAGAGCTAAATTTGCCTATTGCAGGTCTTTCTTTAGGCATTAAATGTTATATAAATTATTAATTATTTAAAAATGGCTAAGTCTCGAATATACCAGTACCATAGTTACGATAATAAACAATCAATGCACACATCTTGTCAAAACTACCAACAGTAATAATTTGGCTCAGAATTAATTAATTTGAATGAAATTTTCAATATATTCATTATGCAGTATCTATTTGTGAACTACTATAGCAAGATCGGTCAGTTCTTTATCTAAATCTTACGTAATGTATCTTTAATTTGAGATACATGTCTGTTTCTAATTCTAAATTTACACTTTAAAATCTACTTATTTTTCAATTCCAGGTTCGACAGTATCTATTATTTTATCTATAGACCGAACTATATCTATTATAAGTTCAGCATGTGTAGCTGTATTCTATACATTACTGGGTGGATTATGGTCTGTAGCATATACTGATGTTGTACAACTTATATGTATCGCCATTGGTCTTGTACGTAAATTATATTAATTAGTCTAAAATCTTTCTAACCGTTGTGTATATTATGGTATACCTCAAATACTCTCTAACAACCGCTAACTCGATAAAGACGAGAGCATGTTCATCGAAACTTTGCATATTGTTACTCCATAAATAGTTGTTAGTGTGGAGATAAACCGTATTAATAATGATACAGTCTATAATCGTGTGTTTACTTAAGTTTCCACATCTATCCGCCATAACACCGTTTGACTGGGGGAGGGGTGGGGCTAATTCGAGATTAAACCTCTATAAAGCGGGGAGAGGGAGGAATGGGGTTTAACATCCACTCGACACAAAGTAGGTCATTTCGGGACTAACATATGGTTCAATTTTATTTCAATAATTCGGTTGCGCGTAGGGGTCTTTAGGAGTGAGAGGAAACCGGAGGACCCGGAGAAAACCCACGAGGTTGGACAGGCGATCCTACTCCTTGTCACGTACAACCGGGGAATCGAAACCACGCCAGTTGACTCAGTGACAGACAATTTTTTTGACACACCGCGCACGCTATAAAGCCATTATAATTTACGTAAATTATATTAAATACTTTAACGATCTCAATCAGCATCACCTTTGGACGTGTACGTAAAGTGTAAAAATGAAATAAAATGGGGTCTAACGTCCTACTGGTTTGCTCCGAACTGGGCTAATGAAACGGGCATACGCCATACAGTGTGCTATGAGAGAAATTTGGCCCGGACAGCGGCACTATGGCCCACTCTTATATCGAATTACAACTGCCAAGGGATCTTTTACCTGCACTCCAAAATGTACGCAGGACCTCGGTTTTTTGTCTCATCCGAACGACTAGACAGCAAATTGGTACAATAATGCATACTGTTTATTTCAGGTAGTAGCTGTACCATTTGCCATGACTCACGAATCTGTCGATCTGGACAGGATTGACAATACGTGGAAGGGTGAGATACAAACTCCACACATAGGACTTTATATAGATGTTTGTTTTTTACTTGTGTTTGGTGGTATACCATGGCAGGTAAGTGATTCCCTTGTTGATCTTGTAGAATTAAAGACAAATAGCAGAGGCACTTGGTCCATAACTCTAATTGTAAAACAAAATTATGTATCACCATATTTAGATCGTCTCTTTTGTGTTTCTATCCAGTATAAGTTCTTGGTGGTTCCTCACAACCAGAGAAGCATTCGGTATATTTATAAAACGATAATGAATCACAATATTTAGATGGTCTCTCATGCCAGTATACACTGCAGGTGGTTCCTCAAATGGTGCTCCAGCTTACATTTATAGATTAAAGATACATTATGTAAGATTTAGAGAAAGAGCTAGCCATTCTTGTTATAATAGTTCGAAAATAGATAATACCAAATGAATAAATTGAAAATTTCATTCAAATTACTCTATTGCGAGCGAAGATATTAGCCTTTGAGGGTTTGACAAGACGTGTGCAATAATTTCAAACACCGCACTGGTTGTACGAAGCTAAGTCTCGCTCCTCAATTTTTTGCTAAAATCAAAAAATGCCAGAACATTTCTAATTTATTTAATATCGGGGAAATCCGATGCCATCGAGAGTTAATTATGGCCTGGATAAATTAATTAATGTCTAATTAAAAATTTAGAAAACTTTTCGGGCCTAAAGAAAGACCCGCAATAGACAGATTTAGCTCTTGCATAATGTATGTTTAATATTGTGTGTTTAGATGAGCGTTTATGTAAAGCAAGAAATTTCACTAAGGTGTCATTTCGTATCAGGTGTATGATGTATCTCTACCTGGACCAAGTTCGAAGAAAACGCATTCGCAAAATCTTTAAATGCCCAATATAGCTTAACTGTACGTTCCCCGCATCCTTCGTCAATCATTCTATTACATTCATCATAATCATTTATATTATTTGTACACGAATTATCTAGGAATTTTTCCAAAGAGCACTGGCCTGTAAAACCGTCCAACGAGCAAGAATTTCCGCATTAGTTGGAAGTTTTGGGATGATACTTTTCGCCATCCCATCAGCTTTAATGGGGGTGGCAGGATCAGCTGCAGGTAGGATTACAATTCAAGATAACAGGTAACATGTAATCAACGATAAAGCTGACAGGACCACACACCATGTGCCCCTGGTTGTACATACAATTAATGACCAACAGCGGGGACATTTTGTGCATTTTCTGAACCATAATATCGAATAACAGTGTTTAGATAGTCTGTTAAGGGCCATTCTCGGTTACCCAGTGTACTCATTCCCTTCTACTCCACTATACCCTGGGTTAATCCATAGGGTTTCCACGATTTCAAATTATTTGCCCTGGCCTAGAATGTAGCTACAGTCTACGAAACAATCAGAAAACAGTTTACAAACTAATCGTTTCTTCTTTGTTTTTATAAGGGTAGATAACCATATTCATCTCCATTTAGTGAATGATTTATGTAAATAATGTATATATTAATAATTTATTTATATTTAATTGTATTATCAAAATCTGTAGTATGTGTTGTTGATTTCAAATATGTATAACATCTATATGTTTGACTTTTGGTTTTATTATTACTATTCGTCCTTTGTCTGAAATATGTCACTCTGTTATGTTTATTATTTTTGAACTTATTCTTGGCAATTTGATTCGTAATAACTTGTGTACGATATCACGTGGACATAAAATTCCGGGAACGAACGAACGAACGATTTAAATAAAACTAATGACCCTACATTAGGGTGGCCCACCATAAATAAATATCTCGACAATTACGCCACAATATTTATATATATGCCAAGCCTCAAATCAGTTTCACACAATTATAGTCACTAAATAAACGATCATGTTGTACTTAATAAGCTATGACCATTAATCATCTATAAATAATAGACTGAAAACTGGTTCCAAGTGTCGTCCATAACATCCAGACACTTTTGAGTAAAAGATAGGTTACGTGCCCTTGTTTTGAAATTAGTCTCGCTTAACCAGTCTATCGACCATTCTACGTCTGATTGACAGGTCGGGATAATCAAGACTACTTTTTTACGAAATATAACAGAAAGCTAGAACAAGAAATTGAATTTAGAAATAAGCACGTTAGCTAGCTCAACAATTGTTTTAAGAAGCTTGTAAAAGTAAAATGAAACTACTGCTAGTATCATGTTCCTGTCTAAACCGAGTGATTCAGAGATATTATTTGTACTAAACCAAAAGATGCCGCTCTTAACGGTACAGTTAATGATAAAGCGATTTAAAAAATAAAACGAACGTAATTTCTAAATCTGCTGTAATAACCAAGAAGCTTAATTTTACCGCTATTCAAAATCGTCAACAATAATTTTTTTACGGCTGTAATAGTTGATAGATTTGTAGAGAATTGCACGTGCCATGGCTATTTATAGTATCATATTGTCAGAAAGTTGGTCTCGACACGGCGAATGTGCACGCTTCAGTGGTAGTCTCGAACTATCAGCGGTGGACTGTATTTCTGTAGAGTGCATGGGTCACCCTACCTAAATTATTATAATATGAACGTCTGGTCTTCATTAACATAATATATAATTGGTTGCTAATTATTACTCATTTAGAATAGGTCAACTCCTAACATTGTCCGATGAAAGTTACTTCCCTTTGCCAACTTCCTTTTCAAATAACAATTTATAGGATTGGTCTATAAAAATAGCACAATCATCAAGGGCGGATAACTTGAAAACGTGTCTCCCCCATAGATTAACCCAGGGTATAGTGGAGTAGAACGGAATGAGTACACTGGGTAACCGAGGATGGTTATGTGCATATATCCAGTATACGCTCTTGGAAGACAGATTTCTCTAACTTAAATTTATAAAATTGCGATATTTTTGTCAAGCAGTTTAGTATTGTGGCTGAAAGCGTCCATTTAGATCGGCGTGTTTCTAAATACAACGCTATAGTCGCCGTTAAGCCAGCACGACGAAAAAGGTGCCGATCGGCGACTTTTTCGTCGTACTACCTTATCGGCGACCCGCGACTTTCACAACACGAGAGTCGCCGTTAAGCAAGTCGCCGAAAAAGTCTCCGAAAAAATCGGCGCTTTTTTCGGCGACTTGCTTAACGGCGACTCTCGCCTCGGAAGTTTATAGTTAGTTACATGCGCAATGGCTACATTTTACTTCTTGTATATAAAATGGAGGAGCTTTTGGATGAGCTAGGACTTGTAGGCTAGCCTACTTTCTGCCACAGATGGAGCAACATGTGGCAAACTCTTGCACAAAAGCATGTATGAGGTTTACCATGAAAAACTTGAAATACACAAGCTGGAAGTAGGGACAAGTAAACATGCAATTTTCGGCCCTACATTTCAACCTAACCGACCTCTCAAAATCATGAATATTTACCAAAACCTGGCAGAAAATGTATTATCAAAACCCTTTCTTCGATTCTACACCAAAAATCGCCATTCAAAAGGGGGGAAAGGGAGAGAAAGACTAAAAATAAGTTTCGCCCTACATTACGGCGTAGAAATATTTGGTGATCTGTGTGCGTAAAATGTAGCCATTGCGCATGTAACTAACTATAAACTTCCGAGGCGAGAGTCGCCGTTAAGTAAGTCGCCGAAAAAGGCGCCGATTTTTTCGGCAACTTTTTCGGCGCGTGGCTTAACGGCGACTCTCGTGTTGTGAAAGTCGCGGGTCGCCGATAAGGTAGTACGACGAAAAAGTCGCCGATCTGCGCCTTTTTCGTCGTGCTGGCTTAACGGCGACTCTCGCGTTGTATCTAGAAACACGCCGATCTAAATGGACGCTTTCAGCAACAATCCCGTTGTATCTAGAAACCCGCCGATCTAAATGGACGCTTTCAGCCACCATAGTTTAGGACCTTTGTAAGAATACATAGTCACATTTAGTTTAAACGCCATAATGCTTTCTGTTTCCGTTTGCCACATTGTTGTGTGCCGTATGGCCTGATTACATTTATGCTAAGTTTGTAATCAAGTAAGTGACAATCTTTGATCTAGACAATTCTGAATCTGCGGGGCTATAATCTAATAGAATCCAAAATGTCACCATAGACTAAGATCTTCATATTCAAATACATACACATGGGTATATTTGTCAGGGGATTTACTAACGACCCCTTGTACAATCGTTGGCGACATATTATTTTGAAAATAATTGAAAGTTAGAGAGTTTCTTTTGGTTATGCCTTGTATTTGATTTAGCATGTCCAATCTCTGATTAATAAGTTTGGGCAACTGTGTAACTAACTATTTGACTTTGTTGAAGCTAAACAAATCATTAATTTGCTGTATTTACCATTTTGGACATCTGCTTTTCATTTTCAGACTGGAACCAGACCGCTTATAATGGAACTATACCAATACCACCAGAAAAGATGAGTTATATCTTACCATTAGTTTTACAATATCTCTGTCCTCTACCTGTTTCCATTATTGGTATGGGCGCCATTGCTGCTGCTGTCATGTCGTCTGCGGACTCGGGCATTTTATCATCCGCTTCAGTTTTTACTAAAAACATTTATGTCCAATTAATTAGAACGAAGGTGAGGAATTTGTGATAATTTATGGGGTATTAAGATCTGGTCTAAGGAAGGGGATGTAGTCGCTACACGAGGTGCAGGATTACGATAAGAGTTCGATGGGGCTGCACCAGTGCCGTATCTGATGGCCGCCACTGAGAGGTAGTGGCATTAAGACCATTCAGAGCATCCATGCGTCAAGGCAGACACTGGGATCTTGCTCTGCTGAGTGAAGAAGGAGGAGAAAAAGAAAGAACTTAGGTTGACCATATCAGTAAAAGCAATGAGGGTGAAATTTTCTTGTAATGCTATAATTTGTTAGTTAAAAGATTACCGAAATTGACTTGTACTTTTGAGCTGATTTTATGATAAAGTTATCTTTTAAAAAATGGGTGTCGTCAGATGATTAGACAGGGGCGCATTTCCACTGCTTGACATATGCGCTGTTGTCTCAATTAGTCAGATATGAAGACGATCCTACAGTTGAAGGAGATGGGGGAGAAGGGTAGTGCAGTTATTATAGTAACAACTTGTTACAATGTTATGACACAATCTTTTAAGGTTAATATTAAAATATAATTAATCTTATTATGCTTCGTGTATATGCTATATTCTTTTAAATACGTTATTTGTTATTAACAGGCATCTGATAGAGAAGTCATATGGGTCCTTCGTATAGCGGTTGTTGTTTCTGGAGCCTTGGGTACGGCGCTTGCCCTAAGTGCCAATAGTGTGTATGGTTTGTATATCATGTGTGGAGATCTGATGTACGTCATCCTCTTCCCGCAGTTCACATGCGTTCTGTTTTTAGAAGTAACCAATGGTTACGGATCCATAGTTGGATTCTTCTTGAGTTGCATTCTAAGAATTTTGGGAGGAGAGCCATACCTTGGTCTGGAGCCGATTATTAAATATCCGTTTTATACAGATGAATTTGGACAAAATTTCCCTTTCCGTACTTTAATTATGATTTGTAGTTTTATCGCTATTATTTCAGTGTCTAAACTAACCGAGGTGTTGTTCAAAGGACAGTACCTACCTCAAAAACTTGATATCCTCGGTTGTGCTGACCCAGACTATAGAACACGGCTGCGGATACCTTCCGATGACAGGAAAGAACACGAAATGCAAGAATTAAACCCAGCCGTTTTGTATGATCATAAAAATATGAGCGATTCACTTTTACGAAAAGGACAATAGATTAGTGATATCACACTAAGTATACTGTTCAATAATTCAACCATGCTTATTAATGGACGTCTTCATTAGCACAGATGGTGCAGAACTGTGGGACGTTAAGCCCCGTTTCATTTCATTTATTTGACAAATAAATTTATTTTCGTTCAGTATTAGCCTGAAACAGCTGATCCCTTCCCTAGCCCTATTTCTTTTTGGTGGCTATGTTTTGTCGATCATTTAGTGTTGCGCTGTCTATTTCATTCTAACATTTTATACTATACAGTTTCCCACTATCACGATTCGTGGTGTGATCGAAATCGTAGTTTTAATCGTGGAGTAATCGTTGTGATCTTAGGTCTTATCATATATTTTAATTATTTTTTGTATTTAGGCCTACCTTTTAAAGGAGCTAAGCCTCTAACTCAATATTTTCCTGCATATTTGAAATTAAAAACACGAATTAGAATTCAATATTGATCAATTTCAATCAATATTGATATTGTTATCTTGCTGTGAAACTATAGCATCCTAATATCCAATATTTAAGACACAATACATGTGCTTTGTAACCAGTGCACGAGTTGTGTGTGTACCCTGTGGTTTCGGGAGCCATTTTGTATGCACAAATAAAAACATAACCTACAACACAATATGGAAGTAATTAGTAACGGCTGATTCACTAACGACAAAGCTGGTGTAAACGACTACCGTTCAATTTCAACTGTTTACGTAGTTCACCGAACATAATTGATTAGAAATTACGAAATTTGTTTCATGTCAGCTAACGCTGATTGATTAATCATTGTATGACGTCATAGGGTCAAACGCCGCTTGTATGACCCATGGCATGACCTCCTACTATAACTTCAGATCTTCATGTGGTAGAAGCCATCGAAAGTATAAAAAACGAAACGAAATATAGATCTTCATATTAATCAGATAGCTATTTTAGAATTTGTTATAGATGTTTTTGTTGAACAGTATATAGTGTTATACTAAAAATATGACATAATGACTTATTTGTATCTAAAAATGTTTATTATAAGGATAATTAATGTGGCTAAGTCTCTAACTTAATATAATCTAAAGTCTTCGACATTGAAAACACGAATTATTTGATGTTGTGATCTTACCGTGTGGGTGTGCGTGGGTGTGTGTGTGTGTGTATTGGGAAGTGTGTGTGTGTGTGTGTGTGTGTGTGTGTGTGTTAGAACGGAATGGGGCCACTGGGGATACCGGGGATGATATCCAATATTTAAGACAAAATAATCATTTTACCATTGGTACACGAATCGTGTACCGTAATGCGTTTCAGCGCCGTTTTAATCAAGAGACTCGAAGAATGAGGCTAGACATTTTCCACGAAACGGAAATAATTCAATGTAAATCAGTTTATATACATTCTTATTACATTATATGCGTTGCGACGCATTTTTGCCAATTTCTAGGTCCAAAATTTTTGCGATTTAGCTCCTTTAATATAGTAAATATTTTTATAATATATATAAAAAAAAAACGATAAACCGTAATATTGTTATTTGGGAGTTATTTGTTTTAGCTTTGTTTATGTAACTTTTAAACATGTTCATTATTGTCAATTATATAGTTTTATATACACGTTACAACCAGAGACTCAAACCAAATTTTAGATTGTTCAGGTAGTGTTACACTAAATGTTATTATAAAAATAATTTAGTCAATTTTTTTATAAAATGTTGCTATTTTGTAATTCCTCTTAAATTAGGAGGTTTATATTTTTAATTACATTTATAAAAATAATTTAGTTAGCATTTAATAAATATAACAAAATAAGTAATATGTTTCTGTTTTGTATATTTCTCTTAAATTAGGAGTTTATTGTTTTTAATTTCTTTTTATGTACCCTTTAAAATTATTCATTATTGTTACTAATATATTTAATTATGTATACATTATAAAGACTCAAACCAAATAAAAGGATTTTAAAATTCTAGATTCGCCGTGTTGTTATACGTTTTTGTTGTGCAGTTAGTGATATGGCGATTTATTTGTGTCATAATACTTTTATTAATAGATAATTAATAGATAATTAGCATTTTATAGATATTAGAAATAAGAACGGTTTCGTTTCTGATATTGTTTTATATTCTTCTATTGTTTTGTTTTTTTATTTTTTAATATTTTTTTTGAGGGGGGGGGGGGGGGGAGAGCTTAACTTTTAGACTTTGGCTTTGCCTATTTTAATACCTACATCGACGATTTTAGTATAAACACTAATTATACTTCGAGAATTTTGAGAAGAATTTAGTCTTCTTCCATTTAATAAAATCGAAAAGGTTTATTTAGTCTTTGTTTGCATAAAACGGATCAGAACCCCATTACTAATTCGGGTGTAACGTTCTACTTTTCTTTTCTAACTGGGTTGAAGACAGGGCCACATTACGAAATAGTAGACTAATATTTGAATATGGTGGCTATTCAGGACAAAGATCTATAATATTCTCAAAGTAGATAGTTTTTTGTGTGTAGATGTGGGTTTTCCTTCACCGATATTTGGGCGCTAATCGATATGTGTTAAATTGCTCGAGATTCTAAATATAGTATTATCTGCACTCTACTGCCGTCTAAGTCACATTGGCACATATTAAAACACTTTGGTGTTTCAGTTGCCTCGATTGGTTCAATTTAATATATAAACTATTGTGCAGTGAGGCGGGCGTTGGATATTTGGTTTGTGAGGGGGGGGGGGCTGCTCCGCAAAGAATTTGAAAAATTCTGGTTATCACTGGTGATTTGTTTGCGCATATTATTATGGACTGCATATAACATTCAATTTCATCATCTATACCACCCCACGTTTTTTATACAGTCATTAAAAGGGGGGGGGGGGGTAGCTCCCTACTACACCCCGCTGCCCCCACCTGCGTCCGCCACTGGTGGTTTAGTTAGTGATGTGAGTCAACAAATAAACTTGGAGAAGATTAAATGTGTCAACGTTTAGGTAGTTATCAATGGCTCGTCAAGGTCACGGTGCATGAAGGCCGGCGTTCAATAAACGTATTCACATGCACGGTAAAGTGCAACCATCTTGTCCCAACACCGGAGATGAATAATTTGCTATCTATGAAGGATAATACGGAATAATAAAAAAAATAATGAAAATCCGAAATAATAATATTGAAATTTGTAGCTAATATGAAAATCTACCCCCCCCCCCCCTGCTCAGCAACATAAAAAAATTTGTAAATCAACACTTTTTTTTGAGAAAAGTTTCTCGGCCGTGTGCTTTATCCTTTATCGTCAGATGTGGGACAGGATGGGCACTCAAAGCACGAGATAATGATATAGACATTATGTGATATCACAATTAATGCTTTGCATCCATCAAATTGAATCACAATATGTCATTGTATTAATTCATAATAAAAATGGACGTCAAACGAGGTGTTGAATTTCTCTGTTTAAAAAGTTCAATGTGTATGTATATACGCCGAAATGACGATAGAGACCATGGAGCGGGGGGGGGGGGGAGATACATTGTCTCAGGAACCTGGCAAACCCCCTCCTGCAAAAATTCCTGGATCCGCCCCTGCAAATGCATCAATAAATATACTTCAAATTTGGAAAACCACGTTTGCTTTAATTAGCTCAGCTGTTTTTTGTCTAGCATCAACTATTATGTTCAAGTTATACTTTTTAACGTTTTGCATGGAGTATCGTCACAAACATCAGTTTAATTAACATTTTACGGTTTGTTTGTGTCGATCTATTTAAACATAGATTATGCAAGAGATAAATCTGTGTATTGTCAGTCTTTATTTAGGCTTCAGATGTTATGTAAACTATTTAAACATGCATTATGCAAAAGATAAATATGCATATTGTAGGTCTTTATTTGGGCCTGAAATGTTATGTAAACGATTAAAGATACATTATGGGAGATTAGATAAAGAGCTGGCAGTTCTCGTTATAATAGTTAAAAAGATAAATATGCATATTGTAGGTCTTTATTTAGGCCTGAAATGTTATGTAAACGATTAAAGATACATTATGGGAGATTAGATAAAGAGCTGGCAGTTCTCGTTATAATAGTTAAAAAGGGCCTATAGAATGTATAATTACGGGAATTTGCTGAAAATTTCAGTCAAATTGATCCACTCTGAACCAAGAATTTAGCGATTGAATTTTAGGCCTAGCCTCGATCATCATTACTAAAGTCAGTGGGATAAAAACATAGTCTCGATTATCCATTTTTTGATTTAATCATCAGTGAGCGTTGAGCAGCAGATCCAATTCAAATCCAGTAAATGTCGCAGGCTAGCGATGGCATCGAGAGTTGATTATAGTCTGGATAAGTTAATTATTAATGTCTAATTAAATATTTAGATAATATTTCAGGCCTAAAGAAAGACCTGCAATGGGCAGATTTAGCTCTTGCATAATGTATGTTTAATTAGACTTTTACTAACATGACAAGACCATAATCAACTCTCGATGCCATCTGATGGGTCCGATTTTCATTAGATTTGAATCCGACCTGTCGCTCAACTGCCGTTGATGATTAACCGTAAAATTGGATAACCGAGACTTTGTTTATTATCGTAACAACGGTAGCAATGACATTCGAGGCTACAATGTTATTTGACTGAAATATTCAGCATATCCCCGTTACATCACATTATTATCACCTCTTTATGACTTCTTAATTCGACCATTGAAACGTATATTAGAGATATTAATATGTTTGAAAGAAAAATATATTTAAAATATAGCTAGATTAATGTTTCTTCACAACCGACGTAGTGTCAATTTTTAGTTCTTAGTTACTTTAGTTACTTTAGTGAGTGAATAATTTAAAATGTGAAATTGAAAGTATTGCAAGTGGTGCGCCATCCATCAGCATTTTCTTTCCAACAAAACAATTATAGTAAGCCTACAGAATCTATACCCCCCCCCCCCCAGATTGCTTAGTAGTCTTACAATGCATTGACCCTTTCGTCTCTACGGGTAGCTGTTTGTTTTATTAAAACATTATAAACCCTCTGTTTGATTACAACAGGTAATTATTATAAGTTGGTGTTTTTCTGTTAACTATAATATTGAACGGTTTTAGCATGCGATACCACTGTCCGTATTTATTATATTATCTTGAAGTAAAAACCCTTTAGCCGGCAACAATTAAACGTAGCTGTGTATGCTCTTTCCATAGCATATATCACTTTCTCTTTGAGGCGTTTACATAACTATTTTTTCTGGTACTTTTATGTTCTATGTTTTTTGGGGGAGACCGTGTCTTTAATTTAACAGTTGGGCGAGTATTGACTTATTCTATTAATATAATAATAATAATACAATTGTTATACCACTTTCCCTTTGAGGCGTTTAGATAGCTTTTTCTTGTACTTTTATGTTCTATGTTTTTTGGGTGAGACCGTGCCTTTAAGAGTTGGATGAGTATTTACCTATTCTATTAACATAATAATACGATCGTTATACCACGCTGTGAAGTAGAATGAATAGGAGTTTCTTTTTACATTCATTGCATTCCAAGCTTCTCATCTTATCAAAAACACATTTTACTAGGTCTCGTTTCTCACCATTTCGTTCAGACTCAAGTGTAAAATGGCGGGTCATGTATCCGTTTTCTTTATACGTCCACCCAAAAATCAAAGGCAGTGTATCATGCCATCCCCCTCTCGTGGCCCGTCCATGGAGGCTAAGGTTTTCACACACACATTTTTGTCAGATTTGGTGTGAACATTGGGGGCCCTGAGGGATCAGCGATATCTGAAACCTTCTATTCAAGAGTTATGACAATTTTTTCTGTAAACCCTGTAAACTCGAAAGCGTCCACATGTATAGGCTATATCGTTTCAATATTGCCCAGTTTGAGTTCGATTCTTGGCTTGTAAAAGTCGTGAAATGAAATGAAATGAATTGGGGTTTAACGTCCTACTGTTCTGCTCCTATATACTGGGCTAATGAAGACGGGCATACGCCATACAGTGTGCTATGAGGGAAATTTTGCCCGGGCAGCGGCACTATCGCCTACTCTTATATCGAATTCCAACTGCCAAGGGATCTTGAACGTGCATTCCAATGTATACCCGGGACCTCGCTTTTACGTCTCATCCGAAGGACTAGACAGCTGTCCTTGTCAGGCCCTCCGTTCTGCAACACTGACAAGGGGAAACCACGTCGGAATGTAAAAGTCGTATGACGATAAAGTGTAGGATCGATCGCATTTTACAAGCGGCCGCGTGGGGCGAGGGGTCGATCGCCGGACTAGTTGTCTATTACTTACCCTGGTGGAGCTTACCGGATACTCCGGTTTAAAGTTGCTAAGTCCGTAACTCAATATCATCCAAAATCTTCGACATTCAAGACACGATTTTTTTTGCAATTTAAATCAGCATTGGTGTTGTGGTCTTACCTGGAAAAGATGGGCTTCTGATATCCAATATTTAAGACAAAATAAACATTTTACCATTGGTACACGAATCGTGTACCATAATGCGTTTCAGCGCCATTTGCAACAAGGTGCTCAAAGAATGAGGCTAGAAATATTCCACAAGTCATGTCAAACGGTGGTGCCATATTCTTATTTGGAGACCATGCGCAATATATACTATCGGTGTTAACTGGAATAACCAGACGCTAGAAACTGTCTTTCGGTTGAGACTTCTGGCGTATTTCGCCGAACATAACTGATGACAATTCACAGTAAAATGGAAACGATTGATTGTAAAACAGTTTATATAAATTCATATTACATTATTATATGTGTAATTGCGACCCATTTGTGCCAATTTCTAGGCCCAAAATATTAGCGATTTAGCTCCATTACCTAGCACCCCCATCCACACATATAGTTCTAAATGGTCGGTTTCGTGATCGAGGCAGGGTATGTATAGGCCTACTCTTTCTAAAACACATGATAAAACTTCTGTCGTGTTTGATTTTTTGATTACGTCACACATCTAATAAATTCTGTTGTCCTTTTGTGTTTGTGCGTTTGAGAATCTTGAATCTTAGTATGAGAGACTTATAGATCGAGTCTAGTTGGTAAACAAATCACATGATACTTCCGGTTGATAATCAGCTGACAGAAGAGGATAAAGGTTACGGAGAGTATTTTTTATTGTCAAATCAGTGTTTAAAATACTACAACGCGTGATTGTGATACTTATAGATGGCGAGATGGCAAGGACAAGTAGAGATAAAGCATTATAAACATACCCATCTATTCCTATCACGTAACACAAGTTTATTTTGCTGATACGTCGAAAGGGCAATCGAGTCGACAGGAAATCGAAAGTAGTCATTCTCGGAGAGAAAAAAATAAAACAAGACAGAAACAGCATATTGTGTGATGTAATCGAACAACATTTTTTTGAATAAAATGGCACCACCGAAATACTCAAGGCTTGAAGATGCAGAAAAATGCCCCGAACCAGTAATCAAAGACGATGATGAAATTATTTTCAAGAATAAAGAAAAGTTGAAAAGATCAAGAAATGATAAACGAAAACAACGTAGTTGTTGTGGGATATTGTGTGAAGTATTAATTTTATTAACAGTACTCCTGCTTTGTATTATGCTAATTGATACCCTTTTGGCAAAGGGTAAAGGCTGTATATTTTCAAAGTTGTATAATTATACGAGGCATAGTGGATTGTTTCGACCCTCATCCAAATTATCACCCACACCAGAGTATGACCAGCAGATGTATATCGAGGTTATTGAGATTGATATAGTAGAAGATGTTGTTTATCAACAAATACCAATAAATGATAATCATCAAAAAACACTTCAAGAAATACCAATAGGTCATCAGCAAACACGTCAAGAAATGTCAATAAATCATCAGCAAACACCTCAAGAAATACCAATAAATCAGAAGAAAACACATCAAGGTATTTCAAAAGTAAATAATGATAGACAATGTAATATTATGGACAATGGCAGAAAATTTGATTGTTACCCAGAATCTCCTGTTACTCAAGAGAAGTGTGAAGCAAGGGGATGCTGTTATCATGCTGTTAATGGTATCAAAGAAAACCCTGTAGGAGTTCCCTACTGTTTTTACCCTTTAAATTATCCTGGCTATGTTGTGACAAGAAAAGAAAAGAAAGCACAAGGTTTTGATGTATTTCTCTCACGACCAACTCAATCCTACTATCCTGATGATGTCATGGATTTAAAAATGGAAGTTAAAATGGAAAAGACATCGAGACTTCATGTAAAGGTAGGTTTATCTTGAAACATTATGTACCGGTACATGATCCTGTAGCTGTATGTTACATGTACCATACTTGTATCAACTGACTCGATTGTTAGTTAGTTGTATTTTACGTCTGCTTCCACCGAGGTGATATCGCAGACTCGATTGGACTTGGTTAGGTTTGTATTGACCATATTAATTGACATTGTGTATCAACCTACATGTATCAATTGACATTGTGTATCAACCATATCAATTGACATTGTGTATCGACCTATCAATTGACATTGTGTATCGACCTTATCAATTGATAATGTGTATTGACCTCTCAATTGACATTGTGTATCGATCATATCAATTGACATTGTGGTTCTACCACATGATCAGTTGACATTGTGGTTCTACCATATCAGTTAACATTGTGGTTCTACAATATCACATATCAATTGACATCGTGACTGACATGTACGGGACAAGAAGTAAGGTCGCCTCTCAAACAGAAACATCGTGGGTTTGTCTCCGGGTCTGGGGGTTGGATGGCCGAATGGTTAGTACGTGCTTGCTGTACCATAAGGCCTGTCATTGAGTCAACTGGCGTGATTTCGAATCCCCGGTTGTACGTGACAAGGAGTAGGGTCGCCTGTCCAACCTCCTGGGTTTTCTCCGGGTCCTCTGGTTTCCCCCTACTGCTAAAGAGACCTACATGCAAGCGAATTATTGAAATGAAATTAATCCATATGTTAGTCCCGAAATGACCTAGTATGTGTCATTAAACTCCATTTCTCTCTTTCTCTCTTTCTCTCTCTCTCTCTGGGTCCTCTTGTTTTCCTCCCACTGCTAAAGACCCCTACACGCAAACACCCTACTCCTTGGCATGTACACCTGATGGGGACTCGAAACCACGACAGTTGACTCAATAACAGACCTTATGATACAGTGCTCCCACGCTAACCATTCGGCCATCCAACCACCCAAAGGTGATAGGAAAGTGAAATAAATTTGTCCCCAAAAAAGTAAAAGAAGATTTGTCAATCATAAAGTTGTTTTTCTCTAGTTTACTCTGCTATAATATATGTCAAGTTCAGCCTTGTCTCATGACCACTACAGAATGGACTATAATAATACAACGTACAATGTACAATATAGGAACATACCTATGATTAAAGATGAATCACATTATGTAAGAATTAGATAAAGAGCAGATAGTTAATGCAAAATGAATATATTGGAAATTTCATTCAAATTACTTTATTCTGAGCGAAGTTATCACTGTTTGAAGTTTTGACAAGATATGACATAGATTGTTTATTATCATAGCAACGGTACTTGTTAATCAAGACTTAGCCACAATTTGTCATTTTTAAATTAAATCATTAAATGGCTACCATCTTTTAATCCGTTTAAATCTCTGCCATCCGATAACATAGAGAGTTGATTATAGGCTTGTCATGTCAATAAATGTCTAAAAAATAGTTTATATATACATGTATAACGTTTGAAGCCGGTATAAAGACCTGCAATAGGCAGATTTAGCTTTTACATAATGCATCTTTAATATTTTTATTATTTTTCGGTTTTAGATATTTGATGCAAATAATAGTCGATGGGAGGTGCCATTAGGAGTACCAGTATCACCTAGTCCAGTTGAAGATGTTGGTGATAATTTATATGATGTAACTGTAGCTGATGTTGGACAACCATTTAATTTTAATATTACACGAACTGGTACTGCAAATAAAATATTATTGTAAGTTTTAATAATTAACATAACACATTGTAAGTTTTAATAATTAATATAAAACATTGTAAGTTTTAATAATTAACATAAAACATTGTAAGTTTAAAATTAAACATACTGGTACTGCTATTACATGTATTGGTTCTTTTAATAAACTATTACCATTGTTGTCACCCCTGTCCGACTGTTTGTCTTCCACAATTGCAACAACCCTTAAGTGGAACCTTGGCACTGTCTGTTTAACTAGGAAGTCTCATTTGTGCAGAAAAGTAATCAGTAAAATGTCATTATTATAATTTCTTTTCAGGTTACAGACAACTGGAGCGTTTATTTTTGCTGATCAGTTTCTACAGTTGTCCTATTTTCTATCATCAAATTATATTTATGGTTTAGGAGAACATCGAGATACATTAGTTCATAGTATGGACTGGTCAAGATTCACTATGTGGAACAGAGATCAACCCCCAACAGTAAGTACATTAATCATTATGTTGCTGTGTTAAGTCCAGCTCGCAACCTGCTGTATGTGCTACTACAGGCAGTCTATGTGGGAAATATTAGTAAACTTGTGCATGAGACTTGCGTGTGCACGGATCCTTAGAAGATTGCAGACTGGTTGAAAAGCCTTTTGGTCCTGCACGTACAAAATTTTCACACAGTTTCTTGCGGCTGGTCTGTGAGCTACCAAACCCTACGACCTATGCGTGTCAATAGCAATAGTGTTCTGCTCCAACTGGGCTAATGAAGGCTGGCATACGTCATGCAATATGCAGGACCTCAGTTGTTCGCACTATTTGAACAACTAGATACTGTTCATTGCCCCCTCTGTCCTACTTCACTGACAAGGGGAAACCATGCTGTAAATTTCAAGGGAATTTTCTCAGCCAACACCAGGATAGAACCCCTGACCTCCTGTTAGTCAAGTTAAAAGAGAAAGTCACATCTTTTTAATTTAAATCTTTTTCAAAATTGTTTTATTTCAGGAAAAAGCCAATCTGTATGGTGATCATCCATTTTATTTAAATATTGAAGATGGTGGAAGCAGTCATGGTGTTTTTCTTTTAAACAGCAATGCTATGGGTAAGCCAAGGTTATTAGTGAACATTTGTACTGTCTATCTGCTATTTTCACATGTGAGTGTAATATGTCACCAGTGATAGTAAAGTGATCACAAGTTCTTAGCGATATGAACAAAAATGTTAAAAATACTATGAACATTTTTTTATACACCCACATTGAAATGTCCAGCGTCCACAACCAAACTCTTTTACCATTTTTGTGTGTATATCATAAGTAGTGACAAGCACCTTCCGACTCATTTTGCTGTCATGGTTCACATGCAGGGCTGCCAACAACCAGTATCGCAGCGCAATTTGCGATACATATTTTGTCCGTTGCTAATCAAAAATTAAACTTTAAAGTTTTTGATTCGCAGTAACTGCGAATCATTAATATGCCTGTCATTTTGGATATTGACACAAGGATAATCCGCATTTGAAGACTAGAAGGCTTTTTCAACACTTTCAACGTGTATAAAATGTTGAATAAAATTTTATAAACAAAACTGAATTCTCCGAGTGACATTTTCTACTCGAACTACCCAGACACAATTCATTATACGGTACTATATAATACAGGGACATAACTCTATGAATAAGGACTATTAAACCGGAAATAGGGAATCAGGTAGTACCACACACGTTGCGAGACATCAAGTAATTATATCATATTCATTTTGAAAGAAATAAATCCAGTGTATCCCCCACGTATTGTAAATAAAATATAAAAAAATAAATATATGTTAACGTATTGTAAAATGATAAATCAAAGTAAAAATTCCCGTAAAATATCGCGTGTGTCTAGTTAATCGAAGTGCGCCCGATTTAACAAAAGTAGCAATACACGATAAAAAGCAGACGAAATTGTTTTCTAACGAAGATTTCTAACGTAACAAAAAATAACAATTAAAATGATTGGGCTTCGGAAGTCACTGTTAAGAATTGGCTTTAGACATAAGACCTAACTAAATGTCTACATCACATTCACAAACTGTCACAAGTACTTGTGGCAGTGCTAAAAAAATCTAAGAATAGTAAGAATGGAATCTAATCATATTTGTTATGAACTAAAGTAATATCTTGTTATTTAGGTGTTTTATGTTCAAACTGAAAAACTGCTAATCAATTTTTAAATTTGCTAATCAAATTTGGCAAAATTGGACTTTTTGATTAGCAGTGCTGCTAATCAACTGTGAAAAATTACCGACAGCCCTGTTCACATGTATTGTCTTCACCCACATCTGTTCACAATTCTTGTGGGCAAAATAGTTTCTGATCTTTTTTTGAAATTTACTAATAGGAAGTTAAAGCTTGTTTCATTTCAAACTTGTAGGGGTATTTTCGCTAGTCCGAAGGAGATACACTATCCAAATTCAGAGTCAAGCATTGATTGAATGTAGAACTATTGACCCTGTCACAGGAATCTAGTAAGCGCTACAACTTTTGAGATTTAAAAAAAAATTGCTATGACCGTTTCTACTGGTCAAAAGAGAGAATCTTATCGAAATTCAGTCATGCATTGATTTTACATGAAATTATTCCACCTACTAAGAAGTTCGACTACTGGTTTTTGAGAAAGTGTTATTGCTTTTTTAACTTGTATGATATCCTTACTGCTCCTCACAACATGTGGAGGTTGGTAGTCTGAATGGGTTAACGCATGCACGTTAGATCACAATTAGGTCTGTCATTGAACCATATTTTAGTCCCGAAATTACCTAGTTTGTATATCTACATGTATAAGAAGTGACAAGTCAATGAAACTGATTTCATATTAAACATGCAAAATGATTTAAAGGGTAAAATTTGTTGAACTGAACTTTAATTAATTCATGGTTTAGGGGAGATAACTCTTTGATTTCTACCCTTTTAGATGTTATATTACAACCAGCGCCTGCTATAACATGGAGAACTATTGGTGGTGTCATAGATTTATACATGTTCCTGGGTCCAAGTCCTAATGATGTCATACAGCAATATACAGAGGTCATAGGTCATTCATTCATGCCACCATATTGGAGTCTAGGATTCCATGTATGTAGGTGGGGCTATGCAACTGTAAATGAAACCCTAGGTGTAGTTAATAGAATTGGAAAATATGGAATTCCACAGGTAAAATACCCAGCCGTTTGAACTTTTTTCTTTCTGGTGGAGGTTCTTACTAATGTTTCTTTTATCTAGATGTTATATTACAACCAGCTCCTGCTATAACATGGAGAACTATTGGTGGCATCATAGATTTATACATGTTCCTTGGTCCAAGTCCTAATGATGTCATACAGCAATATACAGAGGTCATAGGTCATACTTTCATGCCACCATATTGGAGTCTAGGATTCCATATTTGTCGCTATGGTTATGTAACAGTAAATGCTACTATTGATGTTGTAAATAGAATGGAGAAGTATGGTCTACCTCAGGTAAAAGACTGGTTTTTACTAGTTTATTTTAGAAACTGACTCCATCAAAATTTTGAATCGATTCATGCATCAATATAACAAAGAAAGGTGATCTTACAACATGAAACTACCGTAACCTGGGTATCATTAATCTTTTGTATCTAGCACTAACTTTTTTCACAATCGTCTAATATCAAATCTTTGTTTAAAAATTCGTAAAAATCATTTAAAATCACCTAAAATCATCTAATTTGTAGTGTCCAGTCTAAAACTGACTGATTAATTTAGATTATAAGTGATCAGTTTACAAATATTTAATTTCCTGATGACTGTTCAATTAATAGGGTTGTTTATTCTTTATTTAATGATCAAGAAATTAAACGCTTGTAAATTGGACACTCATTATCAAAATTGAATGGTCAGCTTTAAACTGGACACAAGTACAAATTAGATGATTTTGGGTGATTTTAAATGATTTTTACGAGTTTTTAAAATAAAGATTTGATATTGAATGAATGTGAAAGAAATTAATGCTAAATACACAAGATTAAATGATATCTGGATTACAGTGTTTTGTGTTATGTATTTATTGCACATTGATTTGATTCCCTGCCAGCTAGGTTGTGACAAGGAGTACGGTTGTCTGTTTTCTCCGGGTCCTCCGGTTTCCTTCCACCCCTTTGTGGAAGATTGAAATAAAATTGGACCTATATGTTAGTCCCAAAATGACCTAGTTTGTATTGAGTGGATGTTAAACCCCATTTCTCTCTCTCTCTATTGCATGTTGAATTTATTGTGATTTATTGGGCTTGACTGTGTGCATGATATCTCAAAGAAAGGCTAGCTATTAGGCCAAAGAAGACCTGAGTTTTAAATGAAACTGCTTCCCCCAAGTAGCCTGTATAAAATGACTGTAACTAAAAAAAGCATTTCAACAGAACAAAAGGGGTCTTACCTATTTAATAAATTTGATCACCTTGATAATTAAAGTTCACCTGAATTACAGACGAACTTACCTTGTAACTGACAGGTGTCACATGACCTGCATGTCGAGCGATACATGAGTAAGGTTTTTGAACGTGCACTACAGTGTAATTCAACATGGCGTCTGAGGGGGTTAATATATTTAGGTACAGGTTGGTACAGGAAGTAGCTCTATATATTTAGGTACAGGTTGGTACAGGAAGTAGCTCTATACCAAAAATTGTATGTGACAAGGAGTACGGTCGCCTGTCCAACCTTGTGGGTTTCCTCCCACTGCGAATTATTGAGAAATAAAATTGAACCATATGTTAGTCTCAAAATAACCTAGTTTGTGTCGCATGGATGTTAAACCCCATTTCTCTCTTTTTCTCTCTCTCTTTTATTATTTATGATGACTCAGGCAGTATTATAATACTAACTAAGGCCATATACAAAAAAATATACTGGTTCTCAGACAATCTCATTCATTACCGCACATAAATGTTTAACCGTGGTTACAGGGTGTATCTCTAACAAAATAAATTGAATTAATCCAGGAATGCGGCATAGGCTCAACCCTGATATATGTTAATGACAATCATAAATGAAAGTAAATAATCATACATTCCTATAAACAACATGATAAGATAAATGTTCTGATGTTTATGTGAAGTCATTTAGCCCAGTAGTGATCCTCTAATAGAATAAATACATAAAATTAAAAATCTCCCTCCCGCATCAGATATTTAGTAAGGATTGTCCGAGAACCAGAATATTTTTTTGTATGGCCTAACTTTAAAAACATATTTTAGGATACCCAATGGAATGATTTAGATTATATGGATAGTAGAAGAGATTTTACCACTAACTTAACTGGTTTTGGTGATCAAGGGGCAATGGTTGAAGATTTACATAACAGAGGGATGCATTATATTATGCTTGTTGTAAGTTTACAAATTTATTATTTACTGTATAGGGGGAGGCACATGCACAGTGCCTTAATGAGTAATAAGCTGACTCGCTACGGGCGTTGGCCAAGAAAGTAATCCAGGATTCTTCATTGTGGTTTCAGTGGTGCAACAAAGATGGCCTGACAAGGACAGTATCTATTCAATTAAATGTGACGTCCTGTGTACACCGGTGACAATATTTATAATATAATAATGATGTATTTTATAGGATCGTGGGAGGGGGAGGGGCGCAATTAGCCTATGGTGTGTGCTTTAGATCTTAATATCTGTCACTAAGTCAAGTGGTATGCGATTCCTGAGGAGTAGGGTAGCCTGTCCAGGGGTTTTGTCCAGTTATTATAGTTTCTTCCCACGGCTACATACCCGAAATATGTTAGTCATGAAATGACCTTGTTCTGTCACTGAGTCAAGTAGCATTCGATTCCCGAGGAGTAGGGTGTCCTGTCCAGGGGTTTTCTCTGGTTATTCTAGTTTCTTCCCACGGCTACATACCCGAAATATGTTAGTCGTGAAATGACCTACATTAGTTTGCATCGAGTGGACGTTAAACCCTGTTTCTCTTCTTTATTTGATAGGATCCTGGAATAAGTAGTACATCTAAAGCTGGTACATATGAACCTCTAGATCTTGGTTTAAAGATGGATATATTTGTTAAAGATCATAATGGAAAACCACTAGAAGGAAAGGTAGGTTTATTTTTTATATTTTATCTATCCTGAAAGATTTCCTGAACTTGGCTGCTATTTTTAAAGTCTATGATATTCATTTGAGGTATTTTGAATCCCCTGTAAACTACAATAAAAACAAACCAGTGCCACCTAAAAGTATTAAGTAATATTTTAAATCTACCCATTCAAATCCAAGCAGAGAGATTATCAATTATTGGAACAAAATTGAATATGTTAGTCCCGAAATGACCTAGTTTGTGTCAAGTGGATGTTAGACACCATTTTTCTCTCTCTCTCTCTCTCTCTCTCTCTACTCCATAAAGTATGATATGTGTTGATATGTGATTCTGGTTTTTATTTAGGTGTGGCCAGGTTTCACTTATTTTCCTGATTTTACTCACCCTAATTCTCAGCAATATTGGACAACTATCGTTAAAAACTTCCATGATAAAGTAGCTTTTGATGGAATGTGGATTGTAAGTATAATGATATATAAAATTATCATCTTCAACGGATCATTATTACTCTTTTATTTATTTGTAAGATGAAATATCGTTGATCTATACTCTTCCAAAAAAGTAGGGGATATTGAAATGCAATTACCTATGCAGGTTGTGATATGATAAATAGTCATGGACACTTGACATACTTTGAGAGTATATTCACAGATGAAGAACTTATCGCCCCAACAGAACCACTGAGCTGCATGTGCGACACGCAATAGCGCCATACACGTGGGAGGGGTTCATTGTCTAATTTGACACTTCAAGGAAGGGTTGATGAAAACTGCCGCTTGCTGGTTTATCCTATCCATGTTTGCTTTCCTATCGGTTCTTGCATAAGATTTACTGTTTAGCGTATCTTTACTTTAGTGTGTTACGTTTAATTTGATCGGGAGACGTGTTCGTCAACGTCAACCGACAACACTGCAAGAATTGGCCGTGGCACTGCAAGCGGAGTGGGTCGGATTGCCCCAAATCGTGATTGGACGGTTGATTAGGAGCATGCCACGACGAATTGCTGAATGTCTGAGGATTGGTGGAGCAATTACTCATTATTAAGACAAAAATCAAAAACGTCCATTTTCACTTTTGACAGTGTATCTCTTTGCGAGTGAAATGGAGCCGTCAGATAAGCCACCCATATGAACTGTTTATGTTCATGTGTAGGCAATTGGCCTGCTATTAACATACGCTGGTTACCTCTAATAAAAACAGCAGTGCATTTTCGCAGTTTTGTATTGTTTCTGAATATCCCCTACTTTTTTTGAAGAGTATATTTATGATAACTGACCAAATCTTTTGACAGAAGATTATAAACTTATCATTTGTCAAAAGGGACAATTTGACAGGGTATTATTTGAAAGCTTTGATTTTAAGTCTGACAGTGTGTAAAATAAAAAACAAAAAAACCCCATGAGGAACTGTTTTAGCCAAGACTGGGGTCGAACCTGGAACCACCTGGTTTGTGAGCCAGCGCCTTACTCACTGAGCCATTATCTCACATTGACATCAAGAAATATAGACTATTTGATGGATAGACAATTACAAAATTTAAGGTTATGCAATGTTTTGACATTGATGATCTCCTTTTTATGAACCATTTCTTTTTATACTGATCTTCATATATTTACGTTATTGATAAAACATTTTATATTAAATAATGAATTTTTTTTATTGAACTTCTTTCTTGTTGCCTGTTTTGAAAAAATTAATAGACTGAATATTAAAATATTTTGATAGTACTCTTTATCAATGTTCAGCTTTCTTTAAATGCTTTTCTGCACCAACTGGGCTATGAGATAAATTTTACCCGGACAGTGGCACTACGGCCTACTCTTATATCAACTTCCAACTGTCAAGAGTTCTTTTCATGCATGTCAATATGTACACGGGACCTTATTTTTTTGTCCGGCAACTACACTGGAAAATCCAGAGGAACTTTCTTGGCCAACACCGAGAGGAAATCTGAGACCTACAGTCTAGCGAGCCAGCATCTTACTTCCTGAGCCACCCTGGCTTCTTCAATGTGTTGAAATAGACTATAATTTCTCTTTTGTTCTATTTATTCTAGGATATGAATGAAATATCTAATTTTGTAATTGGTTCAACTTCTGGTTGCCCAGATAATAATCTAGAAAATCCACCATATTTACCAGGTATGTAATTTAGGCATGTAACCCTTTTAGCTTAATTACCAGGTAAATATATGTAATTTAGGCATCTTAAGGTTATAGTCTTTATTTACCAGGTAATAAAAATGTATGTAATGTAGACATGTAAAGGTTTAGTCTTTATTTACCAGATAAATATTTGTAATCTAGACATGTAAAGGTTTAGTCTTTATTTACCAGGTAATAAAAATGTATGTAATTTAGGCAGGTACGGTTGTCTTTATTTAGGTGTTTGTAATTTAGCCATGTAAAGCTGTTAGTCTTTATTTTGATCTATTAATAGATTTATTACATAAATAGATTACAGCATAAATAAAAAGGTAAAAGCACAACGATATAGGCATTAAGATTAGAAAGGTATTTCCAGGCAAAGTTGACATATTTCCAGGTATTCATCCAAGATTTTGATCGATAAATTCAGGCCGAATTTTAGAGCCTTTTCACAAAGAATCTTGCCTGTGCCCAGAATGCCAACATTGGAATTTCCTTCTTCATTAGCCCAGTCGGAGCCGAACAGTAGGATGTTAAACCCGATTTCATTCCATTTCTGTTGGAATAGTCATTTTGTTTCTGTTAATCGGTTGATCAGGTTTGGAAACTGTAAAGTGTCATAGACTGTTGTTTGTTGGTAGAGATCTACTTCATCAATGCGAACAGTTTAGCGGAACAAAGATCATTTGTACTGTATGATGATTTATTTTCAGATGTAAATGGTGGATCTTTGAGAGCCAATACTATCTGTACTAGTGCTCAGCAACATTTATCAACTCAATATAATATTCATAATATGTATGGATATACAGAAACAGTAGCCTCTTACCAGTAAGTTTTACACTAATTCTACGCATCCATGTGCTTTAAAATAATAAGAGGGTTAGATGGCTGACTAGTTAGCGTGTGCGCGTTGTATCATAAGGTCTGTCATTGTGTCAACTGGCGTGGTTTTGATTCCCCGGTTGTATGTGACAAGGAGTAGGGTCACCTGTCCAATCTCGTGGGTTTTCTCTGGGTCCTCCGGTTTCCTCTGGTTTCCTCCCACTGCTAAAGAACCCAACGGGCAATCGAATTATTGAAATAAGATTGCACCATATGTTAGTCCCGAAATCACCTAGTTTGTGTCGAGTGCACTAGTGGACGTTAAACCCCATCTCTCTCTCTCTCTCTCTCTCTCTCTCTCTCTCTCCAATGCCTTTATGGTGTTGTGCAACCAAGATAAAACTAAACAGTGGAAAGAAAGTGTCATTTTGAGACTAACATATGGTTGTATCATTCAATGGTTGTGCGTGCGATGTGAGAGACCCAAGAATTTTATCAAATTCGGAAGCTCTAAAACATGATTTCTGCTCATTTAGATGCATACTTGTATAGGATTAGAGTGGAGTGAGGCCAAAACGGTGACAATGCTTTGCACATTTGTTTGTTCGACATTATTTCACTAAATATGCATATCTTCATTATCCCAGTCGGAGCAGAACAGTAGAACGTTAAACCCAATATACTCCATTGAAACAGAGAAGGGTCTGACAGGACCTCCCAATGGACATGCGCCTGTAAACCATCTATACAACTTTTGGTTTCTAGGCACATTTTCCTTGCCAGGCCCTGCCACATAGGAAAACCAGGCTTGAGAAACAACTCAAAGGTTCTGCTTGGCTTGAGTCAAGAGATTAGTGCCCTTACCAGTCAACCACAGTAGCCCAGTTACAATCTGATTAAAAAACAGATTAACCAATCAGCATTGATGTTTCTAGTAGGATACCCACAGTTCCGTGCATTGTACACCAAGAACTCGCTGCAACAGACCATATCGCTGGTTAATCCCTCACATCAACCAGATCCTAGTGTAGTAAAGACAAGTAAAACGAAATTATGAACTATAAAAAAACAAACGAAATAGAATCTGTTTTTATCAGATTGCCCTAATTACTAAAACAACAACAATGGTTAAAATTCTACTTCTGTACTATTTTATGTGAAAATCCATTTGAGGTCATGCATAATTTATGAATTTAGATATATTCTTCTATCAATGGTAAGATAATCAGTTTGTTTATAATTTACAGCGCTTTGCAAGATATTCGTGGAAAGAGACCATTCGTAATCTCACGATCTACTTTCTCAGGTCAAGGTCACTATGGAGGTCATTGGACGGGAGATAATGCCGCAACATATCATGATATGTATAGATCGATATCAGGTAAGTTAGACTAATAATTTCGTTGCTGCTAACTGGAGCTGCAGTGGCTCAGTGAGTAAGACATCAACTCCCCCTTGTCAGTGGTGCAGGACGGAGGGTCTGGCAAGGGACAGCGTATAGTCGTTTAGATGGGACAAAAAAACGTGCATGTAAAAGAGACAGAATTAAATATGAATAGAACGTAGTGCCACTGGCCATGCAAATTTCCCCCATAGCACACTGTATGACATATGCCTGACTTCATCAGCCCAGTCAGTGCAGAATAGTAGGACATTAAACCCCATTTCATTTCATTTCTTTAGCACTAACTTCTGTAACAAATACAATAGTACTACCGTATATGGACCAGAAACCAAGCATGACATCATCAAAAATCAAAGTCCATCAATCTAGTGCAATTTTCTAGGAACACGCATGCAAAGTTTCATATTGATCGTTCTGGAATTGGCAGAGTCTTAGGTTATTATTCGAAGAGCATCACCCCCACGAAGAAGAACAAGAAGAGTAGGAGATCATTACCTGGTCCTAAAAATAGCTCTTGCTAATTTGTTATGTCCGCAAAGCCATTGCAATACCCAGACTTGTAAAGATTTCATTATTTTTTTAAAAATAAAAATACATTGACAACATTGTAAAAAAAGCCAAGCATTGTGTGCCACTTTTAATATGGACGAGTATATATTGTCTACACTTGTTTGTGAACTTATCTCCATGAGATCTTGGAAGAGTGAGGACAGGCTCTATTAGCTATATTATAAATTATGTCAATTTTTCAGAAATAATTAAAATGAATATGTTTGGTATAACAATGGTCGGAGCTGATATCTGTGGTTTCCGTGAAAATACTTCAGAACAACTGTGTCAAAGATGGCATCAACTTGGTGCTTTTTATACTTTTTCCAGAAATCATAACACACCTGGAACCATTGTGAGTGAACTAAGTCTTTTTAGATATATTTATATTGATAATATAATAATCTTAGGATTTTATACTATTTAAATAAGGTTGAGATATTTGCTATTTTTATATCGATAATATATAAAGTGTTGAGATATTTGATATAATATCAATAACATAACAAGTGTTGAGATATTTGATATCATTATATCGATAGTATAGCAAGTGTTGAGATATTTGATATTATCATATCGTTAGTATAACAAGTGTTGAGATATTTAATATCATCATATTTATAATATAACAAGTGTTCAGATATTTCATATCATCATATCGATAAGGTAATAAGGGTTAAGATATTTGATATCATTATATCGATAATATAACAAGTGTTGAGATATTTGATATCATATTGATCATATAAAAGTGTTTAGAAATCTGATATAATTATATCGATAATATAACAAGTGTTGAGATATTTGATATCAATGATATAACAAGTGTTGAGATATTTGATATTATATCGATAATTTAAAAATGTTGAGATATTTGATATCATCATATTGATAATATAACAAGTGTTGAGATATTTGATATCTTCATATCGAGGATATAACAAGTGTTGAGATATTTGATATTATATCGATAATTTAAAAGTGTTGAGACATTTGATATTATCATATCCATAATATAACAAATGTAGAGATATTTAATATCATCATATTGATAATATAACAAGTGTAGAGATATTTGATATCCTCCTATCAATAATATAACAAATGTAGAGATATCATCATATTGATAATATAACAAGTGTAGAGATATTTAGTATCATCATATCAATAATATAGAGATATTTGATCTGAAAAAGAGATTATGGGGCTTTATTTATCCTTAAATATCATTTATGAAATACTGAAGAGAGATTTATAGAGTGACTTTTTAAAAAGTAAGTTGGGGCATGAGAGATATATATTGCTAAATGTGTAAAATGTGACATATGATGAATTATAGCTCTTTTGGCCAAGAAAGTTCCCCAAGCACAGTTTCACCTTGTTAGTGGTGCTGGATGAGGGCCTGGCAAGGACAGTGTCCAAGTTGTGCAGGTGGTATGAATAACCAATGTTCCATGTACATATTGGTCATCGTGCTCATAAAAGAACCACTGACCATTGGAATTCAAACTATTTAGAAGAAGAACATTTCTGAAATTTTGTTTATATTTTATAGCCTCAAGATCCAGCCTCATTTGGTCCTGCCTTGGCAGAATCCACTAGAAAAGTATATTTAATACGATACAAACTACTACCCTATCTTTATACTTTAATACATAAAAGTAATATGATGGGTGATACAGTTTTAAGACCTTTATTCTTTGAGTAAGTGCAATCCATCTTTAAGAGAGAGAGAGAGAAATGGGTTTTTTAACGCCAACTCGAAACAAACTAGGTCATTTTGAGACTAACATATGGTTTAATTTTATTTCAATAATTCACCTATGCGTAGGGGTCTTTAGCAGTAGGAGGAAACTGGAGGACCTGGAGAAAACCCATGAGGTTTGACAGACAACCCTACTCCTTGTCACGTACAACCGGGGATTTGAAAACACGCCAGTTGACTCAATGACAGGCCTTATGATACAGTGCGCACGTGCTAACCATTCGGCCATCCAACCCCCCCCGCAATCCATCTTTAAAAATGAAACAAACATGCTAGAAATTCGGATGTTATTTTTTATCTTTTAATCTTCGGGAGACTTGGTGGTTCAGTGAGTAAGGGGCTGTATCTTCCAGTGTGGCTTTCCCTTGTCAGTGGTGCAGGAGGGAGGACCTGGCAAAAAACTGTGTCTAATCGTTTGGATGGGATGCAAAACCGAAGTTCAGTGTACATTTATGCTTGCACATAAAAGTACCCTTGACAGTAGTGTACCTTTTATTTTTCTAAATATTATCTTTAGAAATAAGAATCGTTCAGACAAAATGTCGTCAGACACGTGACATTGTCCAACTTTGATATCTGCTGGAACTTCTTAATTGTACAAATTAACTACTGATCTTTAAAGAATTTCTATTAATACACTATCTTTAAAATTTAGAGTGGACATTAAACCAGTGGTGGGATTTGAAAATTTTACCGAAAATAAAGGGGTGTAACTCTTATCGTTATTTAAGCAGACAAATTCATACCACAATGATTAAACCCCATAGCTCTTTCTTCTTTTAATACACTATCTTTTGAAATTTAGAGTGGACCTTAAACCCTGTTTCTCTCTCTTCTTTTAATACACTATGTATAAAATTTAGAGAGCTACAAGGGTACAAAATAATTAAAGGAAAAGACTTTTACAATTCCGGGCTCTCTCCTATGAACTGACTTTCTCATTGACATGGTATGGTCATATCTGTAACCCATTTTTTATACGCCCACATTTTCATGTGGACGTATATTGTCATCGCCCCTGTCCGTCCGTCTTTATATCCCAAAGACCTCAGTCCCTTTTGATATTTGCACATTTCAGACCATAACTTTCTGGATTTTTGCCCATGATTGTACAAAAATTTGCATTTGTTATATAATTAGATATATAATTTGTATGTATGTATATTACAGATATCCCAAGGATTCTGCTACATACACCAATGATAGACAGTTTCTATGGGGATCAGCTTTATTAATATCACCGGTTTTAGAACAGGTAAATATGTTCACCCAATCACCTATATCTTTTTAAAACATAAACTGATGGGAGATAACAAATATGATATTGTTTATGAAAGATGCAGAGCAGTGGTCCCAGGTTCACAACTGCAATTGAGAATGCCCTCTTTCTGCAGAAGGCTAAAAATGTGCCCCTTTTCCCCCAAATCTCTTTAGAGGTCATCAACAGCTCACCAGAAAAAATGACCATTTATGTTCTTATTAACAGAGTTTTAGTGAATGTTGAATCCATCCTTGTTGCTAAAACAATAGCTTGTTAAAGTAAAGCAAGTACTTTATGGACCAGGAACCAAGCATGGCATAATCAGCTCCATCTTGAAATTGTGGCATCAAATCAAAGCAAAAACTTTATGGACCAGGAACCAAGCATGGCATCATCAGCTCCATCTTGAAATTGTGGCATCAAATCAAAAATTGAAGTTTATCAATGTACAATTGTCCAAGGAACAGGCATGACAAGTTTTATGTTGATTTTACTTGAATTGATGTGACCTTAGTCTTGTTTTACAACATCTAGCCGTTGCTAGATTATTCTGAAATTCCCATACTTTTAGGTACATTATCTCCCTTTATCACAGACATGTGATACACATACATAATGGAATAGATTTGTTTACAGCCTTTGAAAGCAACGACTGTGAGTTTTACAACATCTAGCCGTTGCTAGATTAGTCTGAAATTCCCAAACTTTTAGGTACATTATCTCCCTTTATCACAGACACGTGATACAACCTTGTAACGGAATGGATTCGTTTACAGCCTTGGAAAGGAAAACCAAATAAAAGCAACCTTAAATTACTAGCATAATGAAAGAACAGTCAAGTGAATTAGAAAGGTGTGGACTAAGATGTGAAGTGGATCATAGTGGAAAAAGTGCAACTCGATTATCACAGTAAGACATTTCAGTTGAAAAGCGTGAGCCTTGGTATTGGTGATGATATTTCCTATCGAGGAATATGAGAGTTCTTGCACTAGGTCTATGACCAATCGAAATTAGTGACGAAAAATTAGGAGTATTTCGTGAAAGCCTCAATAAGATGTATGGAGTTAAAGTGAGATCAAGCCTTTTACTGTAGATGGTTTTGAATGGTATTGACACTTAAGAAGAACAGCAAGGCTTGTTTCTGGTCCAATAATTTCAGGGGGACACGATGGCTAAGTGGGCAAGACGCTGGCTCGCTAGCCTGGAGGTCGGGTGTTTGATCCCTGCATTGGCCGAGAAAGTTCATCCAGATTTTCCGGCGTGGTTCCCCCTTGTCAGTGATGCAGGACGGAGGGCCTGATAAGGACAGCTGTCTAGTCGTTTGGATGGGACGAAAAACTGAGGTCCCGTGTACACATTGCCGTGCATGTAAAAGATCCCTTGACAGTTGGAATTCGATATAAGAGTAGGCCATAGTGCTACTGTCCAGGCAAAATTTCCCTCATAGGACACTGTATGGTGTATGCCCATCTTCATTAGCCCAGTTTGGAGCAGAACAGTAGGACGTTAAACCCCATTTCATTTTCAATAATTTCTGTCAGTTGTAAAAGAGTCTTTGTATTTTGATTAACAGGATGTAACATCTCTATCAGTTTATTTTCCTGCTGATATGTGGTATGATTATTATACTGGTGAATTAATAACAAGTGAAGGTGGTGGTAAAATATTACAGACACCATTAGATAAAATAAATCTACATGTTAGAGGTGGTTATATTCTTCCCTGGCAGTATCCTAATACAACCACGATACAGAGGTAAATATTTAGATATATATATATATATACACTACACTAATAAAACAACTACAACAGGTACAGGGTGACTCCCCAAAAAAACAGAACCCATAAAATTTTTATTGACAATTTTGCGCGACGTATGCAACTTTGACTCCAACGCCACGGAGGCCATTTGGAGCATATTTTGGAAAGAACATGACTTCTATGCAAAGCGACCAAGATGACTGAAATTATTGCTACAATAATAAAGTTCCATTTAAACATTAACTGATTATATGTTGAAATGGTCTAATCAACTCAATATCCAGGCCATCCAATAGGAGGGAGAGAGGAGGAAAATGGGGTTTAACTTCCAGTCGACACAAACTAGGTCATTTCGAGACAAATATGATTCAATTTTATTTCAAAAATTTGCTTGAGCGTAGGGGTCTTTAGCAGTGGGAGAAAACCGGAGGACTCAGAGAAAACCCATGAGGTTTGACAGGCAACCAATGGTATAGAGAGTTGATTATAGGCTTGTCATGTAAATAAATGTTTAAATAATAATTTCTGTAACATTTGAAGCCAAAAAATAGACTTGCAATAGGTGGATTTAGCTCTTACATAATGCATCTTTAAATCTGGTAATAAAGATCAATTAATTATATTAACAATTGATATACCAGTATTAAACATTGTAATTCAACAACAAACTTGCATCAAACATGCCTTATTATATTATTTGATTTCAGCCGAAAGAATAAATTTGGTTTGCTCGTTGCTCTGAATTCTACACGTCAAGCAGAAGGCGACTTATTCTGGGATGATGGTGACACTATTGGTATAATAATGATTAATATCCCTTCTTTTCAAAATGTTAAAATTGCTAGACTTCTTTCATTTAGTCAGAAATGAAATTGTCGATTTCCTTTGTGTTGATTTATTTTATAGATTGACAATCTGTCTTCATTGAATATTGTGTATAGATAAAGCCATTATTGAGATATACTATTCAAAAAAAGTAGGGGATATTTGATTTTTAAGTGTTATTAAAGTCACCTAATGAAACTGACGAAGAAACAAATGACAAAATGAAATGAAGTTCACATTCATCGATTTATTCCAAATGATCGTTAGACTAAGTAAGGCACAGACTGACCATTATAAGGGTAAAATGATACCCGGGGTCAAACAGCAAAGTTACCACAGCATCACAACCAAGTCAGTAATGGGTAAATCCTCCTCTGTTTGCCAAACAAGCATTGATCCGACGTGGCATACTCCTAATGAGACGTCTAAGGTCATTTTGGTCCAGATTGTCCCATTCCTGTTGCAACGCAGCAGCAAGTTCTTGGACATTGGCAGGACGTTGTTGACGTTGACGTAACCTCTGTCCAAGCATGTCCCAGACATGCTCGATGGGGGAGAGGTCGGGACTCAGGGCAAGGCCAAGGTAATGTGGTGATGTTCTGTTGTTGGAGGTAACCTGTAACGATCCTGGCCCTGTGACATCTTGCGTTGTCATCCTGGAAGATGAAACGGCGGCCATGACGTCGTGCGAACGGCACAACATGGACTGCCAAGATGTTGTCCCGGTAGTACTGGCCTGTAACACGCCATGCAACAACATGTAAAGCCGTTCTTCCAGCAACAGTGATGCCTCCTCACACCATAACAGAACCACCCCCAAATCGATCATGTCTGATGACGTTAACGTCTTGGAAGCGCTCGTTTCGACGACGCCACACCCTCCTACGTCTGTCCAAAAAATCAACAGTGAACCTTGACTCATCTGAAAACATCACATTGCTCCAGCGTCGATTATCCCAGTGTTGACGATCCCTACACCAACGACGTCTTGCCTGAATGTGATGATCTTTCAAACAAGGGATCACGCGAGGACGTCGGGCGCGAAGGTGACCCCTATGCAGTCGATTCTGAATCGTCTGGCCACTCACTCTCACACCAGTGTCTGTTTGAAGATGAGCGCTGATCTGATTTGCTGTGATGACACGATTTCTCAAGGCCAAGGTACGGATAAATCGATCCTGGGCTTGAGTTGTTGCCCTTGGTCGACCTGAGCGTGGTCTGTCCTGTACAGATTGTGTATCACGGTATCTGGACCATAGCCTGCTGAATCGTCTGGCCACTCACTCTCACACCAGTGTCTGTTTGAAGACGAGCGCTGATCTGATTTGCTGTGATGACACGATTTCTCAAGGCCAAGGTACGGATAAATCGATCCTGGGCTTGAGTTGTCGCCCTTGGTCGACCTGAGCGTGGTCTGTCCTGTACAGATTGTGTATCACGGTATCTGGACCATAGCCTGCTTATGACAGACTGAGAAACATTCATCGTCCGCGCCACAACCGCCTGTGTTGTGCCGATCTGTAGCATGCCAAGGGCACGTAACCTTTCATTTTGGGTAAGCTGACGCATATCAAAATTTGTTTTCTGGTCACTAAAACAATTAAACTGATGTTTCCACCCTGGAATTCAATGCCACAATGACTGTAACATTCAAAGTCAGAGTCGTGCAAATCTTGGGTTGGACCCCCATGATGATCCCAAGCATCACCTGCATTCCATGCGGTAGCTATTGGTGCGTTTGGGCGTCACATGTAACTGGAAATGTTTCTTCTGTTAGGTTCTATAGTGACTTTTTTCGTAGTCATTTGCATATTTTAGTATTATGCCCCCAAAATCAAATATCCCCTACTTTTTTTGAATAGTATATAATGAATTTTGTATTCCACTACCGAGACACTTAAAACCAAAATTTAAGCATACTTCCATTTATCTTTTGAAATAAAAAATTTGTACTAAAGAAATTGTCTCTTGACTAAAGGAAATAACCAACAGATCACCCTATTTTAATATTTGATTTTGACCTTAATTGCAAAAGGTTTAGCTCCTTCAGTATAAATGATAAATTTATTTAATACTATCAGGATACCCGGCTTCGCTCGGGGGTCATAACTCCGAAACCGGAAGATGTAGACTAACGCCACCTGGCCTATGTTACTCCCCGGTCCGAGCTACCCCTATACCCCAAATTTCAGACTCGGGGCAGACCTAGTGTAGTCGCCAACCATGAACAGACAGACAGACAGACAAACGACAATCACAAATATATATATAGATAGATAGATAGATAGATAAAGAAACATTATCTTTACAAATGTAAATGTTTTTTTTTTTTATCAATAATTATATTTGCTGATCATAGTACAACATTTTACACAAAACGTCCTTATTTGCTGATCATAGTACAATATTTTACACTAAACTTCCATGTAAACCTTAAAAGTATTATGGACCATTTTAAGGAGCTGCAAATTAATAAAAGAAATAATTCTCGAACAAAATGTTTTGTCGGAAATATTTTGAATACATATTTCTCTTTTGTTACAGATACTGTAGGTGTAAAACTGTATAATACTATACTCTTTAATGCTGATAAGGTAATTCTTGATAACAAAGTATTCTATTTAATTTAGCATTTGAATTCTTCTAAATTTTTGTTTCCTCTTGTCAATGGTGCAGGAAGGAGGACCTGACAAGGACAGCTGTCGAGTCGTTTTGATGGTACGAAAAACCAAGGTCCTGTGTATACATTGGCGTGCACTTAAAAGATCCCTTATCAGTTGGAATTCGATATAAGAGTAGGCCTTAGTGCCACTGCCCGGGCAAAATTTCCCTCATAGCACATTATATGCCCGTCTTGATTAGCCCAGTCGGAGCAGAACAGTAGGACTTTAAACCCCATTTTATTTCATTTCATTTCTAAATTTATTGATATGGTGTATGTGAAAGTATTTTTCTTTAAATGCACGGAGTATGGAAATAGAGTGTGACTTTTATTTCATATTTTAAACTATTCTAGATATTAGATATTTTCATCAATACTTTTTTTTAATACATTTACATTTTGTTATCAGGAATGCTAAAATTCTATACTGTATTTGAAAAGTATAAGCTATTTCAAAACTTTGCAACTGGTTTTATGTGTATAATTAATTCTCGATTTGTCTTTGTTTTATAGAATGGTGTATACAGCAGTCCATTATTTATTGGATACAAGGATGAACCCATGTTATTAGGAAATGTGACAGTATTTGGTTTACAGCAACAACCTTCTACAGTAACAGTCAATGGACAATCTGCAAATTATAATTTTAATTCACAATATAAGGTAAGCTATATTCACTGTAAAGTTGATATCGTTGACTTATATGAACAAGCAACTTTACAAACAAAAACTTTAACACAAACAGCTCTTAAAGGAGCTAAATCACTAATTTTTGAGACCTAGAAATTGACACAAATGGGTCACAACCCATATAATAATGTAATATGAATGTATATAATATAAACTGATTTTACATTCAATCATTTCCGTTTTTACTCTAATTTCAAATCATTTATGTTCGGCGAAATACGCCAAAAGTTTCAATTGAATGGCAATCTCTAGTGTCTGGTTATTCCAGTCTACACAGATAGTATTTATTGCCTTATAAGAATTTGGCATAACCGGTTGACACGACTTGTGGAATATGTCTAGCTTCGTTCTTCGAACCCCTTGTTACAAATGACCTGAAACGCATTATGGTACACGATTCGTGTACCTTGGCAATGGTAGAATGTTTATTTTGTCTTAAATATTGGATATCAGAAGCCCATCTTTTCCCGGTAAGATCACAACATCAATGTTGATTTAAATTGACAAATAATTTGTGTTTTCAATGTCGACGACTTTGGATGATATTAAGTTAGACTTAGCTACTTTAAGTCATCACTTTAGATACATATGTTTATTAGTTAAAAAGAGAAACACATACTTATGGAAAACTGCTACTAGTTTTTTTATGGCGAGGTGTCAAAGCGTATTCTCTGGACGTTATCAAGTTAATACAGCAATAAAGAAATGTCACATTAAATACACTTGTAGCTGTTTTCCATAAATGAAATGAAATGAAATGGGGTTTAACATCCTACTGTTCTGCTCCGAACTGGGCTAATGAAGACAGGCATACACCATACAGTGTGCTATGAGGGAAATTTTGCCTGGACAGCGGCACTACCGCCTACTCTTATATCGAATTCCAACTGTCAAGGGATTTTTTACGTGAACACCAATAGGTACACAGGACCTCAGTTTTTCGTCCCATCCGAACGACTAGACAGCTGTCCTTGTCAGGCTGTTTTCCATAAGTATGTGTTTTTGTTTTTACTCTATCCAGTTACTAAATGCCATTTAAATATTGTTTATTAGTATGTTAAAATTTGTAGTCATTAGGTAGTTTACCATTCATTCATACCATAATTTTCAACACTGCAAACTTGTAACACAGTCTGTAATAATGGAAGACTAAAGCGGTGGACACTAGCCGAATGATTTGGCCGAATCAGTCAGTGTCAAAATTCGCCTAATGTGTCTTCTGTCATTCAGCTGAATCATTCACCCGAATGTAGAATTCATTAGCCTATCATCACTCATGTCGAGAAGTCACGTGATTGTTTGAAGACTTGGTCGCTGCCATGTTTAATCATGTGACGTGAAATGTGATGCAATCGACTGGTGAATCGGGCAAAGGATTCGCTTGGTGTGTCGAATCATTCAGCCGAGTGATTGAGCTAGTGTGTTCACTAGTTCTTTTTATATCAGAATATCAAAAAGTAAATAATTGACTTTTTCTCTTTCTTTTTTCTAACCAGGTTTTGTATGTTACCAATTTCTCCAGTACCTTATTACAACCAATAAAAATATTGTGGACATTTTGAAATTTACATGAAAAAAATATATCAAAATAATAATGATACTATAATTAATTGAGTTAATTTGCACATGGTTTGTAGTAATAATTGCTTGAATTGATTGAAATATGTATGTTTTAGGAGTGACTGATATGTTTATCTAAGAATAATTGTTTTATTTTCTGTCTATTATGTTATTTGTTTACTTTTAGCTTTGCTTGAATTGATCGAAATTGTGTGTGTTCGAGTGACTGATATGTTTATCTAAGAATAATTGTTTTATTTTCTGTTTATTATAAAAGATATGCTATTTTTTTTACTTTTAGCTTTGCTTGAATTGATTGAAATTGTGTGTGTTTGAGGAGTGACTGATATCTTTATCTACAAATAATTTGTTTTACTTTCCCTTTGTATATTATACACCAATTTGATTTTCTTTTCTTCGGGGAAACAGACTAATTTAAAAACTGAAAGTAGCCTACCAGGTTGCATAGACTTACAGGAATTTTTTCAGGCATTTCAGGACTGACCCCCCCCCCCCCACATTCAGCCTGTATGGCATGGCATTTGATGCAATTTGAAAAAAAGAGCTCTCGATTTAATCTGTAGTATTCAGTATTATAAAGCAGAAATTGAATACCAGGTACATGTATTTTATGAATTATATTTTATAAGGATATATATATATATATATATGCATTTAATTTTTTATGCCTGCATGACTTTCATTGTTTGTTAATTTTTAATTTTATTGTTTTTTTGTTAAACTGTATTTAATCTTAAATTTGAATAAAAATCATTGCTTTTTTTTAAATAATTGTAATTTTTTTCGTATTCTCACATGGGTCCCCATCTGTATAATGAAATGGGGTATAACATCCTACTTTTCTGCACTGACTGGGCTAATGAAGATGTGCATATGCCATACCATGTGCTGTATGAGAGAAAATTTGCCTACTTTTATTTCGAATTTCAACTGTCAAGATTTCTTTAACATGGGGAACACCAGCATCAAACACCGTATCGACTGGTTAGTGAGCCAGTGCCTTACTCAATGATTCACCGCAGCTCCCTGTGATGACCAACAGCCGACCAACAATAGCAGGCTATTCTGTGATTCCATTAGGAATGGGGCAGGGGTACCTTGACTGAGCAAATTTATGGGTATTCTGATGATCACTAATCAAAGTTTTCAATGCTCACACACACTCTTAAAGGACAATATGTACCGTCCCATATAATAACTTTTCAACTTCAACGGAATTATCAGTGAAATGAAATTCGATCGTTTGTCTGGTATCGCTCGTTACTTCAGTTAGTTATATAGAAGGATAACTTGTGTTTGACATGTTTGGCGTCACTTCCAGTTTCTTCAAGTGCTTGTTACACATCTCCCATAGCAATGATCTCTGTGTTAAAATTATATTTGGGATGTATTTAACCAGTTCTATCACATATGTAATAATGACTGACACCAATATTGTCCTTTAAAGATACATTATGTAAGATTTAGATAAAAAGCTGACCATTCTTGCTATAATAGCTCAAAAATAGATAATGTAAAATGAAAATATTGAACATTTCATTCAAATTACTTCATTCTGAGCCAAGTTACTACTGTTGGTAGTTTTGACAAGATTTGTGCATATTGATAACGAGGGCACTGGTATATTCCAGACTTAAGACTCGCTTTCCCATTTTTAAATTAAATTTTTAAATGGCGAACCCCGCTAATCTAGTTAAAATCTCGAGTATCCGATGCCATCTAGAGTTGATTATGGTCTTGTTTTGTTAATTAATAGTTTACATAACATTCCAGGCCTAAAGAAACCTGCAATAGGCAGATTTAGCTCTTGCATAATGTATGTTTAACCGATGGGTGATTATACAACCCATTGACCTCTTGTGGGTGTGTTATTTTATTTTTTGGGGATTTCTACATTCAATGTGGACATATATATAATTGTCACCTGCAAATGTTGGTCCATCCACAATTTCTTGTAAACAGTAAAAAATTAGTAGTCTTCTCATGGATTTAAACCATATTTGGTAGGTATCATATTTTGTTTAAAGAGTTGGGCTTTAAGAAAAGAATACTGGTATACAAGCGGAGATGTTTGGAAGGTTGGATGGCTGAATGGATTGCATGTGCGCGCTGTATCATAACGTCTGTCATTGACTCAACTGGCGTGGTTTCGATTCTCCGGTTGTACGTGACAAGGAGTAGGATCGCTTGTCCAACTTCATGGGCTTTCTCCGGTTTCCTCCCGCTGCTATAGACCCCTACGCGCATGCGAATTATTGAAATAAAATTGAACCATATGTTAGTCCCGAAATGACCTACTTTGTGAATGTTAAACCCCATTTCTCTCTCTTCTCTCTCTCTATTATCTGTTTGGTCAGGTGCAAGTAAAATTAGATCCAGTTTGTTAGTTTAAAGGTGCACACATTCGATCAGCAATATACTAGATTAATTGACACAATAAGACCTATAAACATATTAAAATTCTACACCACTACAAAGCTAAACTAGGAATGGGCAATTAATCCCACTTGGGCTCTTGTTGCAGTGTCAGATAACACCTTGCAACATTCATTGGTTATCATCTTACAAGTGCACAAAATGATAACTTATAAACTGAGCTTTCCCTGAAATATGTCGTAATAGTTTTTGAATCGATTATTAAGGAGGCTCACAACTGTCAATGGAATATATATTTGAATTCACAAAATCCAAATTATAGTGAGCAACATGACAATAGTTCTGTCACTGTATCGTAAATGCCTTTCTTATTCTCAGAAATCCCAAATTTCATCAATTTCTAATCAGAGTTAAGTAAAATAATGTTGCCTAAAATCAATGTAAACACAAAGATAATCATTATTTAACATACACTATATTCAAAAGCTAAATCTGCCTATGACATCGGATACTCGAGATTTTAACTAGATTAAAATGGTTCACCATTTAAAAATTTAATTTAAAAATGGTAAAGCGAGGCTAATTGCCGATTATACCAGTGTCCTGGTTACCACTGTGCACGCATATTGTCAAAACTACAAACAATGATAACTTGGCTGAGAATGAAGTAATTTGAATGAAATTTTCAATATTTTCTTGTTTCATCATCTATTTTTGAATTATTATACGGGACCTTAGTTTTTCGTCCCAACGAAATGACCCCGTGTATAGGCTACATTGGCGTGTACGTAAAAGACCCCTTGGCAGTTGGAATTCGAAATAAGAGTAGGCCATAGTCGCTTCCCGAGCAAAATTTCCCACATAGCACAATGTATGGCTTATGCCCGTCTTCATTAGACCAGTTTAGGGGCTGAACAGTAGGAAGTTAAACCCCATCTGTCTATGACAGCTGTCCTTGTCTGGCCCTCCTGCGCACCACTGACAAGGAGAAACCACGTCGGTGAGAATGAAGTAATTTGAATGAAATTTTCAATATTTTCTTGTTTTATCATCTATTTTTGAATTATTATACGGAACCTTAGTTTTTCATCCCAACGAAATGACCCCGTGTATAGGCTACATTGGCGTGTACGTAAAAGATCCCTTGGCAGTTGGAATTCGAAATAAGAGTAGGCCATAGTGCCGCTTCCCAAGCAAAATTTCCCACATAGCACACTGTATGGCTTCTGCCCGTCTTCATTAGACCAGTTTAGGAGCTGAACAGTAGGACGTTAAACACCATCTGTCTATGACAGCTGTCCTTGTCTGGCCCTCCTGCGCACCACTGACAAGGGGAAACCACGTCGGAAAATCTTGATGAACTTTCTCGGCCAAAGCAGGGATCAAACGCGCGACCATGCTAGGGAAAAATAGACAGAAGAAAACAACACAAGAAAAAGAAAAACCGAGGCCGGCAGACCAAGGTTTTTCAGTCGAGGGATTTTTCTGAAGTCATTCTTTTCCAGCATGTAACCGAAGTCGAGGACTATCTTAAACTTATATAAACAGTTGCCCTTATATATTATGGAAAAAAAAACTACCGGTAGCCTACCCTGGAAGAATAACCTATAACTGGTTTAAATAAAAACTTTCATAAGAATGACCCCAAACTCCCTTGCATATATTCAAAGCTGCACTCTCTGTAACCCAAGTATCGTTTAATCTTGTGTATCTAGCACTAATTTCTTTCACATTCGTTTAATATCAAATCTTTGCTTAAAAATTCGTAAAAATTGTTTAAAATCACAAAAAATCATCTAATTTGTCCAGTTTAACGCTGACTGATTAATTTTGATAATGAGTGTCCAATTTACAAGTATTTAATTTCCTGATCACTGTTCAAAAATTAATCATTATACATCATTAATCAATTGGGTTGTTTATTTTTTAACAATGATTGATAAATTAAACACTTGTAAATTGGACACTCATTATCAAAATTGAATGGTCATCTTTAAACTGAACAGAAGTACAAATTAAACGATTTATGGTGATTTTAAACAGTTTTTACAAATTTTTAAACAAAGATTTGATATTAAACGAATGTGAAAGAAATTAGTGCTAGATGCACAAGATTAAAGGAGCTAAATCGCTAACATTTGGGACCTAGAAATTGACAAAAGTGGGTCGCAACGCATATAATAGGCCTACTGTGGAAAATAAATATATATAAACTGATTTATATTCAATGGTTTTCGTTTTTACTCCAATTTCAAATCAGTTATGTTCGGCGAAATAAGCCAGCAGTCTCAAGCGAGTGCAAATTTCTAGCGTCTGGTTATTCCAGTCTACATACACCGTTTGATTTGGTGCAATGTGTCTAGCCTCGTCCCTCGAGTCTCTTGATACAACTGAGGCTGAAGCGCATTATGGTACACGATTCGTGTACCAATGGTAAAATGTTTATTTTGTCTTAAATATTAGATATCAAAAGCCCATCTTTTTCCGGTAAGATCACAACATGAATGTTGATTTAATTTGACAAATAAATCGTGTTTTCAATGTTGAAGATTTTGGATGATATTGAGTTAGAGACTTAATAGCTCCTTTAAACGATACCTGGGTTTACAGTGACTCGACTACCACAAGTTATTATTGCGGTCATTGAATATACCCCAAAGATCAAAGATATTTACCGTTATAGGTTTATAACTATAGTTACCGGTAAAGATTTAATTTAATAGGCCTAAATGCGACAAAACAGTTAACTCAATAACTGCTTTGGGCGTATGTTTCGTTGCCTGGCATCCCGGTTTTATTGATATTGATCGACAAGTTGTATGTAAACATCCTATATACAGGTGCATTATCAAATGATAGGTATCGCAGACGGTCGATAGTTATATAACACTCAAGGTTATATTTAGTGCAGTTACCTGTCGTTATAGGTCACTGATTCTTGATGGACTCTAGCTAGGTTGGCTACTCGTGTATCCAGTCTCACTTTGAATGTTTTTGTCACATGACAGATGTCAGAGGATACAAATGTCTGAATTTACAGCTAGGCACAATTAATTAATTGATGTTTTACAGTAAACACAATTAAGGGTTACCAGACGTACATGTAAGTAATGCAGATATATTATATGTGACCCTAGTTTATTACTTTACTAACGTAAATTGTAGAAGGCGTAAATTGTATCGGCTCTACAATTTACGTTACCGCCATACCGGTACTAAAGTAACTAATGTGACCCGTGAGCGCAAACTGAAACTGAGTCGCAATGCAATGAGGAAACTTTGAAAATTAAGTAATTGTTACCACCTTCAAAATGATTTATGTTCATATATATATATGTTGGTATGAGTAATGATAACAAGCGTGGGGAAACACATAACATCATTGTGTGTGGGCATGTATTTTATGTAGGCCCTAATCTGTGGAAAGAGAGAGAGAGAGAAATGGGGTTTAACGTCCACTCGACACAAACTAGGTCATTTCGGGACTAACATATGGTTTAATTTTATTTCAATAATCCGTTTGCGCGTAGGGGTCTTTAGCAGTGGGAGGAAACCGGAGGACCCAGAGAAAACCCACGAGATTGGACAGGTGACCCTACTCCTTGTCACATACAACCGGGGAATCGAAACCTCGCCAGTTGACTCAATGACAGACCATATGATACAGCGCGTGCGTGCTAATCATTCGGTCATCCAACCCCCCGTAATCTGTGGAAAGATCGAAATAGTTATTTATAATGTAACAACATTTAAAGGAGCTAAATCGCTAATATTTAATTGGGCCTAGAAATTGGCACAAATGGGTCGCAACACATATAATAATGTAATAGGAATTTATATAAATTGTTTTACATTCAATCGTTTCCGTTTTACTGTGAATTGTCATCAGTTATGTTCGGCGAAATACGCCAGAAGTCTCAACCGAAAGACAGTTTCTAGCGTCTGGTTATTCCAGTCAACACCGATAGTAGTTTGTGCATGCTCTCCAAATAAGAATATGGCATCTCCGTTTGACATGACTTGTGGAATATGTCTAGCCTCATTCTTTGAGCACCTTGTTACAAATGGCGCATTATGGTACACGATTCGTGTACCAATGGTAAAATGTTTGTTTTGTCTTTATTGGATATCAGAAGCCCATCTTTTCCAGGTAAGACCACAACACCAATGCTGATTTAAATTGCAAAAAATTTGTGTTTTCAATGTTGAAGATTTTGGATGATATTGAGTTATGGACTTAGCTACTTTAAGTTATCATAAATGAATTCCTGTAGTCTTTTTCAAATAGATACACTAACACCTACACAACGTTTTCATCGGGTCTGTGGGGAAATCAAAATAGTTATTCATTATATAGATTACTAATATGTATTATACATTTAAGATAAATTAGTTTTAATGCAAAATATAAGAAGTAAATATGATTGTTTTGGGGTCGAATTCCGATTCTCTCAAACTGAATTCCGGTGATTTGCAGTGTTTCAAAGTACCAGTAACTTATTATTACCAGTAATGCAAAATATTAATAAATAGGAATGTGTTAAGTGCGAATTCCGATATTTTGAAAGTGAACTCCGGTGTTTATATGTTTACAAAGTGAATTCCAGTGATTTTTGATGTTTTTAAGTAATTCTTTATTAATCTAGCAAAATAGGTAAATAAGATAGCCTTGCGGGCAAATTCTGATATTTGCAAAGTGAATTCCGGTTTTTATAAGTGAATTCCGGTGTTTATAAGTGAATTCCGGTGAATTCCGATGATTAGTCTAGCCTTTCCTCGGAAATGGTATCAGAATCTGAAGTGAACCCCTGATAGAATGATCAAAATTTCAATTTCATTTGTAAGACTAGTAAGACACTTTTTGTCTCCCACCTTTCGAAGAAAGCAGGGGACTATTAAAATGGATTCGTCCGTCTGTTTGTCTGTCTGTCTGTCCGTCACACTTTTTGGGACACAATGGTATAGGTGTTTATTAGGTCGATGCCTTGATGGAGTTTTCGAGGATGAGCATTTTCTGTTTAGGGTAAGCAGAGATAAGCAATTTGATTTGTTGATGCTTTGGGACACGATAACTTTAGTTCTAATTAAGTGAAAGTGATGCAACATGGTGTATAGTTTCATTACATCAATACCTTGACTAAGTTCAATAATGAGCATTTTCTGCTCAAGTTAAGCAGAGCGATAAGCAGTTTGATTGGCTGAGACTTTGGAACACAATAACTCTCCTTCTAATTGAGCTAGAATGTTCAAACTTGGTGTAAGTGTTTATTAGGTCGATGCCTTGATGGAGTTTTCGAGGATGAGCATTTTCTGTTTAGGGTAAGCAGAGATAAGCAATTTGATTGGTTGATGTTTTGGGACACGATAACTTTAGTTCTAAGTAAGTGAGAGTGAGGACACTTGGTGTATAGTTTCATTACATCAATACCTTGACTAAGTTCGATGATGAGCATTTTCTGCTGAGGGTAAACAGAGCGATTAGCAATTTGATTGGCTGAGAATTTGGAACACAATAACTCTCCTTCTAATTGAGCTAGAATGTTCAACTTGGTATAGACGTTCATTAGGTGAATGCCTTTATTCTTTGAATGGCATTTAGTAATTGGAACATAATAAGGTGAATGCCTTGATGGAGTTCGATGATGAACATTGTCTATTTACGGTAAGCAGAGATAAGCAATCTGATAGGTGGGTGCTTTGGGGCACGATAACTTTAGTTTTAATTAAGTGAGAGTGATGAAACGCCGAGTATAGATTCATTATATCATTACCTTGACTAAATTCGATGATGAGAATTTTCTGCTTAGACTAAGGAGCGATAAGCGATTTGATTGGTAAAGACTTTGGAACATAACAACTCAGCTTTTAATTAAGGTAGAATGTTTAAACTTGATGTAGATGTTCATTAGGATAATGTCTTGACTGAGTTCAGTGATTAACATTTCGAGCTGAAGCTAAGCAGAGCTAATCAATTTCATTGGTTGATGCTTTGGGACAAGATAATGTTGATTCTATCTGATAGAGAGTGATGAAACTTAGTGTATAGTTTGATTGCTCGATACTTCGTCACATTTCTCGCGAACCGACGATCTGATATATTTAAAGTATTGAGAATTATGTGTTTCAAATTTGCGTTCTGTTGTTATCTCTGTAGCCATCAAATAATAACATTTATATGTGATTTAATATTTCATACATATACATCAAGACACGGAATGCAATTTACATGAATGTTATTATTTGATAGCTACAGAGATAATAACAGAACGCAAATTTCATGCCAGAATTCTCAATACTTTAAATATATCAGATTCGTGAGAAAGATGATGACTTTTGAAAAAAATAAATGTGTGAATAATTAATTTTGTCATCTATTTATTCTGGGATTTCGGCGGGGAACATCAGCCTCACTGTTGGCTTGTTTAAAATTTTAACACAGGAATGCTGAGTAATAATCGGGGAAATAATACAAATAACACTCCAGACAGAGATTTATATACGGTCCATGCACAGATCAACCACTTTTTTAGTTCTCAGTGTTGGTTGGTGGAGCCTTTCGACAGGTGGTCTTTAATTCTTAGGTCCAGGGGTCCTTTAGATTCACTGATTGATGTAAGATTCTCCACATCTGTAATTGATTTGATAAACACAGCCTTTAAGGTGGGCAACTGTTTGGGATATTTTGCTGTCAGCAGAAAAACTATGAAGCGGAACAATTTTAATACAAGATATGACTAGAAAATGTTACACTTCACTGGATGTTCAGGTCTTCCTTAATACTCTTTTGTCTATTTTAGTTTTACACATTACACACATAGGCGTACGAGCTGGGGGGGGGCTGGGGGGGGGCTGGGGGGGGGGGGGGCACCAAATGCTGGGAAAATTTGGGCACACAGTTGTATAAAAAAATATTGTGTTCTTGAATGTGTCCAATTTAACAGCAAATTTATTATTATTATGTAACATACTAAGAACCTAACTACATTTTTTGGGCACCAACCACCACCGTCCCCCCAGTCTAACATTTCCCCGTACGCCTATGATTACACAACAAACACTGCAGTGTCTGTGATTTTCTAGTTTAATAAGTTACTGTTTGAAACAAATCAGGGTTTCCTGATCTACAGGTTGTAAGTATATTATGATATAGCCTATATTAAATGTTTGTGAGGGTAACTTCCATACCTATACATGCATGTTACAAATGGCAAGTCAAGACAATCTAATAACAAATGAAATGGGGTTTAATTCCTACTCTTCTGCACTAATTGGGCTATTGAACATGGGCATACAGTGTGCTATGAGGGAAATAATTTTGCCTGGGCAGCGCTGATACGGCCAACTCATATTTATAATCTATAGTTAATTACAAACCATGACACAGGTGCTTGAATGCGTCTCAGCTAGACACATATACATGATTGTATACAAGAAAGGGTTGTCAACAATTTTTGATTGAGTGAATTACAAAATCGGCATGTTCATTATAGTTAAAGAAGAAGAGATGAAAAGGGGAATAACAGCCTACTTTCTGCTCCATTCAGGTAAATAAAAGAGTCGACGGGCATACACCATGTTCAATGAAGGAAATCTTACCTGGATTGTCGTGCTATGACCTAGTTATTATTTTGAATTTCACTTGGCAAGCGTTCTTTGCCTGCATGTCAAAGTGTACACAAGACTATAACACATACTTATGGAAGAACAATTACTGATTTATTTGTTCTTCCATAAGTATGTGTTATAGTTTATTGCTCTATCCAGTTACTAAATGCCTCTAAAAGATCATGAACACAAGACCTTTGCTTGTTTTTTTTTTATACCATCCAAATGATTGGACGAGTTCCTTGCCAGGCGCTCCGTCCTGCACAACTGACGAGGGGAAACCATGCTCCTAAGGAACTTTCTTGGTCAACACCTGGAATAACGTGGGGAAACCATGCTACTGGGGAACTTTCTCGGTCAACACCGGGATCAACAAAGGGGAGTCATGGTCCAGAGGAACCTTCTAAAGTCAACACTGGGAATAACGAGGGGAAACTTTCTTGGCCAACACCGGGATCAACCATACTTGCAATTTTGCAAGGAACTTTCTAAAATCAACAACGGAAGTAACTAGTCAGTGGAAACCATGTTGTCGAGAAACTTTCTTGGCCAAAACCAGGAAAAAGGCCAAGAACCATTTCAGATTTGGTCATAGGTAACAAGATATAATTAGTGTTAGGGCACAGATTAGGGTTAGGGCTACACAGAATTACAATGAATGTTTTTAAAAATTTGTGTGATTGATTATGTGATTAATAAATATACAATAAATGACACACAGGCTTGGTAACTTAATAAGGGGGACTCACCAATGAAGGTCTCAAGGACACATTCCACCAAAAACAGACACCAAACCTACAGAGTGGGATAGTGGAGTAAGGGGAGGTCACGATAAGACGGGCCTGGCACCTAAACACAAACCCCACAAAGATGACATCTACCAAACTAGCAGGATAGTGGAGTAAGGGGGAGTTACGGTCAGACGAACTTGGCACCTAAACACTATTCCGCAAATAAAACTGATACCAAACCCAGAGAGTGGGATAGTGGAGTGAGGGGAGGCCACGATAAGACGGGTCTGGCACCTAAACACTAACCCCAAACGAGGACATCTACCAATCCAGAAGCAGACGAGATCACCTACCAAACGATATGTTTTATATTAAATAAAGGGAAGAACTTCCCACTAAACCAAATCCATGGCCTAAGGCCAAATGGCATGGCCTAAGGCCAAATGGCATGGCCTAAGGCCAAATGGAAAGATTGCAAAATCATATTCTAAAAAACAGGAATCGGCTTCGGCTCTCCTATGTCTTGTCTGCGATATCACTTATGTGGAAGCAGACGTTAAACACCAAGAACGAACGAACCAACGGGGACACCTCACTTTCCCCACATCTTTTGTTTAAGAGTCTAAGTCCACCTGGCCATGACTAATTAACCAACAAAGGGGGTTTCAGGGGATCTAAAGTATAGTCTGTAACAAGTTTGTGACACTTCAACATAGTAAATGAATAAATAAATAAATACATTTTTTATAGTATAAATATTTATAAACAGTTTGATATATGATAAGTACAAATATATAATAAATAATTATATATGCATATATTAACTAACTAAATAAATGAATATATTAACTAAATAAATACATAAATATATTTTAATATAGTGGGAAGTGTTCACCAGTAACAATAATTAGAGTGAGAAGTTTACACCAGTGATACTAATTAATTAGAACAGACTATAGTCCTACATCCACAGTCTAATACCTCCTAATCCTTTATCAAAACAATCAAATGTGGGGAAAGTGAGGTTAAACCATCCATTCATTTATTTACTAATTGACTATTTGGGCCTGATTATGTAATGTTTATAGATGAATTATCTCATTACTACTATTGTCTATTATCTCTGTCATAGCTGACCATTGTTTAGATAATCCATCATGGGTGTCCATTTATGGTGTAAGTCTAGTACCTTAATATTGTGTGAATGGCTGTGTTAAATACTACCTGGTCATAGGAATGCTCCCCTTTTTGCTGGAGCACCATATATCCCAATAAATGCGATATATTGTGGATTTTAATGTTGTTATATGTCAGGTTGTATTCTAATCTATCAAATTAATAACATCTATTATGATGGGGTGGGGGGTTGGATGGCTAAATGGTTAGCACATGCCTGCTATATCATAAAGTCTGTCATTGGTGTCATTGTGAAGGAAAGTTATGCAGTAAATCGGCTCATAATCCACTTAAGATCGCAGGCTAGTGATGCCATCTAGAGTTGATTATGGTCTGGATAGGTTATAATTAATGTCTAACTAATGATTTAGATAACATCTCAGGCCTAAAGAAAGACCTGCAATAGACAGATTTAGCTCTTGCATAATGTTTATTTTAATAAATGAAGGTTTACGTTAAAAACTGAAATGATAAAAGTTGAAAAATAGCCCAAACAGCCTGTCTAAAAGTTTCAGCTCAGACTATTGTAACATTCGCTACATATGATTAACAGAGTTACGTACATTTATGTGACGTCATCCTTTGATGTTGACGTACCGTTATTTCAAATAATGGTACGGGCAATATGCCACACGTACATTATTTATACTTGTTTAAATATTGGACCTGTGTGACGTATTTCATTGATATGAATCTGGTGGATAGTGTCTGTATTTTAAGTTGGTTAATGTTCTCTTGCAAGACATTGCATAATATATGGATATAGCACCTGTGCAATATCAATATATTACTTAATGTCTCGCACTCCACCATTAAAGTATACATAACTCGTTTAGGGAATTCAACTGTTCCATTATATCAGTGACTTGGTAATTGTGACAACCACCCAACACTATTACTTAATTATATGAAAGTTGAATACTTGACTTTTCAGACACTTGGGAGTTGGCATGGGAAAAGTGAAAGTTTTGTATTTCTAAGAAAAAATATGACAGAGTTTTACGTGTAGATAGTTTTACATGGCTACGATAACCAAGGTCCCATTTACACATCGGCATGCACGTAAAAGAACCTATGACATTTGAGATTGGATATAAGAGTAAGCTGTATTGCCACTGTCCGGGCAAAATGTCTGTCGTAGCATACTGTATGGTGTAAGCTCGTCTTCATTAACCCCGTCACTGCAAAACAGTACGACGCTAAACCCCATTTCATTTCATTTCAATAAATAATACTTCTTTTTTTTCAGACGGTGTAACAAGATAATTACCAGCAAAAATGACGTCTAATAAATATTCCAAGCTAAAAGAAGCAGAAGGATGTCTCAATCCAGAAGATAATGAAAGTGAAAGTACATCTGAAAAACATAAAATGCTGAAAAATCATGCAGTTGATAAACACCAAAATTCAAAAATTTGCTGTCAAGCTTTGATATTGTTGTTAGCAGGTGTCCTTTGTATTTTATTGGCAAATATTTTAATATTAAATACCCCGTTTTCCATAGGTCAAGGTAAAGGCTGTATATTTTCAAAGTTGTATAATTATACGAGACATAGCGGATTGTTTCGACCCTCATCCAAATTATCACCAACACCAGAGTATGACCAGCAGATGTATATCGAGGTTATTGAGATTGATATAGTAGAAGATGTTGTTTATCAACAAATACCAATAAATGACAATCATCAGAAAATTCCTCAAGAAATACCAATAGTTCATCAGCAAACACGTCAAGAAATGTCAATAAATCATCAGCAAATACCTCAAGAAATACTAATAGGTCATCCACAAACACCACAAAGACCTGAAGATTTTTTAAAAGTAAATGATGATAGACACTGCAATATTATGGATGATGGCAGAAAATTTGATTGTCACCCGGAATCCTCTGTTACTCAAGAGAAGTGTGAAGCAAGAGGATGCTGTTATCAAGCCGGTATCAAAGGTACCCCTCTAACTGTTCCCAGTTGTTTTTATCCTCTGAATTATCCTGGCTATATTGTCACAAGAAAAGAAAATAAAACACAAGGTTTTGACGTATTTCTCTCACGGCTAACTCAGTCCTACTATCCTGATGATGTCATGGATTTAAAAATGGAAGTTAGAATGGAGAAGACATCAAGACTTCATGTAAAGGTAGGTTTGCCTTTATTTTTATAGTCTACTGATTATATTCTTTGAGGGAGCAGTGATGGCTCAGTGAGTAAGATGCTGGTTCGTTAAACAGGAAGAAAGTTACTTGGGTTTCCCCTTGACAGTGGTGCAAGATTGTTGGGGGGGGGGGGCTGACAAGGACAGAGTTTAGTTGTTCAGATGGGATGAAAAACTAATGTCTCTTGAACATTAAACAAAACTAAGGCATAAATACAATTTGGCTCTCCTTGAATCAGGAAAATTTAGAATTACTCTTGCAATATAATTATCAAGGTTTTTTAAGAGGAGATTTTTTCTCATTTTTATACACCCACATTTTCATGTGGATGTATATTGTCGTCGCCCCTGTCCTCCGTCCACAATTGTTTGTGAACACTCTACAGGTCACAATTTCTATCCGATTTCAATGAAACTTGAAATGTAGGTTTATCACCCTAAGATCTCTGTTCCTTTCGATATTGGCATGTATCGGACTGTAACATCATGGATTATGCCCCTGATTGTACGAAAAATCACGTTTTTAAACTTGTGAACACAGTAGAGGTCACAATTTTTATCCAATATGGTTTAAACTTGAAATGTATGTTTATAACCCACAGATCTTGGTTCCTTTCGATATTTGCGCACATCGGACCATAACTTCCTGAATTATGGCCCCTGATTGTACGAAAAATCGCGTTTTTAGCTTGTGGACCTTATGGAGGTCACAATTTTTATCCGATTTAAAAATCCCAAAGATCTCAGTCCCTTTTGATATTTGCACATTTCAGGATTATTGCCCCTGCTTGTACAAAAATTCGTGTTTGTTTTTAGCTTGTTCTCTATCCATCTCTTGCAAAATGTGGGCGTATCCTGTCTGGCAGCCGCTGGTTGAAATTGGCAGGAGCTTTTTGTGGCTCACACACAAATTTATAAACGTGAAGGACACTATATAGAGTACTATAACAAATAGATAATATAAACAGAATACGCTGAAAATTTCAGTCAAATTGCTTCACTCTGAACCAAGATATTAGCGATTCAATTTTAGGCAAGCCTCGATCATTATTACTAACATTGGAACGATAATAAACAAGAGTCTCAATTATCCATCTTTACGTTATATTATCCATCACAAAATGTATGCATATCAACTAAATATTGCAGGCTAACAAGGGCATCGAGAGTTGATCATGGTTAATTAATAATTTAGATAACATTTAAAGCCTAAAGAAAGACCTGCAATAGACAGATTTAGCTCTTGCATGATGTATGTTTAGTTCAAATTGTGCAATAGAATATTGTATTATATGAATTGGCCGATAGGTGCATATTATTATTGGCAATAATATTGATTAAATAAATGTATTATTGATGAAATTTCATCAATATATTGTGCAATGCTTCAATCATCATCAACAGATAGATAATCCGTAGGTCCGGCAGGTTGACAAACCTAGAAATATAGTCCACCGAATGTTTTTTGAAGGATTATATATCTTCCATATACATGTAGATTTAGAATCCAGATGAAATTTAAATATTCAAGATGGAGCCATGAGTCATTTTCTGGTTATTTAGTTATGTAAAATTTGTGACAAATTCGTCTGAATCCAATTGACTTGGGCATCTCTTCCAAAAGTAACGGCTAATTCTGCAAGGAGGCCAAATTCAAAATGGGGGCTCATTTTGGCGCAAAAATAATACATCTATTGTACATCTATGAGCCTCTTAAAGTAATAGTTGGCAATTTATCATTCGCATGTTACAACCTTGGACTTTGAATACATGTACATAAAATCTGTTGTGTAACCAAATCAGTAATAGATATAATATGGTATGTAAACCTAATCAGTAATTGATAGGCAATCAGACTATGACTTAGATTTAATTAGATAAGATGATAATGGGTCATACACAGTATCATAGGATCATTTTGGAACTTTAGTAGGCTGTTCAGTTTATTAAAGGATAGGCAACTAATGAACAATTTCTAAGCATTGCTCCAGAAGTTACCCTGAGATTCCTAGTTACTTTAGTAACCGATTCTTATTGAACTCTGTCCTCTATCCGTTACTGCCTTATCCTATACACAACTAATTTAAAAATAAGACTTTTCCCCCACCTCGGTTATAAGGCTGTTTTGGAATCCTTACACTCTATTTTTGTCCCCCGCCTTTCGAAGAAAGCAGGGGACTATTAAAATGGGTTCGTCCGTCTGTCTGTCTGTCTGTCTGTCTGTCTGTCTGTCCGTCTGTCTGTCCGCCTGTCTGTCCGTCCGTCTGTCTGTCCGTCACACTTTTTGGGACACAATAACTCTCTTCCTAATTGAGCTAGAATGTTCAAACTTGGTGTATGTGTTTATTAGGTCAATGCCTTGATGGAGTTCGAAGATGAGCATTTTCCGCTTAGGGTAAGCAGAGATAAGCAATTTGATTGGTTGATGCTTTGGGACACGATAACTCTCTTCCTAATTGGGCTAGAATGTTCAAACTTGGTGTATGTGTTGATTAGGTCAATGCCTTGATGGAGTTCGAAGATGAGCATTTTCCGCTTAGGGTAAGCAGAGATAAGCAATTTGATTGGTTGATGCTTTGGGACACGATAACTTTTAATTGAGCTAGAATGTTCAAACTTGGTGTATGTGTTTATTAGGTCAATGCCTTGATGGAGTTCGAAGATGAGCATTTTCCGCTTAGGGTAAGCAGAGATAAGCAATTTGATTGGTTGATACTTTGGGGCACGATAACTCTCTTCCTAATTGAGCTAGAATGTTCAAACTTGGTGTATGTGTTGATTAGGTCAATGCCTTGATGGAGTTCGAAGATGAGCATTTTCCGCTTAGGGTAAGCAGAGATAAATAATTTGATTGGTTGATGCTTTGGGACACGATAACTTTAGTTCTAATTAAGTGAGATTGATGAAACTTGGTGTATAGATTTATTATATGAATACCTTAACTAAGTTCGATAATTAACATTTTTTGCTGAGGGTAAGCAGAGTGATAAGCAATTTGATTGGTAGAAACTTTGGAACACAATAACTCTCCTTCTAATTGAGGTAGAATGTTTAAACTTGGCATAGGTGTCTATTAGGTGAATGTTTAAACTTGATGTATATGTAGATGTTCATTAGGTGAATGTCTTGACTGAGTTCAATAATTAACATTTCGAGCTGAAGCTAAGCAGAGCTAATCGATTTCATTTGTCGATGGTTTGGGACAAGATAATCTTGATTCTATCTGATAGAGAGTGATGAAACTTAGTGAAAAAAATAAATGTGCGATTAATTAATATGTGTCATCTATTTATTTTGCAATTTCGGCGGGGGACATCAGCCTCACTGTTGGCTTGTTCACCTTGATTCTTCTTTGTTTGCCAAAATCAATCCGACACAAATTTATGATAATCCATCCAAAACTATTTTCATGTAGAATTTAGCAATCCAAAAACACAAACAAGATATATATAAAGGTCAATAATGGTACCACTAAAGTGAGTATGTATTCAACATACATAAACAATTATTGCATAAAATCGATTAATACATAATTGAAGTACAGCAACAATTTTTGTTCATGATAACATTTCATTCCTAAATTGGCTAAGCACAAGCCATGGAACCTGTGACCTTGGGTCTGCGCGGACGTGAGTTTCATAATGGCGGATCAATTCAAACAAATCTTGTTTGTGTTTTTGGAGTCTGTTGAAATGAAAACACTTCTTGATGTTGTACCATTTCGAATGATTACTTCCAGAGATACTCTAGAAGTCAAAATTATCATCTGAGCTTTGTTGAAGTTTGATTGCTTGTTGCTATAAAGGAAAATTATTGTAGGTATATATGGCATGGCTATGGTCCACCTTGATTTATGAAATCATGTCAACATTCTAGGAGTCGCAATCATCATTAATGTAGAAACTTGCATGGTTTATTTATATCAACTTATTTATAAATTCTATCGAAATCAGTTCACTACAACAATACTTTACAGAGTTATTGCTCTTTATAAGGTATCAGTTATTGCCTTTGCTTTTATCATTTTTTTGATGAAGCCTATTCTGTATGGAGGGATATTGACTATTGTATCTTTGTAGCCGCTTACTATAAACAGCTAAAGCAATGATGACAAATTTTGAATACACATTAGTTGCATAATTATAAAAGATAGTAATTACCAGAGTCACTGCCCTTTTCAAAGTAGAAATGCAGAAGGGTATATGTGTGACTGTATTTGTCATCATTTTATTTTTTTACTTTAGATATTGGATGCCATGAATAGCCGATGGGAGGTGCCATTAGGAGTACCAGTATCCCCTAGTCCAGTAGAAGATGTTGGTGATAATTTATATGATATAACTGTAGCTGATGTCGGACATCCGTTTAATTTTAATATTACACGAACTGGTACTGCTAAGAAAATATTGTAAGTTAAAATTTTATTTAACATAAAACATTGTAAATTTTAATATTTAATATAAAACATTGTTAGTTTTAATAATATTCAAAACAAAACATTGTTAGTTTTAATATTCAAAATATTTATAGTTATAGTATTTAACATAAATTTTAATATTTAACATAAAACATTGTTAGTTTTAATATTTAGCAAAAAAAAACCATTGTTAGTTTTAATATTTAATATAAAACATTGTTAGTTTTAATTATTAATTTATCCTGTTGTGTACTATTACTCATAGTAAAACATTGTAAATTGTGATATTATACTAACCTGTTGTGTACTATAAGTAGTAAAACATTGTTAATTATGATATTATACTAACTTGTAGTGTACTAATACTAGTAGTAAAACATTGTTAATTATAATATTATACCAATTTGTAGTGTACTAATAGTAATACTCATATAGTACAACATTGTTAATTATGATATTACACTATCCCGTTATGTACTAATTGTGTATAATTATGTGTAATGTTGCCCAAATAATTAGTAATTGTTCTTCCATAGTATCTGTTATAGTTTATTGCTCTATCCAGTTACTAAATGCCTATAAAGGATTACTAATACGTACTAGTACTGACAGTAAAACCTATTTATTTATATTTTTTTTCAGGTTACAGACAACTGGAGCATTTATTTATGCTGATCAATTTCTACAGTTATCCTATTTTCTATCATCAAATTATATTTATGGTTTAGGAGAACATCGAGATACATTGTTACTCAGTGTAAACTGGTCAAAATTTACTATGTGGAATAGAGATCAACCCCCAGAAGTAAGTTCTTTAATAATTAATTAGATTACAGATTAGAGCGTGTATTTTTTTACTGATCAATAGAGATAAATTGTTGTATAGTATTAACTTGCCAAAATTGACTTTGTGGAATAGAGATCAGCGACCTGTGTTTAAGTGTGTTAGGGGACGATATAATTCAAAATCATCCATCCCTAAAATTGGTAGTTAATGCTCATTTAACCTTTGACGCTGACATTTATTTTATATGACCAGCCAATTGACATGTATGTTTTATTAGTTGTAGTCAAACATCAGCATGGAAATTTCAGATTGCTGCTTGTTATGTGAGTACAAGAATTAAAGATGCATATGTAAGCTTTAGATAAAGAGCTGGTCGTTCCTGTTTTAATAGTTTAAAAAGTAGATAACGAAAAATTAATATATCGAAAATTAAAGTCTGAGCGAAGTTATCAGACTTTGAAATGTTCACAGTAAAGTCGCATTTGTTAAGAATCATTATTTTGATTATGAACAAATTCTAGAGCATCCATTTTTAAATTAAATTATTAAATGGCAATAATGTTTCAATTCATTGAAAATCACGACCATCTGATGGGCTGGTCATGTGAATAAAAGCAAGACCCGCAATGGACAGTTTTAGCTTTTGCATAATGTATCTTTAATTGTGCCAAAATTTTAAGATGTTTCATAGTTTACAAATAAAACTATTTCAGGAAAATACCAATATATATGGTGATCATCCATTCTATATGAATCTTGAAAACGATGGAAATGCTCATGGTGTATTTCTTTTAAACAGCAATGCAAAGGGCAAGTCTCTCTATAATAAAAATAATCTACACAGGTCACAATTCTATGGAGCTACAGTGGCCAAGTGAGTACGATGGTGGTTCGCTCCCGGTGCCTGCTGATAAAGTTCATCAGGTTTTTCCTGCATCATTTCCCTTGTCAGTGGAGCAGGATGGAGAGCCTGACAAGGAAAGCTGTCTAGTTATTCGGATTGGATGAAAAAATGAGGACCTGTTTACACATTGGTGTGCGCGTGAAAGATCCCTTGGCGGTTGGCATTCGATATAAGAGTAGGCTGAGTGCGGCTGTCCCAGCAAAATTTCGCTCATAGCACATTGCATGGCGGATGCTAGTTTTCATTATCCCAGTCAGAGCAGAACAGTAGGACGTTCAATCCCATTTTATTTCATTTCCAAATTCTATGGAATATCTTTTTGTTTCGTTAAATCATCTGTCACAAATACATTCAAATTCACTAAATATCGCAGGCTAACGATGGCATCGAGAGTTGATTATGGTCTTGATAAGTTAATTAATGTCTAATTAATAATTTAGATAACATTTAAGGCCTAATGAAAGGCCTGCAATAGCCAGAATAGATCTTGCATAATGCATGTTCAATATTTTGATTAAATATAATCCCTGGTGCCAGGGGAAGTAATTCTTTATTTATGATTTTTATATTTCTAGATGTTATACTGCAACCAGCTCCTGCTATAACATGGAGAGCTATTGGTGGCATCATAGATTTATACATGTTCCTTGGTCCTAGTCCTAATGATGTCATAAAGCAATATACAGAGGTCATAGGTCATTCCTTCATGCCACCATATTGGGGTCTCGGATTCCATATATGTAGATGGGGGGATAAAACAGTAAATGAAACCATGGACATAGTAAATAGAGTTGCAAAATATGAAATTCCACAGGTAAATATTACATGGTATATTAGATCATAATGTCGGTCATTGATTCAAGTGGCATTGTTTCAATCCCCCGCTGGTACGGGACAGGGAGGTTAAAATTCTGACTTCTTTCTCGCCCAACACTGGTATCTACTTCAAATCTAATTTTAATTATATTCTTTCATATAATGATCAATGGCCGAATGAGTAGCATGTGCACGTTGTATCATAAGGTCTGTCATTGAGTCAACTGGCATGGTTTCGATTCCCTGGTTGTAAGTAGACCAAGAGTACGATCTTCTGTCCAACCTCATGGGTTTTCTCCGGGTCCTCCGGTTTCCTCCCACTGCTAGACCCCTACGCACAAACGAATTATTGAAATAAAATTGAACCATGTGTTAGTCCTAGCATGAGCTAGTTTGTGTCGAGTGGACATTAAACCCCATGTCTCCCTCTCTCTCTCCCCTATAACACTCAAACTTTAGTGCATGCCCTAGCTGATTTCCAAATATACTAGTGCACATGTTATAGCTGTTTGTATTAAAGGAGCTTAATCGCTAACATTTGGTACCTAGAAATTGATACAAGTGGATCGCAACTCATATAATACTGTAATATGAATGTATATAAACTGATATACATTCAATGGTTTCCGTTTTTACTCTATTTTCAAATAAGTTATGTTCCGCAAAATAAGCCAGCAGTCTCAATCGAATGCAAATTTCTAGCGCCTGGTTATTCCAGTCTACATACGCCGTTTGGTTTGGTGCAATATGTCTAGCCTCGTTCCTCGAGTCTCTTGCTAGAACTGGGGCTGAAACGCATTATGGTACACGATCACAGCATCAATGTTGATTTAAATTGACAAATAATTTGTGTTTTCAATGTTGAAGATTTTGGATGATATTGAGTTAGAGACTTGGCTACTTTAAGTTGTTTCATTCCTGAATAAAACATTTGTAATTTTATCATATGTTTCCATTATTCTCACAACATGAGAGACAAAATTTTTTTCGAAAAGACTTTTTTAGGCCGAAATGAGTGGGCCTAGTCACTGAAATAAAACTTCACAATTGACGATAAATATTTTCATGTTTCCAAGACTGATCTTTTTATTTTAGGATTCACAATGGCATGATATAGACTATATGTATGGCTATAAAGAATTTTTCCTTAATGTAACTGCTTTTGGCGATCTTACTGGAATGGTTCAAGATCTGCATGACAGGGGGATGTATTATGTTTTGCTTGTTGTAAGTATATAAATATTTCATTTAAACAATTTTTTTTCTTTTAAAGTGGACACTATCACTATTGATATTCTGCGTTGGCCAACCACCATCTTTTCTGAAGTTAACCCCCCCCTTTTCCTCAAAATGTCTGAATGCGGCAGAGACTACAGTTTCTTTAACAGCTTTTTTTTAAAATTCAGTGTGAAGCAATGGAACTATGAGAGGGTGAGCCGTATTGATTTTTCCAGTTCTTCGTCCATCTCTTGCAAAATGTGGGCATATCTTGCATGACAACGGCTTGTGTCATAAAGCATTCTTTCAATTTTACAGCCCAGCCGATACTAGTATATATTTGTATTTGACACATGCATGCTGAACCGTTAAAATAATATATATATATATATATATATCTGGAAGTGTAATTGAAAAAATTATCGTGATTGAATAATTAAACCAACTGTAGCTATTAGATATATGTGTATTATCTGAAACTTAGTTCAGATTTTTATGTAAAGTATTATATATTTGAATACCATGAGTTAAGTATTATATGTTTTTATACAGTTAAGTAACATATGTGACCCCCCATGGCATACTAAGTCACAATGAGGAAATTTTGAAAATTGAGATATTGTTATTTTCACATTCTCCGACTCATTACCTTCAATTTGATGTATAGTTTGTTTGAATCGGGCAAAAATTGACTGAGTTGTGACTGCTTAAAGCCATCCAACTCACCAAAGTAAGTTTTGAGAAAAATCAAGTTAAAGATTTGATATGTTTCAAAACAAAATCCCATAGCAACCAAGCCATTTATTTGCTGTTTTGTCGCTGAATATTGTTTTCTAGAGGTTTTCAGGGGTGCTAAAGACTAAAAATTGTAGTACAAATTTGATCCGACAATTTCCGACATCTTTTTTTTGAAAATGGACGCCAAAATGACAGATTTTCGAGTTTTCATAAGTAATGTGTTTATTAATGTCATTGAATGGGTTTTGGGGGGTGCTACATCAAAAAATTGCAGTATAAGAGTAAATCCGATAATACCCGCCATTTTGTTTTTCATAATGGCGACCAAAATGATAATTGTAGTAGTAAAATTAATCCGACAATATCAACCATTTTGTTTTAACAAAATGGCGACCAAAATGACAATTATGTTGTTTTTTATCACCGTATATTTGTAATCGGCTGGTGCAATGTCATTTTATATGTTTTATTAGGCACAAAGGTTGTAGCATCAGGGGTCGACTGGACTGTATCCTCCATCTTGTTTTTCAAAATGTCCACCAAAATGGCAATTATTGGAGTTCTTATACTTGGTACTCGTGTAATATATCATGTTAGAGGTTTTTGGGGGCGCTGAATACAAAAAACATGGTTTTGGGTCGATGCAACAAATATTTATCATTTTACATATTCGATGATTTTATGGTCACCCATCAGTTATGGTCACACCTTGCAGGGTAGGGTATACCAATGAAACGACGGTATTCAACACCTTATACTGTCAAGTATAAGAAAAGAGAACATTTTTCTAAAGACAACAGTATGCTAAAAACTCTCATAAATTTAATAAAAGATTATAATAATAATTAAAAGAGAAAGTACTAATGATCAAAGATCCCGTATTAATATGGTCTGACTATTGTTTACAGCTTAATTAATTGGGTGCTGATTGATCTACTGTTTTGACTGCCGAGTTCTAATTAAAAGAGATGGTACTAGGCCCTATGATCAAAGATACGGTATTAACATGGTTTGACTATACACCTTAATTGAAACTAGTTCCATTGTATATACTATGGAGTTTTCGTATGGCACGGTTACGATGCCAGTGTATAGATAGCTGTAAACAAACGCTATTTACAGTGGATATAATTGCATTACGAGAAATTAATTTATTAATTCATCAGGCATGGGCGACTGTTTAACATTCGACAATGGAAAAGGGCGAGCTCTCAGTTGCAAATGAATTGAATGCACTGACATCTGCAGTTTTTAGAAAAGGCAAGTTAAAGGTGTCGGTATGTTCTAAAACAATATCACACAGCAACCATGCCATTAAATCTTTCGTTATTTTATTGTTTAATATTAATATTTTCTTCTTTAGGTTTTCAAGGGTGCCGAAGACGAAAATCGTTGTAAATGCGCTCTTTTCATAGCAAAACATCCACAACAAATGCGGCATATTCACATTTCCTATGATAGCGTTATAATTTAGAACAGTGTATACATTAGTAGTCTAAGTTTGTATATTATAACTTAATCAGTTAATCTCATCAATTATTTAGCACCTTGGTGCCAGTGGTCAGAAGATTAATGGCAGATTATTTTTCCCACTCGATAATCGTCGCGTTTTGACTCATTGGTCGTTCTCATTTTCCCGACCCATGGTGATAATAGAATTTTAAACAGTAATAATATCCAATATACATTCTTAACTTTGCATGCCGTATGAAAGACAGTAAACGTAATTCACCTATCAATAAAATTTATTTCGGAAAGAAAATTATTGGCTATTTTGTTTATTTCCTTTTAAAGACTATTAAATCATCGCCGCTTTTCTAACAGACCAAACGAGACATTAGATCATCGCCCCTTTGATTAGTTATTCGGAGTAAATAATGAATTGTCGGCGGCCTTATCATTGTTAATTATCAATCAACTAATCATTAATCCGTGAGAAGTGATTACGGATTAGTATTACTCAATGACACGAACGGCTTGTTGATTGATTTACAATGTTTTGATTAACACTCAACGGCTATCTATATACCATCAGATTCAGAATTAAGTTGTTGGTATCCGAGGATCTTTTTATTTTGTGTTTTTATACGCCCACATTGAAATGTGGACGTATATTGCCGTCGCCCCCGTCCGTCCGTCCGTCCGTCTGTCCGTCGGTCCGTCAGTCCATCGTCCACAATTTCTTGTAAACGCTCTTACGCCAAAAGTTATCATCCAATTGTTTTAAAATTGATATATGTTGTTAACATTAGTGAGATGAAGAAGCCTATTTAATTTCAATAATTTCCGTTTATTACGTCTAAAGTTATGGCCCTTGTTTCACTTTGTTGAACCATGTGAACACTCTAATGCCAAAAGTTAACATACGGTCTTTGTGAAATTTATATGCAATATTTATGTTAGTGAAACGAAGAAGCCTATTGAATTTCAGCAATTTCCGTTTATTACGTCTAGAGTTATGGCCCTTGTTTCACTTTATTGAACCTTGTGAACGCTCTAACTCCAAAAGTTATCATCCAATCTTTCTGAAATTTACATACATTATTTAAATTAGTGAAATGAAGAAGCCTATTGAATTTCAGCAATTTCCGCTTATTATGTCTAGAGTTATGGCCCTTATTTCACTTTATTGAACCTTGTGAACGCTCTAACTCCAAAAGTTATCATATGATCTTTCTGAAATTTACATGCATTATTTAAATTGGTGAAATGAAGAAGCCTATTGAATTTCAGCAATTTCCGTTCATTACGTCTAGAGTTATGGTCCTTGTTCCACTTTATTGAACCTTGTGAACGCACCAACGCCAAAAGTTATCATTCGATCTTTGTGAAATTTATATCCATTATTTAGATTAGTGAAACGGAGAAGCCTATTGAATTTCAGCAATTTCTGTTTATTACGTCTAGAGTTATGGCCCTTGTTTCACTTTATTGATCCTTGTGAACGCTCCAACGCCAAAAGTTATCATTTGATCTTTGTGAAATTTATATGCATTATTTAGATTAGTGAAACGGAGAAGCCTATTGAATTTCAGCAATTTCTGTTTATTACGTCTAGAGTTATGGCCCTTGTTTCACTTTATTGATCCTTGTGAATGCTCTAACGCAAAAATTTATCACCCGATCTTTGTGAAATTTATATGCATGATTTAAATTAGTGAAACGAAAAAGCCTATTGATTTCAGCAATTTACAATAATTACTTCTAGAGTTATTGCCCTTGTTTCACTTTGTTAAACCTTGTTAATGCTCGATTGATGATAGTTATCATCCGATATGTATGAAATTTATATGCATCATTTAAATTTGTGAAACAGGTCTATTGAATATCAGCAATTTCTGTCAATAATTTCTAGAGTTATGGCAATTGTGAACGTTTGAATGACAAAAGTGATCATGTGATCTGTATGAAATTTATAGGCATTATTTAAATTAGTAAAACGAAAAAGCCTGTCAAATTTCAACAATTTCTGTAGATTACTTTCAGAGTTAAGACCCTTTTTCAGTTTGTAGAACCTTGTAAACCCTCAAACGACAAAATTTATAATCTGATCTGTATGGAACTGTCTTGTAAAGGCCCCCAATTACCTACAAAGGAATAAATATGCAACAACCCTTGACGACCGCTCGGACGATTTAGCTGCTGTGGGCGTATGTTTTGTTGCCTGGCAACCTATCTTTAACAATTTTCAAGTGTAAATAAGTTAATGAAATCAACCTGTCCATAATATCATATTCATTGTATTGGACGTTAAATCTTTAATAAACAACAACAGTTGTTTTCTGCCACTTCTCAGAGTGAATCGCATTAGATACCCCATAACTTTGCCGAAATCTAATTTCTATCGTCTGCTTGAGCCTTGATGCGGCCACGGAACCACAATGCTTTGCACGCGTTGTCTGGGCCAATCAGCAAACAAGTCGTGTTGGAAGCATAGCAACAAGCGGAGTGTGTTTACATTTTTAGGGGTTTTAAAACCCTTTTGTATTCCTTCAAAATGAATTCATCGGCAATATTTTGGTCATATTTATAAACTAGAGATTCTCCGCTTTACATAATGCCAAGCATTTTGCAAGAGGATTGACAGGTCGCCCCGCTGCGAGCAGAGAAAAATATCTAATTCCACTGAGAATAGTCAGAAAAATACAGATTTAAGAATACGGTACTCTTACAAAACGTCCAAATAAAGGCGTTTTAAAATGTTTTATTGCTATTTTGATCTTTTGAGTCGATAGATAGTATATATATTGACTCAATTTTGTGAAAATCTCAATTTCGATCAAAATCAATATTTTCGCTTATTTTGTCTCTTGTGCAAAATTAATTTTCTCGCATTCCGACTCATTTAGATGCGGCAGGTCACATATGTTTATACCATGAGTTAAGTATGAGTTAAGTATTATATTTTTTATTACAGCGATTAAGTATTATTTTTGTTTTATGCCGTGAGTTAAATATATTTTAATACAGTGAGTTAAATATGATATATTTTAATACAGTGAGTTAGATATTATTTTTATGCCATGGGTTAATTATGAATGAGTTAAGTTTATTATACAGCGAGTTATATATTTTGTAGGATCCAGCTATCACCAATTCAACTACACCTGGTACCTATGCACCATTAGATCTAGGTTTAGAACTGGGTACATTTATTAAAGATTATGAGGGGAAACCACTTGCAGGAGAGGTAGGGTAATAAATTAATAGCTGTAGATTTGTGTATATAGGGCAACTGAATTTAGCAAATGTCTTTTGTAAATTGAAAGAATAGTTTATATATTTGACATTATTTTGATAAATGTAGGAGAATAAAATAAGCTATAAAAAGACATACCTAAATGATTTATACCATGGATGCTATTCCGGACATGTCCTATGCAATTTTCCAATTGTCCGACCTGGGATATGCCCAATCGGACCCCAAGATATGGTGAATAATATTCAAAATTCCTAAATATATTGACTGTACTGAGTGTATAACTACTAACATCTTGATTATTGTTGATAATAGGCAGGATTGATTAGGTATTTTTGTGATTTGAAGCAGGTACAGGTCGGTGCACTTTCATTCTATCGTATTATGAAAAACACCTAGGAATACTGTAGGAAAATTACTGACATAAATTTGAATACTGTACGTGAATTAAATATAAAAAATAGTGAGCTGCACCTATTTTTTGGTATTCAGAACAAAATATGCTACATAACATAAAACTATTTGTAGCTGAAGTCTGTTGAAGGGAGTGGAACCTTATTGATGCTAATTCCTGAAGCTGACAAACAACTTCTAGTGACCTAATTCTGGTCTCAATTAACCTCTACTAAAAATGTACAGCGAGCAAAATTTTGAAATAGCATCCTTGATTTATGTAGTGACTTCAATATAAGAAAAAATATAAGATTTGACCAATTTTTTTCCTCTATTGACAGACTTGATGCATTAATGATTTTATTTTTTATACACGGAATATATGATTTTATTTTATACACAGAATACAACTGTATATGATTTTATTTTTATACACAAAATATATGATTTTATTTTATACACAGAATATATGATTTTATTTTTTCCATCATTAGATGTGGACAGGATCATCTTATTTTATTGATTTCTCACATATCAACGCCACAAAATATTGGACGACTATCGCAGGGAACTTCCATAAAATAGCCCCATTTGATGGAATATGGCTTGTAAGTATTTTATGGATATCTTTATAATATAAGATTTTTTCCAGATAAACATATACATATTAATAAGATAAAATTGAGCTTTGGTCTTACATTATTTTCTGTTATGTTGAGTGATAGAATACATGCACTTTAGATCACAAGGTCTGTCATTGAGTCAAGTTGTGTGGTTTCGATCTAAGCTTGTATGTGACCTCTTGGGTTTTCTCCTGGTCCTCTGGCTTCCTCCCAGAAAAAGCACAAGTTGCAAGCAAATTAATGAAATATAATTGTACCATAGGGCTGTACGATATTCTCGATATAGTCATTTATCACGATATGGTATTTTCAGACCCAACTACGATATCATGTGGCCAAAAATCGTCGATATAGTAGTTTATCGAATATCGCCAAAAACTTCAAATATCGAAAAAAATTATCATTAAAATAGATAATAAATACACTATACAGCAGTGGAAATTAGCCAACGGCAATAAACTATAATAAAACTAATGTTTTGAGAATCGTTAAATGTTGAAAACACTTGCGCGGTGTCCGCAGCCGTTTTTCACTGCATCGTCTATGCGTTACTTTTACTTTGTTTTTAGTCGACAATAAATTGTCAGTTGTTACTACGTGTAAAGCTTAGGCCTATTAAACGCCTGTAATTTCCCACTACCACGGCTAATTACCAAGCTATAAATAGGTTGTCATATTTTTAGAAAACAAATATTTTTAGAAAACTCTATGAAACTTAATTTCTGAAAGCAAGAATAAAACGATCTATAAATAGATTACTGTCACTGTTAGGCCAGGAATACCGCAGCCAATCGAATGCTTGAATGGAAGATAGTCCGGATCATTTAGTATTTGTTAAACTGTTTGAACTTACAATACAAGACTTGAAGATCGCATATACTTACTTCCACTGCACGTGATATTTGCGAATTTTCTTACACAAGGTCACAAGCAGACGCTTTTTAAACATCAGCGGTTGTATTTATTTTTTATCCAAAAAGGATGTTGTTTTGTTCATTTTAATAAATCTATATCATAAAAAAAAACAAAATTTAAAGTGTATGAATAAAGCAATTCTTACCCACAATTCTTACTCACACAGTAGTCAGCTTTAATGCATTTATATTTAATTTATTTAATAGCAAAGTGACATTATTATTAAATATCGCGATATTTAACTATATCGTTGAAAAAAATGCCAATATCGATATCGTCCCTTTTTGCAATATCGTACAGCCCTATTGTACCATATGTTATTCAGGAACTTAAGGTAAGCTATTGTCGAGTGGATGTTAAACCCATTTTTCAGTCTCTCTCTCTCTCTATCTCTCTCTCTCTTTGTTAAATCTTATACTTTTTAGTAAAACCATTATAACCAAAAGGGGTTAAACGTCCTACTGTTCTGCTCTGACTGGGCTACTGAAGATGGGCATACACCATACAGTGTGCTATGAGGGAAATTTTGCCTGGGCAGTGTAGCTACAGCCTACTAAATATCAAATTCAATGTGCCAATATGTACATGTGACCTTGTTTTTCTGTCTCATCTGAATGACTAGACAAGGGGGAAACCTTGCCGGAAAATCTCAGTGAACTTCCTCGGCCAACTCTGAAAGAAAACCTGCAATCTCCAGATTAGCTAGCCAGAGTCTTACTCACTTAGACCCTGTGGCTCCATATTTCTGAAAGGGTTGATTGGATGGGTTGTTTCTCTAAGTGATAATATACAAATATGTCTATTCTTTCAAATATTGATTTACATGTATTTTTAATTTATCTCTAGGATGAGAATGAGGTTACAAATTTTAATTCTGGTTCACTAAACGGTTGTCCAAATATTAGTCTAGAAAATCCACCATATTTACCAGGTAAGACTAATAACTGATCATATTAAGCCTATTAATTTCACAAAAATGGTTGTTTATTTAGATTGAGACTCACACAGGTATGATACATCGTTTGGCAAATATTTCCTCTTCTTTTTTGGGTTGCTTCCCTTATTGTTAGTCTGGTTTTCAGTGAAGCCTGTATCACTACAGACTTGTTATGGTACAGCACAGTGGACAATTACGGCTAGCCTCTGGATCTATTCATGTGATATGCTATCTGATAGATACATTTGTAGTTTGAGGTGTCTGTGTATGTTGTCATGTCCATAGGTTTGTCTTGTGTAATTGTTTATGTATTGTGGCCCCCTTGAACATCTATGGCAGGGTTTGGGGGCATTTGTGTGGAACTTTTCACCACAAGAGTTCCACATGATACCGGGTTTCTGAAAATAAATACATTCCCCAAGACTTTCGTCTTAGAAATAATAATCAAAGAGTGTTTTGGGTCTGTGGTGTTTTTCACCACAAGAGTTCCACAAGATATTGGACTTAGAAAAAATATCAATTGTTTCAAAAATTTCTTCTCATACCTCCCTATGCGCCTGTGTGGTACTACATTCCACAAAAGTTTTGACTTAGAATAATTTTCATAGGAGGTATGAGAAGAAATTTTTGAAAAAAAAAGATTTTTTTTTTAAGTTCAATATCTTGTGGAACTCTTAAGATCACAATTTTTATCCAAATTTAAAAATCGTTTCAATATATACTATTCAAAAAAAGTAGGGGATATTTGATTTTTAAGTGTTATTAAAGTCACCTAATGAAACTGACGAAGAAACAAATGACAAAATGAAATGAAGTTCACATTCATCGATTTATTCCAAATGATCGTTAGACTAAGTAAGGCACAGACTGACCATTATAAGGGTAAAATGATACCCGGGGTCAAACAGCAAAGTTACCACAGCATCACAACCAAGTCAGTAACGGGTAAATCCTCCTCTGTTTGCCAAACAAGCATTGATCCGACGTGGCATACTCCTAATGAGACGTCTAAGGTCATTTTGGTCCAGATTGTCCCATTCCTGTTGCAACGCAGCAGCAAGTTCTTGGACATTGGCAGGACGTTGTTGACGTTGACGTAACCTCTGTCCAAGCATGTCCCAGACATGCTCGATGGGGGAGAGGTCGGGACTCAGTGCTGGCCAAGGTAATGTGGTGATGTTCTGTTGTTGGAGGTAACCTGTAACGATCCTGGCCCTGTGACATCTTGCGTTGTCATCCTGGAAGATGAAACGGCGGCCATGACGTCGTGCGAACGGCACAACATGGACTGCCAAGATGTTGTCCCGGTAGTACTGGCCTGTAACACGCCCTGCAACAACATGTAAAGCCGTTCTTCCAGCAACAGTGATGCCTCCCCACACCATAACAGAACCATCCCCAAATCGATCATGTCTGATGACGTTAACGTCTTGGAAGCGCTCGTTTCGACGACGCCACACCCTCCTACGTCTGTCCAAAAAATGAACAGTGAACCTTGACTCATCTGAAAACATCACATTGCTCCAGCGTCGATTATCCCAGTGTTGACGATCCCTACACCAACGACGTCTTGCCTGAATGTGATGATCTCTCAAACAAGGGATCACGCGAGGACGTCGGGCGCGAAGGTGACCCCTATGCAGTCGATTCCGAATCGTCTGGCCACTCACTCTCACACCAGTGTCTGTTTGAAGACGAGCGCTGATCTGATTTGCTGTGATGACACGATTTCTCAAGGCCAAGGTACGGATAAATCGATCCTGGGCTTGAGTTGTCGCCCTTGGTCGACCTGAGCGTGGTCTGTCCTGTACAGATTGTGTATCACGGTATCTGGACCATAGCCTGCTTATGACAGACTGTGAAACATTCATCGTCCGCGCCACAACCGCCTGCGTTGTGCCGATCTGTAGCATGCCAAGGGCACGTAACCTTTCATTTTGGGTAAGCCGACGCATATCAAAATTTGTTTTCTGGTCACTAAAACAATTAAACTGATGTTTCCACCCTGGAATTCAATGCCACAATGACTGTAACATTCAAAGTCAGAGTCGTGCAAATCTTGGGTTGGACCCCCATGATGATCCCAAGCATCACCTGCATTCCATGCGGTAGCTATTGGTGCGTTTGGGAGTCACATGTAACCGGAAATGTTTCTTCTGTTAGGTTCTATAGTGACTTTTTTCGTAGTCATTTGCATATTTTAGTATTATGCCCCCAAAATCAAATATCCCCTACTTTTTTTGAATAGTATATCATCATTACACCCGATGATTGGTGTATGATTGTAAATTATGTGCAATTGAGATATAGTTTTCAGTGTATTTGTTAATGGTGTAGTAATGTATGTAATGTTTATATACTTTACATATGATTTTAATACGTGTTATATTTATATACTTTGCATATGATTTTAATGTATGTCATTTTTATATACTTTGCATGTGATTGGGAAATTGAATGATTGATATTATATATTGTATATTATAGATGTTGTTGGTGGATCTCTACGTTATCAAACTTTATGTGCTAGTGCTCAACAATATATATCATCATATTATAATGCTCATAATTTGTATGGTTATTCGCAAACAAAAGTTAATTATGAGTAAGTTTTATATACATCTTAGAATATATTAAAGATACATTATGGGAGATTAGATAAAGAGCTGGTAGTTCTAACTATAATAGTTAAAAACTCAATAATGTAAAGAGAATTTGCTGAAAATTTCAGTCAAATTGATCCACCCTGAACCAAGTATTTAGTGATTGAATTTTGGGCCTAGCCTCGATACGATAAAAAAACATATTTCTTGATTATCCATTTTTTGATTTATTCAGAAGCAGCAGACCGGGTTCTAATCCAGGCTAGTGATGCCATCGAGAGTTGATTATGGTCTGGATCAGTTTATTAATGTCTAATTAATAATTTAGATAACATTTCAGGCCTAAAAAAAGACCTGCACTAGACAGATTTAGATCTTGCATTATGCATGTTTAATACTAATCTATTTCTGTGTCGAAGCATGCTTATAATTTGGGTGTTGTTCCCAGCCTTTTGAAGAAAGCATGGGACTATTAGAATGGGGTTGTCTGTCTGTTCGTCATATTTTCTCCCCCTTGCCTTTCAAAGAAAGCAGGGGACTATTAGAATAGATCCTTCTGCCCCTCTTGTCTGTCTTTTACACCTTTTGGACACAATAACTGTCCTAATTGAGCCAAAATGTTAAACTTGGTGTAGGTGTTTATTAGGTGCATGCCTTGATGGAGTTCGAAGATGAGCATTTTCTGCTTAGGCTTTGTGCTTTGAGACACAATAATTTTGGTTCTAATTAAGTGAGAGTGATGAAACTTGGTGTATAGTTTCATTATATTTTATATCAATACCTTGACTAAGTTTGATAATGAGAATTTTTTTGCTCAGGGGAAGCAGAGCAATAACCAATTTGATTGGTCAAGACATTGATAACATTGATTCTAATTGAGAGTGGTAAAACCTACATGAATACCTTGACTAAGTTCAATGATGAGCATTTTCTGCTTAGTCTAAGTAGAGACTTCAATCTGAATGGTTGGGACTTTGGAACACAAAAACTCTTCTTCTAAATGAGGTAGAATGGTCGAACTTCGTGTAGGTGTTTATTAGGTGCATGCCCAGAGCAGAGATAAGCAGTTTCTTTGGTCAGTGCTTTGGGACAAGATAACTTTGATTCTAACTGATGGATAGTGATGGAACTTAGCGTGTAGTTTCACTTCCAGGTACTGACTGAGTTCGATCGTGAACATTTTCTGCTTAGACTAAGTATAGATAATCAGTTTGATTGCTAAATACTTTTGAAAAAGATAAATGTGCAATTAATTAATATGTGTCGTCAATTATACTGAGCGCCATGGAAAACGCACCACTTAGTTTTTCGTATAACAAAATGATCCTGTAAACATATCTTATTTATTTTGCTTCTTATTGTGAACAATATTCAAATGGGAACACATCAATAACAACACATTTGTACACTTATGGATGTTTAATCTGTAATCAACGGTACAAAGTCAGAGGGGTCAAAACCAAAAGTATGACACAGATGTCAGTAGCGCGTGTGTCCTCCACAGGCTCTTACGCACGCTGTGCAGTGACGTTGCATGGAATTTACCAATGTTTGAAAGAAGGCCTAGGGCAAATTGTTCCATTCTTGGACAAGAGCAGCTTCTAAAGCAGCAATGGTGTGCATCTGTGGTCTCCGATACAGACGGCGTCCAATCTCATCCCAGACATGTTCTATCGGTGCCATGTCCGGAGACATGGCTGGCCAGTCCAAGACATTGATGTTGTTAGCAGCCAGGTAGTCCATACTAAAACGGGCGGTATGCGGACGTGCATTATCCTGTTGGAAGTGCTGAAGTTGTGGGTGCGCTCGAAACTTCTCTTAGACGACGTCCTACGGTGTTGGCACTTACTGGTCCTTGTCTTCCGACGACTGCTGCACCTGTTCGAGTTGCTGGGCGGAATCTGTCACGCAGATGAGTGACCCGAATGTAGCGGTCTTGAGCCTGGGTTTTAACGCGTTGTGGACCAGGACGTTGACGGTCGGTCACATGTTGATCCAGTAACTCGAACACGTTCCACCAACCTTACAATAGTGGACTGATGACAATTGAAGTGTCTGGAAATAGCACGTGTAGACATGCCAGCCCTGGAGATTCCCATGGCTTCATTCCGTTGATTTTCAGTAAGTCTCGGCATCTCTAGCTCGATTCTTTCACACGTCCAACAACAAATTACGACAGATTGACGTTTCACAGTTCATGTACTGCACATTAAATTGAAAACATGCTTTTTAAGGGCTCACATACAATGCTGCACGTGAATATTGGGTTTTTCATGTGCATCTCGTGCAATTTTTTTTTGTGCACACGGGCCGATATTTTTTGCGTTTTGGAGCATTGTGTGAAACAATAGTTCATAGTATTGCATAATATTATACATACAAAACCACCTAGAAATAAAATATTTGGGAAAAAAAGTGATGCGTTTTCCATGGCGCTCAGTAGTTTTTGGAATTGTCGCGGGAGACATCAGCCTCATTGTTTGAAACAAATAACTCTGAATCTAATTGAGGTAGTATTTTTACACTTAGTGTACGTGTTTCTTATGTGAATGCCTTGAATGAGTTCATGTAATTTCAATGTTTTTATTATGTCATTTACAGAACTATGAAAGAACTTCGCGGAAAGAGACCCTTTGTTACCTCTGGGGCAACGTTTGCCGGTCAAGGTCATTATGGAGCTCACTGTTCAGGAGATAATAAAGCAAACTTTTATGACATGTATAAATCTATATCAGGTTATTATAGTTATTTTTATCCTATTTTAGTCATTCGGATGGGACGAAAAAATGAGATCCTGTGTAAACATGGGCTTGACAGTTGAATTAGGTGTAGGCTGTAGCGCCACTGTGCGGGCAAAATTGCCCTCATAGCACACTATATTAGCCGAGTGGGACATTAAACCTTATTTCATTTTGTATGTGTGGTTAATATTATCAATGGTTGTATGCTAATTGGAAAGCCATGGTGGCTCAGTGAGTAAGGTGCTGATGAATTAAAAAAGAGGTTCAGAGTTTCATCACGGTGGTGGCACAGAACGTCCCCCTGGATGTCTCCTTGTCAGTGGTCAAAGAGCGGCATTTGGGGTCACATGTAAATATCAGGCCGCAAAATTCACGAAGGTCATTGTGGCAATTGCTGTTGTAAGCCCTAGAAATGGCCATCAGTAGCTTTAACATTGGGGGCCCAAAATTGCTGTCGTAAAGGTCAGAAAAAAATCAATAAGAATATGACCGCCATTGGCCGTAGAAATACCTTAAATAGTCAATGGTGGTACCCATATCAGAAGCCAAAATAAATGAACAAGTTCATGTGTGAGATGCATTTTTTCTGTGAAACTTGGCTAGACCAATAACCCCCTGCGATAAATTTTTTTAAAGACATGGCTGTTTGCGGTATAGTTTACTCCCCGCACGGAGGGCTGTCAAAAATGACCTGAGATACAGATCAGCAAATTTTGAGCCCTGAACGTTGGAATACACGTAAAAGTAACTTTGACAGTTGTCAGGGCAAAAATTTCCCTAATAACATACTATATTGTGTATGTCCCTCTTCATTAGCCTGATTGGTGCCAGGGGTTGGATGGCTAAATGGTTAGCACATGCGCATGGTATCATAAAGTCTGTCATTGAGTCTGTCATTGACAAGGAGTAAGGGTTAGCGGTCCAACCTCGTGTGTTTTCTCTGGGTCAGCTGTTTTTCTCCCACTGCTAAAGAATTTTGAATTAAAATTGAACCATATGTTAGTCCCAAAATGTGTCAAGTGGAGTGGACATTAAACTCTCTCTCTCTCTCTCTCTCTCTGTGATTGGTGCCAAAAAGTAAGACATTTCATTTCAATTCATGTATTTTGCAGAGATACTGACTATGAATATGTATGGTACTTCAATGGTTGGAGCTGATATCTGTGGTTTCGCTGAGAACGCTAAAGAACAACTGTGTCAAAGATGGCATCAACTTGGTGCTTTTTATACTTTCTCCAGAAATCATAACGCCAAAGGTAACACTGTAAGTATATTTGATATCTTAATTCCAGGTCAAATCGGGACTAACATAACTCAATTTTATTTCAATAATTCACGTGCTGGTATGGGTTCTTAGCAGTGGAAAGAAACCTAAGTAAATCCAAGAGGTTGGACAGGCGGCCCTACTCCTTGTCACATAAAATTGGGGATTCAAAACCTTGACACTTGATTTCCACTTAGGTTAAGCAGAGATGAGCAATTTTGTTGTAATTGGGTGAGAGGGATGAAACTCCTGCGTATAGATTCATTATATCAATATCTTGACTAAGTTCGATAACGAGAATTTTCTGCTTAGACTAAGTAGCAATAAGCAATTCGATTGATCAAAAAGATAAATGTGCAATTAATCTATATGTATCATCTATTTTGGGGGGGATTTTGGTGGGGGACATCAGCCTCACTGTTGGCTTGTTGTATTTTATATTTTGTAACTATCGGTCGTAGATCTATTTACTGGAATAAACTATTTATTTATTATTATTTATTATGAATATATTTTGTAGCCTCAAGATCCAGCATCATTTGGTCCCGCCTTGGCAGCATCCACCAGAAAAGTATATTTAATACGATATTCACTTCTACCCTATCTTTATACGTTGATACATAAAAGTCACATGATGGGTGATACAGTTTTAAGACCTTTATTTTTTGAGTAAGTATATTTAAATTGTTAAAATAGGGAAAGTTTGGTTTTTTTTAACTTGGGTGCGGTATAAACGGCGTAAATCATAGGTTTTCATATATTCTGAAAATCACAAAATCCAGCATCACTTGGCCATGGCTTGGCAGAATCCTGTATACAATATATTTGTAGGCCTAATACCCAACTTTTAATTGGTTGTGTATAATCAATGCAACAGTAGACTTTCCTGTAATCTGAAAATTCTATTCTATCCCAACTTTCCTTTTGAGGAGTATTTTGTCGTCCCCACATTTGGTCTGTCCACAATTCTTACAACATTCTACATGTTGGACACTTTTTAGATTTTTTATACGCCCACATTTTCATGTGGACGTATAATGTCGTCGCCCCTGTCCGTCCGTCCACAATTTGTTTGCGGACTGTCACAATTCTTGTCCGATTTTGACGAAACTTGAAATATAGGTTTATCCCCAAAAGATCTTGGCTGCTTTCGATATTGGCATGTATCGGATCGAAACTTCATGGATTATGGCCCCTGTTTGTACGAAAAATCACGTTTTTAGCTTGTGGACCCTATAGAGGTCACAATTTTTATCCGATTTTGTTGAAACTTGACATGTAAGTTTATTACCCAAAGATCTCAGTTCCTTCGCGACATTCGTGCATATCGGACCGTAACTTCCTGAATTATGGCGCCTGATTGTACGAAAAATCGCGTTTTTAGCTTGTGGACCCTATAGAGGTCATAATTTTTATCTGATTTAAAAAAACGTATTATTATATCACCATTACACCCTAAGGAAGGCAGAGTTTGAATTTCGTTAAAATCGGACCAAAATTGCCGTACAAAATGGCCGCTGTTTGTACACGAATTGTGTAAAAATATGGTAAATCAAGGTTGTGGACCCTGTATGGGTCACAATTTTAATTCGATTTTGATGAAACTTGAAATGCATGTTTATAACCTAAAGATTTTGGTTCCTGTCGATATTGCTGCATATCGGATCGTAACTTCCTGAATTATGGCCCCTGATTATAGGAAAAATCGCGTTTTTAGCTTGTGGACCTTATATAGGTCATAATTTTTATCCGATTTAAAAAAACGTATTATTATATCACTGTTACACCCTAAGGAAGGTTGAGTTCAAATTTGGGGAAAAACGACCAAAATTGCCGGACAAAATGGCCGCCGTTTGTACACAAATAGTGGACCTTGTATGGGACACAATTTTAATTCGATTTTGATGAACTTGAAATGCATGTTTATAACCTAAAGATCTTGGTTCCTTTCTATATTGTCGCATATTTGCGCATATCGGATCGTAACTTCATGAATTATGGCCCCTGATTATACAAAAAATCGCCTCTTTTAGCTTGTTGTCTCTCTGAAGGTCACAGTTATTATCTGATTTTTAAAATCGTTTGAATATATCACCGTAACACCATAATAAAGGTTGAGTTCAAATTTCCTGAAAATCAAACCAAAACTGCCGGACAAAGTGGCCACCGCTTGTACACGAAAGGTGTAAAAATATGGTATATCAAGGTTGTGGACCCTGTAGAGGTTACAATTTTAATCCGATTTTGATGAAACTTGAAATGCATGTTTATAACCCAAGGATCTTGGTTCCTTTTGATATATTTGCGCCTATCGAATTGTAACTTCATGAATTATGGCCCTTGATTGTAGGAAAAATCACTTTCTTTTTAGCTTGTTCTCTATCCATCTCTCAAAAATGTGGGCGTATCCTGCCTGGCAGCCGCTGGTTATCCGATTTTGTTGAAACTTGAAATGTAAGTTTATAATCCAAAGATTGTGGTTCCTTTTGATATTCGTGCATATCGGACCGTAACTTCCTGAATTATGGCCCCTGATTATACGAAAAATCGCCTCTTTTAGCTTGTTGTCCCTCTGAAGGTCACAGTTATTATCTGATTTTTAAAATCGTTTGAATATATCACCGTAACACCATAATAAAGGTTGAGTTCAAATTTCCTGAAAATCAAACCAAAACTGCCGTACAAAGTGGCCACCGCTTGTACACGAAAGGTGTAAAAATATGGTATATCAAGGTTGTGGACCCTGTAGAGGTCACAATTTTAATCCTATTTTGATGAATCTTGAAATGTAAGTTTATAACCCAAAGATCTCAGTTCGTTTCAATATTCGTGCATAATGGAACGTAACGTCCTGAATCATGGCCCCCGATTGTACAAAAAATTGCGATTTTAGCTTGTGGACCCAATAGAGGTCAAAAATTTTATCCGATTGAGAAAAACATATTATTATATCACCGTTAAACCCTGAGGATGACTGAGTTCGAAATCGGCCCAAAACTGACAGACAAAATGGCCGCCCTTCGTTCTCAAATAGCGTAAAAATATGGTAAGGTAAAGTGGGGTAACTTTGACACATCTTTGATCTTACTGAAGATAAAAGTTACAAAATTTTGGTACCTAATATTTCTGATTATTAAATGTATGGAATAGATACCTGTAAACTACTCCCATGCATTTACAGTAATGGCCAAATTAATAGCATTTTTTTCTAAAAACGTTGCAGAATTAACTCACTAAAATTGAAGTATGGATAAAATCATACACCGTGAATATATTGAACTGAATATTCTTACACATAACCATATTGACATCTATTTCACATTGCATGGTTGGTCGACGTAATTGATGACGTCATGACGTCGTAGCGGCTGATGACGTCATCAATGTCCATCATTTTGTTTTTTTGCCGTTTTTGGAATACAGTCATTAGGGAATTTCTCTAATGCAAGGACATCAGTTACGTTTTGGGGAGAATACAGGACAAGCACACTCAAAAAACAATGATTTCAATGGTCGTGCATAACGTCATTACAACTGTGTGACGTCACAATGACGTCATCTCGCCGAAACAGGTGTTTTACACCAAAACGCTTCAACTTGATTGATTTCAATGAGAGGGTATCTCACAATTCAAAAATAGAATTGGCTGTCACTAGATAAGGTACACGAGAAAAATAGAAAAATGCTGTGCATTCCCCCGTTTTTATTCACTCTGTTCTTAATAAAAACATGGTGATGCACGGACGGACAACTCGTGTTTGTCATGTTTGACGTTACTTCCCGTTTCTTCACATGCTTGTTACACATCTCAAGTAGCAATGATCTCTGTGTTAAAATTATATTTGGGTTGTATTTAACGAGCTCTTATCACATATTTTATAATGACTGGCACCAATATTGTCCTTTAACTCGTTGGATTATAAATGATTTCTATTTAAATTTCTCAAACACAGAGTGGTTATGCAAGCGAAATGTGCCGAAAAATCGAATTTGACAAACATCAATTAAAAAAAAAAGTATTTTTTATATGGTGCCGGGCATTTCTTTCCTAATGGCCGCCAAATTTGGTAATATTATCATTATTATTATTACAGCATATTTATGTTCGACCATTATATCGTAGTTATGTATGCGAAATGTGCGGAAAACGAATTCGACAAACATCAATTAAAGAAATGTATTTATTATGTGGTGCCGGGCATTTCTTTTAAAATGGCTGCCGAATTTGGTAATATAAGGCCATTTAACAAAAAACCCATAAATTTGGTATAATAAAAGGGCATCTCTTAAGATACGTAAGATATGACTTTTGCTATGTCTTTTATATAGTTTTCGATGTCTCTGAATTTGAAGATAAATTTTGAAAATACAAAATAGCAGCAGCACAAATTGGCGGATATTAAATTAATCGTCATTTTTCCTGTTGGATATTAGATAGTGTCTCTAAAGCATGATGTACACTGTAGTTCGATGTACCCTGTAGTCTTACATATTTGTCAACATCAAGGTGAACTTGCTCTATTGTCCGATTAGCCTATTCAGACTTGTTACCACGAATTTACTCACCCCACCCTCGCATAGTTATGAATTTATTGTTTCACTTGACTAAAGAAACATTTTGTAGGAATGTATGCTTTTATAGATTGAACACTTGTTTGCGATGTCATTTTCGGTGGAAACTGGCACTATACCTAAAGAATGATTGAACAAATAGTGGAGACAGGGTTTCAGCCGGCTGATTTAAATTATTTCTTTAAATACAGTAAAGCTTGAAATATGTCAGTTTTCACTCTTTAGAATGTTTTTGTAAATAAGTTTTTATTGTAGTTTCTCAATAAGCGTTAGAAACAACGATATATACCCTTAATCCCGGTGCCGATAAATGTTGGGTTGTGTGGAACATGCTAACAAATCTCAGGTACGATATATGTTTGATTCTGGATGAGAACAGGTTCATTTGAGATGAGAAGCAAATATTCAAAGGGGTCAGACAAACTCTAAACCAACCGCGTTCTCTTCACTGAGTCCCTTCAAAGGAGGCCTTGTCTGTCTACCTGTGGAATAACATGCATTTGTATCTGTTAAATTTGTGTGGTAGACAGATTGATATTATTTATACATAGGCGGGGGGTGATAACGTCTTACCCCAAACAAATTGCAAAAGAAACCATGAAGTTTCTGAGAGCGATATTTCGTAATTAGTGTGCTTTAATGGTGGGAGAATAAATAATTTCTTTTTAAATTTTTCAAACACAAACTGGTCATAGAGGCGAAATGTGCCGAAAACCGAATTTGACAAAAATCAAAAAATGTATTTTTCACATATATGGCGCCCGACATTTCTTTCAAAATGACTGTCAAATTTAAAATAGCATTTTCCGACAAGACCAGTGATAATCTCGTAAGATATGACTTTTACTATGTCTTTTAAATGGTTTTCGACGTCTCTTCAAGGTCACCGTCGAGTTCCGAAGTCGTGAAACGCACCGTCGGGGGATTTGTAGGGGCCTGTCTCCCCTAGAAAATTTCTAGAAATTTCAAGCCGGTCTTGCCAGGCCGTGAATACGGCAGCCTGAAAGTGGTCCATTTTAATGAAGACATCTGAACTCCAATCAACAAATCAATCAACCAGGCTGTTGTTGCATTCACATGACACCAGACGTGTCATCTATGAACAAATATGCCCGAAACAAATGTCGCTGTTAGTGCGATCCATTTGTGACAATTTCTAGGTCCCAAATATTAGCGATTTAGCTCCTTTAAAAGCGAATGCAAGTTAAATATGTTTAATAGCACTTTTATCTAGTGTATCTTTTATTTTGATTTTTCTTATAGAATAAGGCTATATAAATAACAATAATGTGCCCTTCTTGTTGTATAATACTAATAATAGTATGTTCAGCTATACTTTTCGTTTAAAAAATGTATGTTTTATGTCCTATAGACACTTATTCACTGAAATCTATAACATCCAACAATATAATAGGGCATATAAATAGATAATAAGTTGGTAGAATTACTTGGGACCCAAGATGGCGTCTTTGTACACTTGACGTCATATTTGCATGATGTCATATGAAATTCCTGGCTTCACAGTTGTCGCAACTTTATCTATACACGGCTTTGCGTCGACCCACCATGCAATGTGAAGTAGATGTCAATATGGTTATGTGTAAGAATATTCAGTTCAATATATTCACGGTGTATGATTTTATTCATACTTCAATTTTAGTGAGTTAATTCTGCAACGTTTTTAAAAAACATTGCTATTAATTTGGCCAGTACTGTAATCTATTTATTTCACTGCATTAATGAAAAAAAATGTCATTCATCATTTGATGCTTACATTTGACACCATGTCAAAGTTACCCCAATATCAATCTTCTTGATAATTAATCAAATGTGTTTAATTCTCTGGCTAATAAACTGATGGATCAAAGAAAGCTACACTCATTTAGTATCTATTTTTGTATTAGTTGACTTTTGATTTCATAAATAAACTAACAGTCTAGAAAGAATACGTAATTCAGACTACTTCAGCTGCAGTAGTAGCTTCTACTCTTGCAGCTGCGGAACTAGATAACGTCACAGAGGCAGTGATATCGTAGGTGATTGTTAAGCACCAATTAATGGGTGATCATACCTTACCAACATATTACTACTTAGTGCTGACTATTTTTCAAAATGACATTAAAACAAAAACATGTCAAAGTTACCCCATGTGTCAAAGTTACCCAATTTTACCTTATATCAAGGTTGTGTACCCTATAGAGGTCACAATTTTTATCCGATTGTGATGAACCTTGAAATGTAAGTTTATAACCCAAAGATCTCGGTTCCTTTCCATACTCGCACATATCGGACAGTAACTTCCTGAATTATGGCCCCTGATTGTACGAAAAATCACTTTCTTTTTAGCTTGTTCTCTATCCATCTCTCGAAAATGTGGGTGTATCCTGCCTGGCAGCCGCTGGTTTTTTCTAATATTTACTTGGAATGTACAACCGATGCTTAGGAAGAATTACTGCCCCTGTAGCCAAAGCTTAGTAACACCCTACAGGTCAAAGATGTTATTTAAAGCTTTCTGTGATTTTTCGGAAGTCAATTTATGTAGGATTTTAATAAGGCAAAATATATCTCAATATTTTTAGATAAATATATGTTATATGATTTTTATATGCCCACATTTGTCGTCGCCCCTGTCCGTCCACAATTGTTCGTGGACACTCTACAGGTTACAATTCTTATCCGATTTTGACGAAACCTGAAATATAAGGTTTATCTCCAAAAGATCTTGGTTGCTTTCGATAATGGCCTGTATCGGACCGTAACTTCCAGAATTATGGCCCCTGATTGTATGAAAAATCACGTTTTTAGCTTGTGAAACCTGTAGGGGTCATAATTTCTATCCGATTTAAAAAGACCTTTGAATATATCACTGTCACACCCTAAGGATGGTTGAGTTCGAATTTTGTAAAAATGGCCGCCCCTCGTTCACAAATAGCATAAAAATATGGTATATCAAGGTTGTGGAACCTCTAGAGGTCACAATTTTTTTCTGATTTTGATGAAACTTGAAATGTTAGTTTAAAACCCAAAGAAATTGGTTCCTTTCGATATTCGCGTGGTTCGGATCATAACTTCCTTAATTTTGGCCCCTGATTGTACGAAAAATCACGTTTTTAGCTTGTGATCCCTCTAGAGGTCACAATTATTGTACGATTTAAAAATATATCACCATTCCACCATAATATGAAGGTTGTGGACCCTTTAGAGGTCACAATTTTTATCTGATTTTGATGAAACTTAAAACATATCTTTATATCCCAAAGATCTCAGTCCCTTTTGATATTTGCGCATTTCAGACCATAACATTCTGGATAATTGCCCCTGATTGTACAAAAAAAAACTGTTTGTTTTTAGCTTGTTCTCTATCCATCTCTTGCAAAATGTGGGCGTATCCTGCCTGGCAGCTGCTGGTTGTGTATGTACATGGGTACATCAGCAAGAATAAAGCCAAATGCAGATGCTGGAACATTTTAGCCAAACATCCATGAAAACCTTCAGATGAATTGGTTCACTGTCTGCGGGTTAAAAAAACACAAACAATATTTCAAAAAAATGTTTGTGAAATCAAACTTGTTAGATATTTGGGTCATCTGCGTTGAAAATGAAAATGAAATGAAATGGGGTTTAACGTCCTACTGTTCTGCTCCAAACTTGGCTAATGAAGACGGGCATACGCCATACAGTGTGCTATGAGGGAAATTTTGCTCGGACACGGCACCAAGGCCTCCTCCTATATCGAATTCCAACTGTCAAGGAATCTTTTACGTGCATGCCAATGTGCATACGGAACCTTGGTTTTTCTTCCCATCCAAACGACTAGACAGCTGTCCTTGTCAGGCCCTCCATTCCGCATCACTAACAAGAGAGAACCACTTCGGAAACTCCCGATGAACTTTCTCTGTCAATGCAGGGATCGAACACGTGACCTCCAGGCTAGCGAGCCAGCGTCTTATCCAGTTAGCCACTGTGACCACTATATGCATTGACGCTGAATATTCAGATATCATGTGATATGTATTCCATTTTGTAATCACGTGATTTTATACGGCGGTAGCAATTACGTATCAATGGGCGATAGTGTATTGTTCGAGCTGAAACATTAGTTCGTCTGCGCGACCATGTTCATGGTCTGCAGTGAATTTATGTTTGGTGTTTTTGTTCGTCGACATAAATGTTCCATCGTCTGTGCTAGGCTTTAGTCAACGGTTGGCTTGGCCATAGCATGAAAATGAAAATGCCAGGGCAAGTGTTAAATATGGTGATAATTGAATTAGCTCCTGTTTACCTGTCAGATCTTTTAGAACTTTATACCCCTGGCTGAACCTTATGTACATCAGATAAACTACTTTTAAAGCCCAAAACTGTTCAACTAGTCTCTTATGGTCAGCGCTCTTTTAGTTATCAAGCACCTGTTTTATGGAATACAGTAGAATCTGTATGAGCAGCCACTCCTATTCAGCGACATCTCCTTGTAAGCGGTCACGATAAATTCCCCCCGTAGAAATTCTGTTGTTTCATCTCTTAATTCAATCTATTTAATCTACCATTTAGTATAAGATTGTGTACATCTCTATATTCTTTTATTAAGACAATTTAAAACACATTTATTTAATCAGGCTTTCTACTGACTCTGTATGCAATTGTTAACATGTCCATAATCTTGTTGTTTATTTATGATTATATTGTCACTTTGTAAAGTGCCCCTGAACATGTTATGTGAAAGGCAACACTATAAATATGCTGTAATCATAAATCATAATAATAAATAATATTATTTATATACAGATACCAACATGATAGTATTACATACAGTTATTACAATGATTGTAATTATATGTATATTACAGATACCAACATGATAGTATTACATACAGTTATTACAATGATTGTAATTATATGTATATTACAGATACCAACATGATAGTATTACATACAGTTATTACAATGATTGTAATTATATGTATATTACAAATACCAACATGATAGTATTACATACAGTTATTACAATGATTGTAATTATATGTATATTACAGAGACCAACATGATAGTATTACATACAGTTATTACAATAATTGTAATTATATGTATATTACAGAGACCAACATGATAGTATTACATACAATTATTACAATAATTGTAATTATATGTATATTACAGATACCCCCATGATAGTATTACATACAGTAATGATAAACAGTTTCTATGGGGACCAGCATTACTTATATCACCTGTATTAGAATGGGTAAATATTTAAAACTTTTACAATTTTAACTTTTCTGTTGTACTTTGACTTGATTTACATCAAATTAAAAATCTAAAAGTGATGGGTAGCCATTCCCGATTTCTGTCATGAAGCAACTAGTTTCGTTCTTATGCAAACTCTTAAGGCTTATAGATCATAATATTTTTAGATAATGCAAGTAATTATGTCAACATATCCTTTCCATAAGTATAACACCTTCCCGAATGGCAATATTGACATAATTCCTGGCATTATTTAAAGTTTTTTCGGTGAACTTTAAGTGAGATTGTGTTGTTGTTGTTAGTTGGTTGTATTTTACATCCGCTTCCACTGAGGTGATATCGCAGGTGAGATTGTGCTGCTGTTCCCCTTTATATAGTCATTAGGGGTTGAAATCTCTGATGGATCAGATCAATTCTGTTTCACTGGAGTCACTGCTTCCGTAATTATATGTGAAGAGAAAGTTGGCTAATGAATTGTTGCTATAAAAGTACTTGATTGACATTAGTATATAATGATTTACAGCGAACCATGCATATTTCAGAAATATGCCAGTACAAAATAACATATTCCCAACTTTAGGCCATACAAAAAACTATTCTGGTTCTCAGACTATCCTTCCTAAACAATCTGTTACTGAATATCATAGAGTTAAGATTATTGATTTCCATCGTCTTCAGTTTTGGACTGCCCATTTGTTGGACTATCTCTGGTTGGTCTACTTGATTTTTGACACCATTTTCAATGGCCTGGCAGGGTGAGGGCAAGCGGCAGTCACAGGGAATATAGTTGCCTCTTTTTTTCAGATTTATATTTCTGCTCAAATATATGACAAGTTTATTGCTTTTGTCTTCCTTTATGATGCAATTCAACAAAATTTATTAGACATGTTGTGTGTGTACCAAAAGTGTCTTTGTCATCCTGGCGCTGAAAGGGTGTATTTGTTGAAGCTAAGGGGTGTATACGTATGTCTGATTCTGTGTTATTCTCTTCTTTTATTGTAGAGTTTCTTTGATGTAACATCTCTATCAGTTTATTTTCCTGCTGATATGTGGTATGATTATTATACTGGTGAATTAATAACAAGTGAAGGTGGTGGTAAAATATTAGAGACACCATTAGATAAAATAAATCTACATGTTAGAGGTGGTTATATTCTTCCCTGGCAGTATCCTAATACAACCACAATACAGAGGTAAATATATAATATCTTAATACAGGTAAATATATAATACAACACAGGTAAATATATAATACAGCATGTAGGTAAATATATAATTCAATACCCACATATATACAGGTAAATATATAATACAACAACTACATACAGGTAATACAACAACTACATACAGGTAAATATATAATACATCATTTAGGTAAATATAAAATACAACCATATAGAGGTTAAAGTTAATACCAATAATACCAATACAATAAATTTTATCAACCATTTACAGTTTTATTCCTGTTAATGGTTGTGTAGGTAGGATCCAAAGCCTACTGCTTTGATTAGTGGGACTATAATACTGTTAAAATAGTCTATGTATAATGATTGGAGGGGGGGGGGGGGTGCTAGTGGTTAAACATGTGCATGTTTGATCATAAGGCTTGCCACTTTGAGTCAAGTGGCATGGGTTCAATTCCCCGCTTGTACATGACAAAGAGTGGGTCGTCTGTCCAACCTTGTGGGTTTTCTCCAGGTGGTCTGGTTTCCTCTCACACCTAAAGACTGCTATGGGCTAGTGAATTATTGAAATAAAATTGAACCATATGTTGGTCTTGAAAGGACCTAGTTTTTGTGGAGTGGACATAAAACCATCTCTCTCTCTCTTTCTCTCTCTCTCGTTCTCTCACTCTCATTCTCTGTATAATATATCACCATTCATCTATAATAAGTAGGTCACTAGGATGGAATAAATGATGAATGAAACATGAGTAAAAGCCTAGAGCACTATAATTTAGGCTGATAAAATGGACAATGTCAATACTCTCTTTAATACAAATTTTGTTTAATTCCAGCCGTAAGAATAAATTTGGATTGCTAGTTGCCTTAAATTCTACAAGTCAAGCCGAAGGTGACTTATTCTGGGACGATGGTGACACTATTGGTAAGTTACATCATAAATAGATAAATCACAATGAGGGTATATATACCTCAAATCACTGTATTAACTTTTACCATCTTATCAGGTGGGAGCCACAGTGGCTCAGTGAGTAAGACATTGGCTCGCTAACCTGGCGGTCCAGTGTTTGATCCCTGTGTTGACTGCGAAAGCTCATTGGTATGTTCTGGTGTAGTACCCCCTAGTCAGTGATGCAGGATGGGGTGTCTGGCAAGGAAAATGTATAGTCGTTCAGATGGGATGAAAAACCGAGGTCCTGTATACACATTGGCATGTACGTTAAAGAACTGTAGGCAATTGGAATTTGATATAAGAGTAGACTATATTGCCGCTCTCAATGTAGAATTTCCCTCATGGCACACTGCATGGTGTATGCCTGTCTTCATTAGTTCAGTCAGTTGGATGTTAAACCCCTACTCCTTGTCACGTACAACCGGGGTGGTTTCAAATCCCCGGTTGTACGTGACAAGGAGTAGAGTCGCCTGTCCAACCTCGTTTGTTTTTTCCGGGTTCTACGGTTTCCTCCCACTGCTAAAGACCCCTACGCGCAAGTGAGTTATTGAAATAAAATTAAACCATATGTTAGTCCCAAAATGAGCTAGTTTGTGTCGAGTGGACGTTAAACCCCATTTCTCTCTCTCTCTATCTTATCAGGCATGACAGAGTTCATAAATGAAATTTGAAAATTATGCACAGTTTCATCAAAGAGTCAGATTTCTGATATCACAACTGGGGAAATGGGGAGTTGCATGATGTGTACTCTTTAGATCACAAGGTCTGTCATTGAGTAAACATGCGTGGTTTTGATTCCCAGTTTCTAAGTGACAAGGAGTTCCACTACCAGGTTTCATGTAGTTGTGCTGTTTTAGCACGAGTTTCTCTATATAATGTTTAGTTTCAAACTATTTTTGGAATTTCGTTTGAAATCACAGAAAACTATTGGATTTCTACTGTCGCATAGTTTAAAACAATCTGTCTAGATTAGATAATGAGTATAGGCTTTAACTTGAACAGTTTTCAAACAATAGTTTGAAACTAAACATTAAATACAGAAACCTCTACTAAAACAACACAACAACGTGATACCTGAGTTGTAGTGTGCCTCTCCACAACATTGTGGGTTTTCTCTGGGTTCTCCTTATTCCTCCCACTGCTAATCCTTTGGATTCTTCCGACCCTAACACGCAACCGTTTTATTGAAATATTGTAAGCAACCAACTGTGAGCCAGTTTACAATATCAGGTTTAAATCAGTTTAGTGATGTACCAGTATTTATGGACAATAACTGGAGCCATGGTAACAAAAGGAATATAGCTTTAATATATATTTAATTGCTAATTTGATAGAATTCTATTAATTGTATATTTTTGTTGCAGATACTGTAGATTTAAAAATGTTTAATATGATCTCCTTTGGGGCTAATAAGGTAATTTGATTATAATAAATTTAGCATTAATTTTTAGTACAATTATATTGTAATATGAAATAAATGTAGGCTGTAGCACCCCTGTCCAGGCAAAATTTCCCTCATGGCACACTTTATGGAATATGCCCGTCTTCATTAGCCCAGTCGGGGGGGGGGGGGGAGTTGGATTGCCAATTGGTTAGCATATGCACGCTATATCCTAAGGTCTGTCATTGAATCAACAGGTGGGGTTTCGATTCCCCTGTTGTACGTGACAAGGGGTCGCCTGTCCAACCTCGTGGGTTTTCTCTGGGTCCTCCGGTTTCCTCCCACTGCTTATGCAAGAAAAGGAGTAGGTTCGCTTGACCAACCTCATGGATTTTCTCTGGGTCCTCTGGTTTCCTCCTACTGCTAAAGAATTATTGAATTAAAATGGAACCATGTTAGTCCCAAAATCACCTCGTGGGTTTTCTCTGGGTCCTCCGGTTTCCTCCCACTGCTTATGCAAGAAAAGGAGTAGGTTCGCTTGACCAACCTCATGGATTTTCTCTGGGTCCTCTGGTTTCCTCCTACTGCTAAAGAATTATTGAATTAAAATGGAACCATGTTAGTCCCAAAATCACCAAGTTCGATCGAGTGGCCGTTACAGCCCATTTCTCTTTGTGATAAGTTTGAAATGTTTTATAGAATGGTGTCTACAGCAGTCCATTTTTTATTGGATACAAGGATGAACCCATGTTATTAGGAAATGTGACAGTATTTGGTTTACAGCAACAACCTTCAACAGTTACAGTCAATGGACAACCTGCTTATTTTAATTATAAAATGGAATATAAGGTAAGCTATTATTATTTAGCCCTGTTCTCAAATGGCAGGGGCAGGGGCAGGGGGGCACCTGTAGGGCTGATATGGTAAATGTGCACAGTCGTTTGGATGATGGATAATCCTTTAATTAGAATCAACGAGATAAGTTATTGTCTAGTTCATTGGATTAGAAAGATAAAGGAATAGTTACTTAATTAGGCCTAGGGGTCAATGAGTTAAACAAATTAATCTCATTACATGATATTAACTAATAATAATTACCTGAGTTAAGATATTTATAACTGAGTAATAATTACATAAGCTATTTATAACTCATTAGATATGGGAAACTAAGAAATAATTACATAAGCTAATTATAACTCAATAGATAGATAAACTGATAAATACCCGAGTTAAGCTAATTATAACTCATTAGATATGGGAAACTAATTAATAATTACATCAGCTAATTATAACTCATTAGATAAGTTAAACTAAAAAATAATTACATAAGCTAATTGTAAATCATTAGATATGGGGAACTACGAAATAATTACATAAGCTATTTATAACTCAATAGCTATGGGAAACTAATTAATAATTACATCGTTAAATAATTAATAGTTAAATTAAGAAATGATTACATAAGCTAATTGTTACTCATTAGATAGGTTAAACTAAGAAATAAATACATAAGCTAATTGTAACTCATTAGATATGGGAAACTAAGAAATAATTATATCAGCTAATTATAACTCATTAGATAAGTTAAACTAAAAAATAATTACATAAGCTAATTATAACTCATTAGATAAGTTAAACTAAGAAATAATTACATAAGCTAATTGTAACTTATTATATATGGGAAACTAAGAAATAAATACATAAGCTAATTATAACTCATTAGATGGATAAACTGATAATTACCCGAGTTAAGCTAATTATAACACATTAGATAGGTGAACTAATAATAATTCCATAAGTTAAACTAATAATAATTACATGAGTATAAACTAATTATGATTTACAACATATTTAGGTAACTGATTGATAAAATAATTGACAATGCAATGTAACTTCTTTGAGTGGCTTTTAGTTATGGAAAAGTAACGAACTGAAACCTATATCCAACATAACACTTACTGGTATATAAACATACAAGTCTTTTTTCTGGTTTCAAATATTATATAAGCCCATAATCAACTCTCTAGAACATTGGATGGTTAAGATATTAAGTGGATTAGACAATGCCTGCTAGTGCTATATCTTATATATTCATTATCTATTTTTAAACAGAGCAACTAGCTCTTTCTCTAAATCTTACATAATACAGCTTTAATGTATAATAATAATAATAATAATAATTTACAGTATATGATAATTAAAACAGAGTAACCTTCTATAGTCTCTGCATTTCTCAAAATATAGATTTATAATAATAATAATAACTTGCAATTTGTTTTTGCTACTTTTAAAACTTGTTTCTTTTTTTCCTATTGCCAGGTTTTGTATGTGACCAGTTTCTCCAGTACCTTATTACAACCAATACAAATATTGTGGACATTTTAAAAATAGCAGAATTAAAGCCAATGCTCAAATTTTTTCACGGCTTAATCTATGCTAAAATGTACTTAAAACATATCTTTCACAACTTTGTAAATATGCACTTTGTATACAATTGAATACGTAATTGAACCATTTTTACACTGGTATTGTTTTTAGTGATTTAGAGAATTTAATAATATTGTGATATAAAGGGATACAGTCATTAACCTATGAAGTAACCTTAGTGTATTGTTAATTTTAATATTTTAAATAATATTTCGTAGTTCACATGTATATTAGAAAGTTGTTTGTTTTATTTCTAAGAACATTTTTTATGATAATCCTATATTTATAGATACTCACTTTGTTGTACTTATGATGCTAGAGCACACATTTTTAATTTGATTTTAGAATATAACAATATATATATTTTGTTAACTAGATAGTATATCTTCAATGATTTTAGCAAATTTAATTTTTTATGAAACTCGATTAAAAGGGATCTTACCTTGTAACTAATTATTAATATAAAATTAAATTGTGTTTTGAATTCTCTGTTGGATATAAAATTTATATAGAAAACATAGACTGGTTTGTTAAACATATAGCACAATGTATCAATAAATGTCCTCCTTTGCTTGATAACGTTGAGGGGTTCTCAACGAAGCATCGCTTTAATTAAAATAGTATCTGTGTTCCTTAGAATGTTTTTGTGTTTATTAAGTGTTCTCTGGTCGTAATCAAGCACAAATGATAGTTTAGTAAAAGATAAAATATAATAAGGAAGACATAAGATTGACGTTGTTACAATTCAAATTGAAGTCAGGAACATAAAATTGTTTACATATATAGGAGTAATTTTAGTGATCTAAAAAATGCAAATGTACTGTAAGAAGAACTATATCCTTAACTTATATCTTTCACATATCATAGCTAGAAACATTGTTACATATCATAGCTAGAAACATTGTTACATATCATAGCTAGAAACATTGTTACATATCATAGCTAGAAACATTGTTACATATCATAGCTAGCAACACCATTTGTATCTGGGAAAGTCCATGAATAGACTAACTAATGCATAATAACTAACCACCAGATTAGAGATTAATAACTTTAGCCCACGGCCGACCAACTAATATTTGTTGGCCGAACAATGTTTTCCGACAAAATTTTGTCAGCCCGAACAATGTTTTCCGACAAAATTTAGCCCAAACAATGTGTGCAAGATCAAACTTGTTAGATTTTAAAAACATTCTTCGGCCAGCAAATGTTTGTGTTGGTCTCATTTCCGTTAAATTTCAATAAAGAGCGAAACATTTTATATAAACATCCAATCGGGATTTCTTTCACTAATGATAATGTGGTACAGAAATGGCTGATGTCTCCACTTTGTGATCATGTGATGTTTTTAGTCAATCATGTGACAGCATCATCTGTCTCTTTTGAACAAAAGTTGGTCGGTTGCATTGAACATTCTTTGTTTGTGGGAAATTTAAAAGGGTATAAAACATTTGTTTTGTTAAGATGCTTTACATGTTTAATAAATGTCATGAAGCTGATAATTTGTTATTCTGTCTTTTTGAAATGTGAAGAGTCCAGGGGAAGAACGATCGAAGTCACATTTTTGTATTTTCGCATAAAAGGCAAAACAGACTTTTAGACGAGAATGCTTGACGGAACAGAACAACGAGTGGGTTTAATTACAACTTCAAAATGATTGTTCCACAGAAAGCTTATACAATTTGCTACCAGATGGCGCTATTTAACTGGGGTTCGTTGAAAAAGTGACTTAGATCGTCTTCCCAGGGGCTCTTCATGTCTATTTTAGAATTTATGTTTTAAGATTTACTGCTAATCACAAACTATTTTTCATCAGGAAGTTGATAATTTGTTATTGCTTTATATATACCTGTACTTAATCTTTTTTAAAATGTGTACCACTATTTTATATTTTTATTATTTAATGGGTTAAAATTTACTGCTTGTAACAAACTATTTTTGGTAATAAAGTTCTGTGAATATCTTTATGTTGGAGTAAAACCACTTGTACCAGAATAAAACAGTTTTTTTTATCATATTGATACATATACCAGCCTATCATATTTCATAAGGCCAAACTAAAAACAAATACCTGGGACCTTATTCACGAAAACTAAAATATTTTAAAGATTCAATGGTTGAGGGTTAAAATCTAAATGGAAATTTTAACTGTAAGCCAATGAAAATGCTGCATTTTAGTTTAAGTTTTCGTAAATAAGGCCCCTGTGTTTATAGTTACCTGATCGACATTATTTATTTTAGTCAAATTCGTCGACCCTAAAAATAATTCTCCCATTTCCTATATCTTGGTCTTGACGTGATTTTCTGTTGACAAATTCCAACTCTGAAATTTCGGTATTAGTTGCATGACACTACTCAGTAATTAAGCTAGAAAATAGATAATACAAACCCCTTGAAAAAAAAAAGATGTTAACAAAGAAAGTAGGGACCCTTCGGAACTAAATCTTATTTTTAGCCATCTGCAAATTGTTCTTCGATTCACTTTAAAAAAAAGCATGTGTTTTCTCTTTCCCATGAATTGATTCTAACATAGGGACCAATAGGTAGACTATATTTCTAGCCTGGTAATGTAAAATGATATTATGAAATCGAGATTTCTTGTCGGATGTACCAATAAAATAATAATGTTAGTCTAATTTCGGCAAAAAAAGGAAAAGTTTTTCCAACCAGCGATATTTTTCACAGGTATTGTTTTTCTTGGCCTAACAAGTATTAATTACTAGCAGGATACCCGGCTTCGCTCGGGGGTCATAACTCCGAAACCGGAAGTGGTAGAATAACGCCACCTGGCCTATGTTACTCCCCGGTCCGAGCTACCCCTATACCCCAAATTCCAGACTCGGGGCAGACCTAGTGTAGCCGCCAACCCCGAACAGACAGACAGACAGACAAACGACAGTCACAAATATATATATAGATGTTTTGGTTGTGTAAGAATACATAAGTTTATTATATATTTATAAACCTATGTAAAATTAATAAAGGTACTTGTTGTGAAATAACATGGATTTCTTACATCTCCTTGTAATCATATTACATGTCAGTATTTTTGAGAATGTTTTTCAAACTTTTTGAGCTTGTTCAAATAATCATAGGCCTGAATCTAATCAAAATGTTGAGCATCAATTATTTGCAGAGTTATTGCCCCTGTTATCTAAACCTTGTAGTCACTCTACAGGACCACCCGATTAGATTTTATTACATACTTCGAGAAGGTGTTTGTTGAGTAATAAAACCTTCTAGTAGTTTATCGAGGGCTGGCCGTTCTTACCGCACGGTACAAATATTATCACCACTAGAAGCAACAAATTCCAGAACAAGCCAGAACTCATACCAAAATGGCCGCTTTATACAAATGAGTATTTAGGGGAATACTAAACCCGAACCCTAACCCTAACCATTTTAAGAGAAGTAAAAACTAAATTAGACCCAAGTTCAGTCTTTTAAAAAGGAATAGGGTTCGGGTTAGTTATCCCCAAAATTCTCATTTATATAAAGCGGCCATTTTGGACTCCGGAAGCACCCAAACGTCGATAAACTACTAGAAGGTTTTATTTGTACCGTGCGGTAAGGACGGCCAGCCCTCGATAAACTACTAGAAGGTTTTATTACTCAACAAATACCTTCTCGAAGTATGTAATAAAATCTAATCGGGTGACAGGACAGCATTTTTTAGAAAATTTCCTGGAATTGTTTGACAAGTACAGGTAATAAGGATGAAATTTATGGAGTCCCACATCTAAAGATCTAGAGTAGAAACTGCTACCTTCCACACTGCCTTTAGATCTTGGTACATGTAAATATTGACTACCCCAGTTCCTTGAAGAAAATTAGAGAAAAGTGATATATTAATACTGGTACATCCCTGAACGGACTGAAACAGCGGTTCCTTAGACTCCCACAAACCACCTGAGATATGGGAATAGCCTTCCGTATTATAGCACCGCTATTCGTGCGTCACAGCTGTGCACATGATTGGATGGACTAAGAGCTAAAGGGTTAAAATCAAAATATGAAATTACAGTTATTTGAATAAGATAACCTATTATTATCTCTGTTATCATCATTAGACTTTAAACCATCTTTTTGTGGTGCTGTATTAGTTACTTTTATATCAATTATATATAACCCATCTGTTTGGGTTGTCATACAAAATGGGGAAGGAGAAAAATAGAGGTTTGAAAGATGACAAAGATATCCAGATTATTTATATTCCAGTGATAAAACAAAAACGACCAAAGTTTCGATGGCTAGAAATCATTTCCTTGCTCTTATTGTTTGTGATATGTATATGGATGTTTAAGCCAGTTCTTGTTGAGAAAATAGTGAATCATTGGTTAAAGACAACGAAGGACAAAGTTGATCTATCAGCAGCAGACACCTGCACCATTGATAGATCCAGCAGATTTGATTGTTATCCAGAGAAAAGTCTTCCAACTCAATCAGAATGTGATTCAAGAAAATGTTGTTATGATGCACAAGATACTGGTGGAGATCCAGTCTGTTTTTATCCAACAAATTATGAAGGATATCGTGTAACTAGTAAGATAGAAACATCAACAGGTATTAATATTATGTTAAATAGAACAAATCAGTCTTTCCAACCTAAAGACGTAAATCAGTTAATAATGGAAGTAACGTATGAAACACCAACTAGACTCAGAATTAGGGTAAGTTTCATTTTAATTTTTGAGAGTGACAACCTAAAAAAAGCTAGGTCAGGAGGGGTTGGGTGAAGTGAAATGAAATGGGGTTTAACGTCCTACTGTTCTGCTCCTAAACTGGGCTACAGTGTGCTATGAGGGAAATTTTGCCCGGGCAGCGGCGCTACGGCCTACTCTTATATCGAATTCCAACTGCCAGGAGATCTTTTACATGCACGCCAATGTGTACACGGGACCTCAGGAGAAAGTTCCTCGGGATTTTAAGGAGCCATGCATTTCCCCTTGTCAGTGGTGCAGGGTGAAAACCTGACCTTTGACAGGTGGAATTCGAAATAAGAGTCAGACTGTTGCGCAGCTTTCCAAGCAAACTTTCCCTCATAGCACATTATATGGTGTATGCTCTTCTTCATTAGCCCAGTCGGTGCAAAAAACTAGGATAATAAACTCCATTATATTACATAACGTTGTGTTATCTGTTCTCTCAGATAATCCAACCTCATGGGTTTTCTCCGGGTCCTCTGGTTTCCTCCCACTGCTAAAGACCCCTATGCGCAAGCTAATTATTGAAATAAAATTGAACCATGTGTTAGTCCCGAAATGACCCAGTTTTTGTCGAGTGGACGTTAAACCCCATTTCTCTCTCTCTCTCTCTTTCAGATAACCAATGGTGATCCTAAAGTTAAGAGATGGGAAGTACCATTAGATATAACCCGAGATAAACCTGGATCGGGTGATCAACCTCTTTATAAAGTTGTTGTATCAGATGTTGGTTCTCCATTTTCATTTTCTGTTAATAGAACAGCTACTGTTGGTTCAGAAGCTGTTACCTTGTAAGTTGATTAATCACAGATATATCACATAACTAAATACTGCCACCTTGTAAGTTAATGAAATAGATATCAGCCTATTACATACTTAAAATACTGTTAACTTATGAGTTGGTTTATCCCAGTGTGATTAATCACAGATATATCACATACTTTAAATACTGTTAACATATAAGTTGATGAAACATAGATATAGGCCAATTACATAGTTGAAATGTTATTAACTTATAAGTTGATTAATCACAGATATATCACATACTTTAAATGCTTTCAACTTGTAAGTTGATTATTCACAGATATATCACATACTTCAAATACTGTTAACTTATAAGTTGATTAATCACAGATATATCACATACTTTAAATGCTGTTAACTTGTAAGTTGATTAACCACAGATATATCACATATTTTAAATGCTGTGAACTTGTAAGTTGATTAATCACTAAGATTTGACAAACTTTAATATTGTTAAATTGTAAGTTGATTATTGATGTATATACCACATTGATCAAATAGTGTTAACATGTGATTACTCACAGATAGAGGTTTTCATTGGTCATTGGCTTCGTATTGCGTCCAATGGAAAGGCCCCCACCCACCCACCCCCCTACCCCAGCCCCCTACCCCAGCCACTACCCCAGCCACTAGCTACGGGTCTGCCATGTACCATATTTCCAATGACTGAAAGTTGAAATTCTAGGGTAGATTTTAGCTTTTAACCACCGAAACAACAATATCCCACAATTCTTTATTTTATGTCTTTGAGAAGTTTGAAAGGTGTGGTAGTAGACCAATAGATTAAATTTTTGAGAAAGAAGACCATAATTTGTTCATTTGAAGGGTGTGGTAGACCAATATATTATGAATGTGACATAAAATATATTATTTATTTGTGAAAAGGAACTATGATGTTTTGCTCGACAAATTTGAAGGGTGTGGTGTGGTAGACCAACAGATTTTAAATGTGACCAACAATCGATTCATATTTTGATGCATGATCATGTTCTGTCCTTAAAATATTGTTTATGATAATTGTATGACATTATAAACTGATTCATTAATTAATTGTCATTTCAGGTTACAGACAACTGGAGCATTTATTTTTGCTGATCAGTTTCTACAGTTGTCCTATTTTCTACCATCAAATTATATTTATGGTTTAGGAGAACATCGAGATACATTAGTACATAGTATGAACTGGACGAAATTCATCCTGTGGAACAATGATCAATCACCAAAGGTAACAATTATCAATCACTTGAGGCATCAATGATCAATCAATTAAGGTATCAATGTATCAATGATCAATCAATTAAGGTATCAATGATCAATCAATTAAGGTATCAATGATCAATGATCAATCAATTAAGGTATCAATGATCAATCACTTGAGGTATCAATGATCAATCACTTGAGGTATCAATGATCAATCACTTATGGTAACAAACTTCATCCATTGATAGCTGTTTATTGACTACCAACTCTATGTCAACACAGGAACCACAGTGGCTCAGTGAGTAAGATGCTGGCTCACATGTATTTCATTGAACATAATTGAATAGAAATTATAATATTTAAAAATTGAATGTAAACCAGTTTATATACATTAATTCATGCGTTTAGACCCTAGAACCGCTGTGGCTAGTGAGTAAGACGTTGGCTCGCTAACCAGGAGGCTTCAGATTTGCTCCTGGTGTTGCCTGAGAAAGGTCCTCAGAATTTTCTGATGTGGTTTCCCCTTGTCAATGATGCAAGGTAACCAGCAGAAAATCACCATGAACTTGCTCGGACAACACTGAGGCTATAGTTCCTTTAAAAACAATTTTAATGTCTATTTATGAAACTACTAACTGAATGACCATGGTATATAAATCATGATGAACTTTCTGGTCCAACACCACGGTTCCTTTAAAAACAATTTTAATACCTATATGAACAATCTCACTGAATAAATCACAATGAACTTTCTCCGCCAACACCGTGGCTCCATATATGGTCACTGTATACTAACTGAATGACCATGGTATATAAATTATCACCCTTTTGTTTTGTTTTGTGTAGGAAAATATGAATTTATATGGTGATCATCCATTTTATCTGATGATGGAAAATGGTGGAAACTCTCATGGTGTTTTTTTATTAAATAGTAATGCCATGGGTATGTATTGTATAATCAGGGAAAGTTTCAATATTTTCAACTTTCACATTCGTTATTCCCTTTCAATAATCAGATTATTTATGAATGTTTTGTTTGGGTTATATAATTGAAAATTTGGTGGTTTGAACCAAAACAGTGCACTATGGGAGATAACTCTTTACAATTTTGTTTTCAAAGGTCGTACTATAACCTGCTTGTACTTAAGGGCAAGGTAAAGTGACTGAAATGGGGGGTCCTCAAAAAATCATTCACAACACCTTTAGTGCCTTTTTTGGTGTCTAGACGTGCTTGAGATGATACTGAACAATAAAAAAATGGATGAAAATAAAAAAAAATGACTTTGGAATTTGTAACTTTGGAATATATGAAACAAATATACCATTCAGCACTGCGCAGCTTCAGGGTAAACAACCCAACATGGGAAATCACAAAGTCTCACAGAGATACCTGAATATATACACTACAACCATCAAGACTTCAAATTTTGAAAACTATCTTTGTTTTAGCACTCCACGTCCATATAATTAAACTTTTATTTTTCAAATATCCTCCATTTTTTTCAAGGGACTACTTTCAGACTTTTTGTATGGAGTACCATCATAAACATAATTTGGATTAAATGTTTCGGGTCTGTATGGAATATTGTAAATACTGCATCACAATTTCCTTGAAACTGCTTTTGGTTTTCAGCAATTTTTTATAATGAATACACATTGTTATCATTTGTATTACTTCTTAATCCACCCCTTGAAACTTTGTACCAGGAAGCATAAAGATGCACTGACAATTAAAGATTGAACATTTTTACTAAGTTTTACAGTAAAATAATTTGTTATAAATTTTATTCAATTTTTATTCATTTTACCTTGCCCTTAAACATGGATAAATATTGATGGTGTGATTTTTGGGCTGACTTGAATATTTGTTATAACATTTGTACTTGGGTGATTTGAAAGCAAAATAGAGTGCAAAGGGAGACAACTCTTTCCAATTTTATTTTTTCGGAGGTTCTACTACAACCTGCACCTGCTATAACACGAAGAACTATTAATGGTGTGCATTTTTATAATCAGATTATTTATAAATGTTTTGTTTGGGTTAAATAGTTGAACATTTCTTATAACATTTGTACTTGGGTGATTTGAAAGCAAAATAGTGTGCCAAGGGAGATAACTCTTTCCAATTTTGTTTTTCAGAGGTTATATTACAACCAGCTCCTGCTATAACATGGAGAACTATTGGTGGTGTCATAGATTTATACATGTTCCTTGGTCCTAGTCCTAATGATGTCATACAGCAATACACAGAGGTCATAGGTCGTACTTTCATGCCACCATATTGGAGTCTAGGATTCCATGTATGTAGGTGGGGTTATAAAACAGCCAATAGAACAATGGAAATAGTTGAGAGAATTAGAAGATATGGAATTCCACAGGTACAACTACATTTTGATATGATACGTAAAAAATGACAACGAAATGTATAAACCTTTCAATCAAGAACATTAGGGATGGACCTCCTTTAATAGACAGCAAAACCAAGTCAAGAATCTTAATTATATTATAAAAGGAAATGTCACCATAACTTGAGTAAATATTACATACTAGCTTAGTATAGTTTAATGGTGTTGAATTAATATCCACTGGGGGGGGGGGGGGGGTGTTGGATGGCGGAATGGTTAGCAAGTGCACGTTGTATCATAAGGTCTGTCATTGAGTCAACTGGCGTGGTTTCCATTCCCCGGTTGTACGTGACAAGGAGTAGGGTCGCTTGTCCAACCTCGTGGGTTTTCTCAGGGTCCTCTGGTTTCCTCCCACTGCTAAAGACCCGATATGACCTAGTCTGCGTCGCGTGGACGTTAAATCCCATTTCTCTCTCTCTCTCTCTTAATATCCACTTCTTCCACTACAATTTTTAAAAGAAAATGTTAAGCATGAGCAAAACCCAGTCAAGAATCTTATCAGAGTCAAGACCAACATAAATGTGTTTTTCTTTTTTGACTTGGAACAAGATATATATGTTGATAGAATGGTTTGTATTACCCTGCCAATGATCTGCCAATAAATAAATGCACATGAAGAATTTTATTGTACTATACTGATATTTGAATTATATTGGGTTTCTTTTAGGATACTCAGTGGAATGACTTAGATTATATGGATCATAATAGAGATTTTACAACTGGTATTTCTACATTTGGTAATCAAACAAGTTTAGTAGAAGAACTACACAGACTAGGCATGCACTATATGATGATTGTAGTAAGTTGGACCAAATCAGCTTAAAAACATTAAACTAGAGTAGCCAACATCTTTCAGTCCCCTTTCTAATGAATATTAAATAAACTTAAATCTCATTTTGTCTTCCTTATTCAGTAAATTGAATGACTACTCTGTATGTATTTGGCCATTGATTCATTATTTTAAATTGATAACTATATGTGGGGAGAGTGTGTTTGGCTGGGGATTATTCAATGAATTGAGGTCCTACTGTTTTGCTCCAACTGAGCTAATGAAGTCGGCCAAAGGCCATACAGAGTGCTACGAGGGAATTTTTTTCCAGACAGTGGCACTATTCCAACTGCAGAGAGATCTTTTACGTGCATGCCAATGTGTACATGAGACCTCAGTTTTTCATCCCATCCAAAATGACTAGATAGCTGTCCTTGTCATTTGGCATAGGTGATGAAGCTGTTAACATTTAAGAAATTGAACAGTATTGTTAATGTGTCAAACCATTATAATGTCGGAATAGAATTGGCAAACTAGTTTGTGGTCCAATACAATTTGGTTAAAAAAATTTGGTAGTAAAATATTTGCTCTCCAACTTTTCATATTCTGGCAAGTTTAGGTAGTACCAAAACAACAATGGGGCCTAGTGGGGAACCTTACTCAGTAAGTTAAAGCGTTCAGGCTGCTGTCATTCCAGATAAAATAAGCATTTTTTTTACAATGCCCTCATTGATATTTTCATTTATCAATAAGAGATGGGTTGCATGGGGTCCCTACAGGTAAAAGGTCCCATGACACCCTAAGGTTAATGCTACCCTGAGCTTAGATGAAGACGAAGCCAGTAGTACATTCCTGGGTGTAATGTACACACCAATCAGATATTGTTAATTTTATATTTATTACAGGATCCCGGTATAAGTAATTCAGCTGGACCAGGTAATTATCTCTCCTATGATCTTGGTGTCAAGATGGATGTATTTATCAAAAATGCTTCCGGTCAACCACTTATTGGAGTTGTAAGTTATTATTACTGTATTTCGCCGTATTTATTGGAGTTGTAAGTTATTATTTCTGTATGTCGCCATATTTATTAGAGTTGTAAGTTATTATTACTGTATGTCACCATATTTATTAGAGTTTTAAGTTACTATTACTGTACGTCGCCATATTTATTGGAGTTGTAAGTTATAATTACTGTATGTTGCCATACTTATTGGAGTTGTAAGTTATAATTACAGTATGTTGGCTTACTTATTGAAGTTGTAAGTTATTATTACTGTATGTCGCCATACCTATTGGAGTTGTAAGTTATTATTACTGTATGTCGCCATTCTATGGGACTCCAGTTCAACCCATAATCACCAGATGATTGCCGTGAATATGGTTGCAGTTGTTTATTTCACTTACATCAGACAACATAATCAATTGCTAATATCTCCCTTCCAGGGGAACCAGGTTCAGTACCTAATTATCAGATGAATAGATCGACATAATGTGCACCCCTGCCCCGAACCTGCAACTGTTGATTTTGCTGTTGTCCCCATTCTAGAGGAATCAGTTTCCGGACATAATCATCAGATGATTAAATATTCTGTTAAAGGGACACAATCGTGTCGATATCTTTGTTTATTTCACTTATATATCAGATAATGCACTAATGTCTAATGCATTTTATAGTTTAACAAGAAGAAATCGGTTTAGTAGTCGCTGAGTTAGAAGTATTTTTGCACTAATATTCCCCTGCACCTCCAATTTGCTAACTCACGTGGTAGAACCCTAGCTTGCAGACATTTTGGGTCATAGCCTTTGAAGTTAATAGGTTATTATCCAGCATGTACAAATTTTAAAATGCAAAAAGATTCTGTGTTCTCTCTTCTCTTTTGTTAATTTTTCCTTCGATATTTATTTGTCAGACCGACGATTATTTTTCACTGATAAGACTATTTTTTACTGATCATTAGGGTGTTGGGGCCATGTAATCATAGCAATACTGACATACTAATAAAATGGAAAAACCCATCGTAATAGAGTTTTGACATGATGATCCTTTAAGATTTAGAGAAATTTTCAATTAATTAATTAATCATTTTAGACATCTATCTAAAGATGTTCTAGACTGTAAAATGAACTTAAATTTTTCAGGTTTGGCCAGGACCTGTAGTATTTCCTGATTTTACACATCCTAAAAGTCAAGAATACTGGACGGCCATAGCTGCTGATTTTCATAAATCGGTCTCTTTTGATGGAATGTGGATTGTAAGTATACTTAAAATAATAAACTCTGAAGACTTGGGATCTGGGTCCAGAATACTTAAAGGGGAGGTATTCTCGTTGTATGTTTTATAACACACATGTAAAGAAGTAGAAAACACTAATTCATCGTCATTCTGGAAAACTTTATTAAATATAAAATGAATATTTTGTATTCGTTTATGATGTTTTCATGGCATTGCGGCTTGTCATGAATCATAAGCCTGTTACTCGACATCAACACCCTTTAAATGGTTTACTGGATGTTAGAGTCGCACCAAAGAAGAGTAGACAATAGATTGTCATTAAGGAAACAGATTTCTGTTATTCTTTAAAAAGGCTATATTCAAGAGCTTTCTTTAGGTCGTAAATGTTATATAAATTAATTTATAGACATTTATTAACATGACAAGACCATAATCAACTTTCGATGCCATCGGATGGCTCCAATTTTAAGTAGATTAGAACGGTTCAGCCATTTAATGATTTATATTAAAAATGGAGAAGCGATGCTAAGACTCAAATAACCAGCACTATGGTTACGATAATAAACAATCAATGCACACACCTGGTCAAAACTACAAACGGTGATTATTTCCCTCAGCATATTCAAATATTCATTTTACATTATCTTAGAACTATTACATCAAGAGCGTTAAACCCCATTTCATTTCATTTTTATTAAAGCAAGAATGGCGAATTCTTTATCTAATTCTTATATAAATGAAAATGAAATGAAATGGGGTTTAACGTCCTACTGTTTTGCTCCGAACTGGGATAATGAAGACGGGCATACGCCATACAGTGTGCTATGAGTGAAATTTTGCCCGAACAGCGCACTACTCTTATATCAAATTCCAACTGTCAACGGATCTTTTACATGCACGCCAATGTGTACATGGGACCTCATTTTTTTGTCCCATCAAAACGACTAGACAGCTGTTCTTTCAGGCCCTCCATCCTGCATCCCTGACAAGGGGGGAATCGAACACCGGACCTGCTTGCCAGCCAGCGTTTTACCCACTTAGCCACTATGCCCCGCCGCACTCCTCTAAAGCTTACACAATGTATCTTTAAGTATTTGTAGGCCTATGATATGTGATAATTCCAGGATATGAATGAAGTTTCTAATTTTGTATCTGGTTCAACATCAGGATGTCCTTCTGACTCACATTTTGAGGAACCTCCTTATATACCAAGTAATTTTATAATGACCTATTACAATAATCTGATTATATATACCAAGTAATTTACATTTTATAACCTATTGCAATAATCTTTTACAGCACTGAAAGTTAATTTAATTGTAATTTAAATTTGAATAAGATATCTTGAGATACATAGGATATTACAGAGAAGGGTAGAGACACTGGATCAGACACGTAAAGTGTTGTTTGATCATTCAGATGGTACAATAAACCAAGAGTCACCATTTTGTACTCATGTATGTTAATGTAAAATAGTTTTAAGCAATTGGGCGGGGGGGTCTAGTGGTTTAACAAGATCTGCCATTGAGTCAAGTAGCGTGGTTTCGATTCCCCGCTTGTACATGACAAGGAGTAGGGTCAAATGTCCAACCTTGTGGGTTTTCTCCGGGTCGCCTGGTTTCCTCTCACAGCTAAATCCCTACGCGCAAGCAAATTATTGAAGTAAAATTGAACCATATGTTAGTCCCGGAATAACATACAGTTCAATTTTAGTTCAATAATTCGCTTGTGCGTAGGGGTCTTGAGCAGTGTGAAGGAAACCAGAAGAACTTGAGAAAACCCACAAAGTTGGACAGGCGATCCTACTCCTTGTCACATACAAGCGGAGAATCGAAAAATCGCGACTTGAATCAGTGACAGACCGCATGATCTAACATAAATGAGTTTGGGTTTTTTTCTGTGTACAGATGTATCTGGAGGTAAATTAATCTATAGAACTATGTGTATGACAGCTCAACAATATACATCAATACAATATAATCTACATACATTATATGGTTTACTGGAAACAAAAGCTTCACATCAGTAAGTTACATCATACTTTACTAAGTCAAGGATTTTCTGACAAGAAACATTGACTAGTCGTATGGATGGGATGGAAAACTGAGGTCCGATGTCCACATTGGCGTGCACGTGACTAATTAGCATTGTCCAATCAGAGGTCGTGGCACATAACACACTGTAAACAAATATGGCGGCCTCCATAGAAAAAGAAATAGACAAGTTTACAGCATTTGTTGATCAACCATGATTTCCAGCAACCTTGACATTGATAGAATCTTGAACTTTGCAACTCGATTGTCACATGTAGACATTTTAGCTAGAGGCGCGAGACTTGATAATCGTAACTATATTTTTAACGAAGGAATCTGATAGGATCACAAGCTGTGCTTATACCCAATCGAAATTAGTGCTAAAGTATGCGGGGTATTACGTGAAGGGCTTGATAAGACGTACGTAGTTAGGGCGAGATCAAGCCTTCTATTGAAGATGGGTGTCCCCCATACAGCACTATAAATATAGTATGGTATATATGTCTTTAACCTCCTGTAAACTCCTCAAGTTTTACATGTCCATCTGTTTACTTCAGGGCTTTGACAACAATTCTTGGAAAGAGATCCTTAGTAATATCGAGATCAACATTTGCAGGCCAGGGTCATTATGGAGGCCATTGGACTGGAGATAATCTGTCAACTTATTATGATATGTATAAATCTATATCTGGTAAGTAATGGAAAGAGGCATTGCCGCTTCAAAGATCGGCTAGAAAATTGTCTATACCAGGCTCTGGTCAATTTGTTCACTTATTAATTCAGGAGGCACCATACAACTCTTTCCGAGTTTGATTCATCAAGTATATTGTTAACTGACAAGAGATTAATGCGAAAGAAGATAATATTATCTTAAAAGGATGTATACGGAATAATAAAATCGCTAAAAATAACGAGTGGCTTACTGCCTTACTTTATTATCACAGGGGTGCACTGCGCCGCTACTAATCAGCTAGTATGCCACGTTTGTCACTTCCGTTATGGGTTGATCGTCTATGATCATTTTGTTTACCAACTTTGAGACAGATTTGCCCATTGAGAGCGCACATATAGATGCTTTGCTAATGTTATGATAATGCCAGTAATCGAAGCTATTGGATTTTCTGGTGTATCTTTAATACTCAATTTTTAAAAAAAATATCTTGTATTGGTAGTCTTTTTTTATAGATTCTCTTACATTTATTTATTTGAATTTTCTTTTGTCATGCAGTGCATTCTTTTACTCATGCCAGGAAATAGTGCGTTTTGTTATATCTGACAAAATGAAGTGAAATGGGTTTTGCGTCCTACTGTTTTGCTCCAACTGGACTATTGAAGACAGGCACGCGCAATACAGTGTGCTATGAGGGAAATTTTCCAACTGGCAAGAGATCTTTATATATATTTCTATTATCAATCTATAGCAATACTTAGTATGAATATGTTTGGTGTAACTATGGTTGGGGCTGATATCTGTGGATTTAGTGGAGCTACTACAAAACAACTGTGTCAAAGATGGCATCAACTTGGAGCATTTTATACCTTTTCCAGAAATCACAATTCAATAAATCGGCCGGTAAATTAATTGTTTATTAGTTTGATGGTTTTGTTTACTTTCTAACTTATTTTAGGTTAGTTTTGAATAAAGATTTATTTTGTAAGAGCTAAATCTGCCTATTAGATGTCTTTTTTTAACATCAAATGTTATATAAATTATTGATTAGAGATTTATTCATATGTCAAGCCCATAATCAGTTATCTAGAACATCGGATGATCCTGATTTATAATGGATTGAAACACAATTGCCATTTAATAATGTAATTTAAAAGTGGATAATCAAGACTTTGTTTATTATCGTAACAATGCTAGCAATGAAAATCGAGACAATGCTTATCAAAATTTTCAACATTCATAACTTCACTCAGAATAAAGTAATTTGATGGAAATGTTCTATAATGTATTCATTTCTTATCATATACTGATACAGATATCATATACAAATAATTATATCATATACAAATAATTATATCACACAAAAATTATAATATACGAATAAGTTTATCATACACAGATAATTATATCATACACAAATAAATATATCATACACAAATAAATATATCATACACAAATAATTATTTTAAAGGTTTTTTCGAAGTTTAAAATATATTTTAGCATATATTATGTACGATGAGAAATATTCTGCAAGTTGCAAATTATGAATTATATAATTATTATAGGATCAGGATCCAGGCGCATTTGGTCCTGCATTTGCAGAATCCACAAGAGAAGTATATTTAATACGATACAAACTTCTACCTTATCTTTATACTTTAATACATAAAAGTCATATGATGGGTGATACAGTTTTAAGGCCTTTATTCTTTGAGTAAGTACTTGTTTATTATTTATGATATCTAATTCTCAGAAATCGGATCACAGACCTTAAAGGAATATAATTTACTTCACAGTTACAGTAGATTATCCTGTGACTATATTCAGATTACCTGTTGAGATCATAGAAGTTAGGGCAATATAATTTACCACACAGTTGCAGTAGATTATCAATTGACTATACTGCTAGGCTTCCTTTTACCATCAGGCGTAGGTCTATTTTTACAAAGTAAAGAAAGGTCACCTGATTCTAATAAATCTGATCATAGACCTTAGAGCAATATTATTTAACCCACAAATACAGTAGATTATACCGTAAACTATATTGATAGACAGTATTTATGTGTTTGTTTATTCGATATGCAGATTTCCTACACTTGTTGACACATACAGTATTGATAGGCAGTTTCTATGGGGACCAGCTTTATTGATTTCACCTGCTTTAGACCTGGTAAATATCGACTGACAATCAATTTCTTTTCTCTTTTATTTTTTTTTTATTAATGTACTGTATGAATTCCCCCCCCCCCCCAAAAAAAAAAACCTAAACAAAACAAGCATATACTATAAAACCTACTAAAGGCATTACGTATCTGTTGATGGTTATCAAAAGACTGAAACCATACACTTCCATGTAATTTTTCCAAGCAAAAATGTAATTGTTATAGGATCCAAATACAGTAGAAGCTTATATACCTGTGGTTATTGTAGCTTAAATATCTTTGGGTTATTGTAGCTTATATACAGTAGATATACTTGTTGGTCATTGTAGGATCAATATACAGTAGAAGTGTAGATACCTGTTAGTTATTGTAGGATCAATATACATACGTGTTGGTTATCGTAGGTTCAATATACAGTAAATCGAGTTCCGACCAACCATTTTAACGTCAATTTTACATAAAAATAGCGTCATGGTGTTATATGGGCTGTTGGTTATCGTAGGTTCAATACACAGTAAATCGAGTTCCGACCAACCATTTTAACGTAAAGTTTACATAAAAATAGCGCCATAATGTTATATGGGCTGTTTCTTATTGTAGGTTCAATAAACATGTTCAGTAAACCGACCAACCATTTTGACGTAAAGTTTACGTAAAAATAGCGTCATGTTGTTATATGGGCTGTTGGTAATTGTAGGATCAATATACAGTAGAAGCTTATATACCTGTTGGTTATTGGTATGATTATTATACTGGAGAAAGAATTATTGGTACAGGTGATAGAATAAATTTTACCACACCATTAGATAAAATAAACCTACATATACGTGGCGGCTATATTTTACCTGCTCGACGATCTGGTCTAACTACAACAGAAAGGTAAACGATATAATATCAAACCTATTCAGATAATTATGTATCTGATGATGGTCAGCTAAAGACTGAATCAAATGAAAATGAAATGGGGTTTAACGTCCTACTTTTCTTTAGCATCCAGGCTAATGAAGATGGGCATTAGTCAGGCAGTGTACCCAGTGCCGGAAAGTACAGATATTTTGTGTTCACCGATAAGAAGAAGAAAGTTAAATTTAACAACAGAAAATTTATTTTAAAAAAAAATCAAATCCAATTTTTTTTACAGTAGTGTTATTACTACAAGATTACAGTACCTAGATTACAACTTTTTTTTTATTTTATATTTTTGTAGCCTGGGTTGTTCTTGGCTGGCCCTAAGGCACGTGCCTTATTTGCCCCATGGTTAATCCGGCATTGAGTGTACCACGAGGTATATGTTACTTGAAAAGTGGCGCTTGCGTCTATTCTACATCACATTCCATCTTGCACGCAGTATCTTTGGTTTATGTCCTATCCAAATGACTAGCCATTGTTCCTTACAAGGCTACTGTCCTCCACCACTTATAAGGGGAGACTTGAGGAACGTGATCAAATCCTAAATGTGGCGTTTGTAAAACATTTGTAAAGGTACTGATGGGAAGCGTCCACTAAATATTATGTTCTTTTTTTTAGCATAATGAGGATTCAAATTGCACCCACAGAAATTATTTTTAATCGGAAAATATAATATATCTCACACTTGTTTACAAAAAACACACAATAAATTAAATAAAGAGAGATTGTGTTGAATGTCCACCAAACATAATTACCAGTTGAGTCATTGATACATACGATAAGATCTAAAGCGCACTCGTTAGACCATGAGTATTTTTTTTTATATCACATTCATCTTTGTTTGGAGCCATGGTGGCTCTGTGAGTAAGGTGGTGGCTAAGTGAGTAAGGTGGTGGCTCATTGGGTGAGGTGGCGGCTCAGTGAGTAAGGCGGTCGCTCAGTGAGTAAGGTGGTGGCTCAGTGAGTAAGGTGGTGGCTCAGTGAGTAAGGTAGTGGCTCAGCGAGTAAGGTGGTGGTTCTGTGAGTAAGGTTGGCTCACTAACCAGGAGGTCACGGTTTTGTACATATACTATTCAAAAAAAGTAGGGGATATTTGATTTTTAAGTGTTATTAAAGTCACCTAATGAAACTGACGAAGAAACAAATGACAAAATGAAATGAAGTTCACATTCATCGATTTATTCCAAATGATCGTTAGACTAAGTAAGGCACAGACTGACCATTATAAGGGTAAAATGATACCCGGGGTCAAACAGCAAAGTTACCACAGCATCACAACCAAGTCAGTAACGGGTAAATCCTCCTCTGTTTGCCAAACAAGCATTGATCCGACGTGGCATACTCCTAATGAGACGTCTAAGGTCATTTTGGTCCAGATTGTCCCATTCCTGTTGCAACGCAGCAGCAAGTTCTTGGACATTGGCAGGACGTTGTTGACGTTGACGTAACCTCTGTCCAAGCATGTCCCAGACATGCTCAATGGGGGAGAGGTCGGGACTCAGTGCTGGCCAAGGTAATGTGGTGATGTTCTGTTGTTGGAGGTAACCTGTAACGATCCTGGCCCTGTGACATCTTGCGTTGTCATCCTGGAAGATGAAACGACGGCCTTGACGTCGTGCGAACGGCACAACATGGACTGCCAAGATGTTGTCCCGGTAGTACTGGCCTGTAACACGCCCTGCAACAACATGTAAAGCCGTTCTTCCAGCAACAGTGATGCCTCCCCACACCATAACAGAACCACCCCCAAATCGATCATGTCTGATGACGTTAACGTCTTGGAAGCGCTCGTTTCGACGACGCCACACCCTCCTACGTCTGTCCAAAAAATCAACAGTGAACCTTGACTCATCTGAAAACATCACATTGCTCCAGCGTCGATTATCCCAGTGTTGACGATCCCTACACCAACGACGTCTTGCCTGAATGTGATGATCTCTCAAACAAGGGATCACGCGAGGACGTCGGGCGCGAAGGTGACCCCTATGCAGTCGATTCCGAATCGTCTGGCCACTCACTCTCACACCAGTGTCTGTTTGAAGACGAGCGCTGATCTGATTTGCTGTGATGACACGATTTCTCAAGGCCAAGGTACGGATAAATCAATCCTAGGCTTGAGTTGTCGCCCTTGGTCGACCTGAGCGTGGTCTGTCCTGTACAGATTGTGTATCACGGTATCTGGACCATAGCCTGCTTATGACAGACTGAGAAACATTCATCGTCCGCGCCACAACCGCCTGTGTTGTGCCGATCTGTAGCATGCCAAGGGCACGTAACCTTTCATTTTGGGTAAGCCGACGCATATCAAAAGTTGTTTTCTGGTCACTAAAACAATTAAACTGATGTTTCCACCCTGGAATTCAATGCCACAATGACTGTAACATTCAAAGTCAGAGTCGTGCAAATCTTGGGTTGGACCCCCATGATGATCCCAAGCATCACCTGCATTCCATGCGGTAGCTATTGGTGCGTTTGGGCGTCACATGTAACTGGAAATGTTTCTTCTGTTAGGTTCTATAGTGACTTTTTTCGTAGTCATTTGCATATTTTAGTATTATGCCCCCAAAATCAAATATCCCCTACTTTTTTTGAATAGTATATTTCAAATTTTACTTGAATTCAAAGCTGATGTACAAAATTCAAAATATGTGTAGTGTTGTGGTATAAAAGTATTGTGTTTTGTTTTTAATTTTAATGTAGTCGAGCGTATGATTTTGGGTTGATTGTAGCATTGGGTGTATTTGGTGAAGCTCGTGGTGATTTATTCTGGGATGATGGTGAAACTTTAGGTAAGTAAAAGAGAGAGGGAGAAATGGGGTTTAACGTCCACTCGACACCAACCAGGTCATTTCGGGACTAACACATGGTTCAATTTCATAATAAATAATTCGCTTGCGCGGAGGACCCGACATCCCTACTCCTTAGCACGTACACCCGGGGAATCGCAACCACGCCAATTGACTCATTGTCAGACCTTATGATACAGCGCGCACGTGCTAACCATTCGCCCCCCCACCCTCCTTTAGGTAAGTAAAGTATTTAGAAAATTTGAATGTCTGAACTTTTTCTTTTTACACTCATCATCGTCCAGTAGAATATCAGAATTTTGCTGCCAATAAATTATCAGAATACAATCTGTCCATACTGCATGACTTTTTATACTCCCACATTGAAATGTGGATGGTTAGATCGCTGCCAGTGAAGAGTATCTTTACCAGTAAGAAACTTTGAAATTCGCGGCAAATTCGCCGAATAAGGTAACATTGGCCTGGAGAAATAATGAATATGGCGATGCCTTGCCATCATTAAGAATGGAATGTGATTGCTTATGACAATATTGCCAAAGATATGAAAATATGCTTTCCTGGCGAATTTTAGGAGCATGTCCCTTATATTTGCAGCGGCCCAAGAACGACCAATTCGCCACCACGTGAGACCATCATTAACACTGTACAGACTTGAGAATCTTCTGAATACTTCAGCAGCGAATATAATCGTCTGATCTATTATAAATTTATGTTCATTGTTTTGCTCCAGAATTATTATCCTTGATTATGCCATAGTATCTTTTCATGTGTCAATAATACTTTACAATATGAGGAATAACTTTTAAATTTGATAATGATTCACTGTGCAACCCTTTATGGACTGATCAGGCCACTTGAAGAGAATACAAGACATTTGAGAAATAAAATGTAATCAACAGCTTTGTTATTTTTAGATACACATGAAAAGGGCCTATTTAATATGTTCACATTTTCGGCGGATCAGGTAAGGAATATTTCTATGGTTTATTATACTCAAAATAAATTATAACACGCAAATAAATAAAAAATAAAATGCCAGACTACATTTCTTTAATATATGTTTTCTTTTTATACGCCTACATTGAAATATGTGTTTGTATATTGTCGTAGCCCCCCCCCCCTCCTCAGCCCAAATGAGACTGGTCATCACTGTTCAGACCAGCACCTGCAGCCAGCAATGGGATTCCCAGATTTTAGTTTCTGTTTAATGAGGCCGTGCTACGAAGACTCTGGGGGCTACACCAAACCACTAATGCATGCGGCACTCTGATGATTACCCTTTGGTCCAATGTATGCCCCCCCCCCCCACACCCATCGACAAAATCATGGGTCCGGGCCTGCATATGGTTCAATATTATTTCAATAATTCGCTTGCGCGTAGGGTATTTATTAGTGGAATGAAACCGGGGGACCCGGAGAAAACCCACGATGTTGGACAGGCGAGCCCGCTCCTTGTCACGTACATCCGGGGAATCGATACCACGCTAGTTGACTCAATGACAGACCCTATGATACAGCGCGCACATGATAACCATTCAGAGGCTATAGTGTTGACATTATATTTTTCATGTGTAGGTGTTTTATTTTATAGAATGGTGTTTACACTAATCCCGAGTTTATAGGATATAAAGATGATCGAGAGTATTTAAATAATATAACAGTATTTGGTTTGGATAAACAACCATATGCGGTAACAGCTAATGGACAATCAACAACTTATCTTTATAATAAGCAATATAAGGTAAATTAAGTTAACTCACTAGGTTAGACTGTGAATAACTATAACTCATAGTGAAAGACTAATTCTCACTATTTATAACTTATAACAGGTTGAACTGTTAATAGTAAAAGGCTATTAGTTCAGTGTGAAAGACTAATACTCACTATATATAATTTAGGTTAAACTGTTAATAGTGAAAGGCTATTAGCTCATAGTGAAAGACTAATACTCACTGGATAACCTATAATATATCTTATAATAGTTAATAGTTATAACTCATAGTAAAAGGCTAGTACTAAGCGAACAAACTATTAAAACTTGAAACGTAACCTCGTGTTAGACCCCTCCCCCTAGTGAAAGACTCAATCTCACTAGAATAACTATTTATAACTTATAACGTAACCTCGTTTTCATACCGAGGAGTTGTGTGGGCACAGATCAGAAGAGTGGAACAAATCTACAGAGTGAACACGCCCTGTCTGTATAAAATATTTGTGGGATTAGATGTTCTTGGATCAAAATTTTCCTGGAACAACGTCAGTGTCAACCCAAATAATTTTATTTCTTTGGGACATCACAATTTGTGACCCAAATTGAAACTCGAGTGAAAAAATACAAGAAATGCTAAATTCAAATGGAACTATGTAATAATAATTCATAATTTGAAATGTTTTCTGGATTTACACATAAAATACAATATTACATTATTTTTATTTTCACAGGCTTTATACATAACCAACTTTCTCTTAACGTTATTAGAACCAATTAAGATAGCTTGGAAATTCAGTGATGAGTGAAACAAGTACCAGAAGAGATAGATAATTGTCCCAATAAAAAGATAATTGGTATTTTAAAGTATGAGTAACATATCACCAGTAGCATACAGATGTTTTTAGTCTGAAAGATAAAATATTTATTTTTCTGGTTTTATTTTATACACTTACTGGGGATATTTAACCAGAACAATTGTGATACTAATGTAATGTATGGATTTGATCAATTGTTAACTTACTAATAGTTATATTTGAAAAATTGTGAACGAATCTATGGATTTGATACATTGTGAACTAATGCATTGATTTGCTAAAATCAGAAATAACCTATGGATTTGATCAATTCACAACCAATCTATGGGATTGGTCAATTGTGAACGATTCTATGGATTTGATCAATATCTATGGATTTGCGGAATTGTAAACTAATCAATGACATTTGATATGGTGTGATATAATTTTCTGGATTTGAATAATTGTGATATTTTCTGGATTTTGAAACAATAAATATGATCTTTATCTGTAAATGGAGACCGGTGTCCAAGCTGTATTATGTGGTGTCTGGATAAAACCAGACTTTTATTTTATAAAAATAATGTGTAGGTGAAATTTACCAGAGGAAAAATTGGATGATGAATTGAATGAAAATGTACTGGCCAGAGAATTAGCAATGTTAACTGATAATGCACTACTTTTACCCTTAATCCTTCGAGTCCTATCCCATACCGACTTGGATGCGGTAGGGGAATTGATGGGGTGTTCCCACTTAGCCGGCAGGCTTTGATGTCAAATTTTGCCGCTAATCCAGAGTTAATCCTAGAAAAATGGTGTTATAAACTATAGTCCATACCTTTTTTAAGACTAAAACTGTATTGATTTTAACAAATTTAACTTTTATTAAATAACATTAAATAGCTTACACATATCAACATCAACCTCTAAGGTATTTCGACCGGAGAAGGGCCTTTATTATCATTTAAGATAGGAAAGTGGTCACATCCACACAGATCTTCAATTACCCTCCATGTAAAATCCTAAAACAGGACCGGAGAGCAAATGGTGAGATCGAGGGAAGAAGCTGTGGCAGGATGTAGATAAGCGAGTCATCATTTAATAAACACATATTATTAATGTAAACGGAGTCCACTATTTGTTTACCTCAGTCGTTATCATCTGGACTAACCCAAAGTGAATGATTACCACTGAAATCTTCCGTAATAATAAAATGGAGAGGATTTTGTGCAACAAGGTCATCAAGATCTCTGGGATTAAGATGTAAACTTGGTGGAAAATATACAGAGCACAGTGGCGATGGTAACCAACAAAATCGAGGGATATCTCCATTATTACTTAAACTACTGAAATAAACCTAAGCTAAATAAATATATTTACTGATAGATAGAACCTGATCAGATTATAAAAACAAAAAGAAATATACCTGAATCCAGAGAAAACACATGTCAAGAAATAAGTGCTGTTGGAAACAAGAAGGTGCAAACCAGGTAAACCCAGTGCAAACCATTAAAACACAATTACAACACAACACACTGGACATCACATCTTGGCTAGACTCCAAGACACCAAGCAGATATAAAAACATACACCATATATTACATAAACTTTATTTACATATATACAACAAAACATAAATTCTACCCTACTTTATGTCCACAAACAAATTGTGGACGGAAGGACAAACCCGGGCGACGGCATAATACGTCCACATGAAAATGTGGGCGTATAAAAATGAATTTCCAGAATCCATGATGGCAGAAATTCAAAATGAAATCCAAAATTGAAGAATTTTAATTAATCGTCATTTTCGTTGGAAGCCCCAAGCCATTCTTCAGGCGTTGGAGTTCATTCAATCATCGCATCTATTACAACACATCATCTTTACTGATTCTCTGTCCTCACTTCAAGCAAAAACAGTTTGAACATCCATTAGTAGCACATGTTTATCGTCTGCTACTATCTTACGAGTTTCACTGCAAAGACGTCGTCTTTTGCTGGATCCCCAGTCACGTTGATATAAGGGGGAATAATCAAGCAGATTTTGCTGCCTAAGCTGCGTTACATCTTCCCCAATCACCCTTTTTAATTCCATTTAAGTATTTTAAATCTTCAATCTTTAAATCTTGGAAAACTCCTACAGAACCAACAGGAGATATAAAGTTTTGTATCGCTCTCGTATAGGTGATACATTTTCATGTTCCTATAAAGTTAAGCACATCCTGATTGAGTGCAAACATCTCAAAGATATGATAGCATTTTTACTGTTTTCATTCATTACATCAATTGTTTGTCCAATTGGGTTTATATTTGACAGGAGGCTTAGGTCGGGGGGGGGGGGGCATCAAAGAGACACAAAATCAGACCCAACTTTTCTAGAGTAAATTTTAGCGTAGAATACGATGCCGAGTTGTAATCAGTCCGCCGTTGGGGCGTTTTCGAGATATTCTGGGTCAAATGAGGTCATTTACACTGAAAGTGAATGCGAAATAAAATGGGGTTTAACGTCCTACTGTTTTGCTCTGAACTGGGCTAATGAAGACGGGCATACGCCATACAGTGTGCTATGAGAGAAATTTTGCCCGGGCAGCTGCACTACGGCCTACTCTTATATCGAATTCCAACTGTCAAGGGATCTTTTACGCGCACGCCAATGTGTACACGGGACCTCGGTTTTTCTTCTCATCCGAATGACTAGACAGCTGTCCTTGTCAGGCCCTCCGTCCTGCATCACTGACAAGGGGGAACCACGCCGGAAAATCTGGATGAACTTTCTCGGCCACTGCAGGGATCGAACATCCGACCTCCAGGCTAGCGAGCCAGCGTCTTACCCACCGTGACCCCCCAAAAGTGAAAGTGAATGCGCAGCCATTCTTGTATCATGAAAGCATGCTGAAAATGATCGAAAGTAATCACCCTTTTTATAAAAACGTAAACTTGCTAAATTCACCTTTTTTCTATGTGACAACGGAAGTCAAAAGGTCCAATTTTCCGTTTTTGCACTAGGAAGAATTAAAGCAATAACTTGTCAGCGTTAAAACTTATCTTAAAGATAAACCTGAGACTAGAATTCTTTTCTTTAAATGAATAGGAATAATGCTAAAACTCCTAAATAAAAGAAAATGACGAAAATCGGTCATTCCGTTATCGATATATTTAGATTGGAAATCCCCCTTTGCACCTGCCTTGTGGAATCCAATTAGCATACGAGGCGACTTCCGGTAATTCCCTGACATATGCTGTGACGTCACGGGTATAAGACCAGTGTTAACCAAATGGCGACAACATGTAGGAGTTCGAGGCGAGTTAAATTTGTCATATAATTAATCGTCGTTTGAGGATTCCGAAAGAGATGTCATTGAGGATGACGGCAGGGTTCATCCATATCAATTTGAGCCTTATGCAGACTCGGAGGAGCCAGACAAAGACGACCGTATCAACGGCTTGAACAACCACGCAACCACGATCGTCTAGATTCCAAGGCAATGAATGGTTAGTTTTATTATTATCTACATTACGATTTATATTTTAATTTTCCTGAATTATCTATCAGTAATAATATCATGTTTGTATGAAATTGAAATTCAAACGTTCTTTTGACTTTGATGTGGATTCTTTTAAACAATCATTAAAACAAACACGAGTATAGATTTAAGCCGCTATATATAATATAATATAAGCTTATCGATCTATTCTAACTGTAAGCTAGGCCTAGTATAGGATATCTTACTATCTAAGACAATGGATTTCTTTCAAATTCATAAAAGACATTCAAGATTTTTCTAGAAAATTGAGACTATTAGAATATTTTAGTCCAGACCCAAATGATTCAATGGAAGACTTGGAAAATTCACATTCAAACAATGATGATTCAATAGTTCGTAATAAGAGTAAATTTAATCCTAAGGCAGGGAGAAATAGAATTTTAGACAGTACAATCGAACAAATTAAAGAATTAAAACATTGTGAACAAACAGCAAATGTGAAGTCAAACATAAATCTAAATGAACGCAAGCCCATTAAATCATTATCGGAAAATGAGTCAATTATTATCAAAGAAGCTGATAAGGGAGGAGCAATTATTATCATGGATAAAACATATTATAAAAACCTTGCGTTATCAAACATTGGTGATCCAAATTATTATGAACACGTAAACCACAGGTCAGAAAATGTAACATTTTCGAAGTTAAAGAGATTAGTTAACTCTTGCTCTACCTGCCTTACAGATAAGGAGCAAGAATACTTAACTAACTTTGAACCTAAGACTAGTAACTTCTATGGATTACCAAAGGTTCATAAAAGTATAGATATAAAGGAAGGTTGTCAACACTAAAATTCAGCCTATGTCAAATTACCACACCCTACGGATCTGAAACTAAGACCAATAATAGCGGGACCTCAATGCTCAACACATAGACTTAGCAACTTTATAGACATCCTCTTAAAACCATTAACAGAACATGTGAAAAGTTATTTAAGAGACACAATTGATTTTCTCAACCATCTCCCTTCAGCGACAAATCAAAATACCAAGTTAGTATCATTTGATGTGACTAACCTGTATTCAAATATCCCTCATGACTTAGGTATAGAGGGGGATCACGTGGCTAAGTGGGTAAGACGCTAGCTCGCTGGCCTGGAGGTCGGGTGTTCGATCCCTGCATTGGCCGAGAAAGTTCATCCAGATTTTCCGGCGTGGTTCTCCCTTGTCAGTGATGCAGGACGGAGGGCCTGACAAGGAAAGCTGTCTAGTCGTTCGGATGGGACGAAAAACCGAGGTCTCGTGTACTCATTGGCGTGCACGTAAAAGATCCCTTGGCAGTTGGAATTCGATATAAGAGTAGGCCGTAGTGCCGCTGTCCGGGCAAAATTTCCCTCATAGCATCGTTTATTCAGCTCGACGTAACATAGTTTGTTTAATTTGAATGTAGATATTAAATATCTAAATGTTGCGTATAACTACCACCTTTCGGTTTGTCAGTTTTTCAAAAGCAAGGAGAGAACCCTCAACTCATAAAGTGAAAAAATTCCCTTGCGAGACCAAGTTACCGGGTATCATATAGACCGATACAACACGGGTACATTTTTATATGTTATTCATTTC